TTGTTTGATTCCATCACGATCTTCGTGCCGAATCTGGACACGATGATAATAGTCCTGAGAGTATATGAAGCAGCTTTTTGTAGCTGATGTCATCGAATCCTCATCGGAACTCATCATGGTGAACACGAATATCCTCGTGGCATTTGCCATCGCCTTTCTCGCCTCTTTATCTCTAAGTTCAGCATTCGCCAAGCATAACTTAGACATCCCTAATACCTTCGAGAAGAATCTCGATCACAAACTGCAACCAGTTTTTCGGGAAAAAAGAGAGAAGGAAACCGAAGCGTTTTATCTAAAAAATAATCCTTTGGAATTAGAAGAAGAACCGTTGGAATCAACGTCTATTTACAAGAGAAAAACGCTCGAAGAAGAGGCAAAGGATGTTGAAAAAAGCGAGGAGCAAGAAGAACTGAATATCGAACCTAAAACAACCAATGATATTACAACTGAAGAGGAAGATGTCGAGGTAGTAATTGGAATATACCATTTATCTGTGTTATAAAGAATTACCAGAATAAAAATAAATCTAAATTAGATTCTCCCTTATTTTTCAGGATGATGTATTTTCGTACAGAAGTATGCACGATCTCATCCAAGCATTGATTCTTGCGGATGAAACGGACATTGCTGAAAGATTGCAACGATTGCGAGAGGTATTTATGCTGAAAATTTATGACACACTATATATTACATGATTATACATATCAATAATATTAGTACTAATTATTACAATACAAATTGTAGGATTTATTAAATTTAGCAAATCTCATTAAAAGAAACTTGAAAAATCATTTTATTCGTATTTAAACAATAAAAAAGATAATTGGAGAAAAAAAAGAACAGAAAATACACATAGTTGAATCTACGATGGTTAGGATTCCATCATAATTATGTACATATAATGTCACGTAATATATTACAAGATTTTAAACTTGACAAAAAGAAATACGCTGCGATTAAAAAGATTTTGGTCTTTAATTTGTTTACAGAATACTACGACAACTGAAAAGTTGAGTAATTTGCCGAAGCGTCAAGCGGTCGCGTCCGCAGCTGCGGCCGCAGCCGCAGCTTCATCAAGCAGTCTTTTAGGAGCGAATCTGTGGGATGCCGTTCCTTTGGATGATCTGGATACTCATTCCTGCGAGGTCGAGGCTTTCTCACACGGTCACTTCCACTTGTCGGGTACGATCGTGCACGAATTCTTCTGTGAGCTGAGAAAGTTTTGGCATTACGGTCTGATCGTCCTGCGGAACTTGAGGTCCGGACTTAGTTTGGGGCCATTGATAGGCGAGGATGTCATCTCCGATAGCATCTTGGAGCACCTGTTTCATCACACCTCGCATCTTCTTCACGTCGTTATCAGAGAGCCCCATCATCTGCTGATTCTACCTGATATAATCCATGACGCCGTACCGTTCCCCAGCATCATCGGTGCCATTCATCGGATCAAACACGTCTTCTTCAGAGTCTTGCATTTCGGAATCGATCTCTTCCGCACGCATATTCGTCACGTTCTCGCCCACTTGTTTTCTCATCTGCGTTTTGGCATACGAGAACAACTGTATCACTTGGGAAGCTCGATACTTCCGCTGGAAGAGATAGCCGCAGAACCGTTCGTGTCTACAGCGGCGGCAGCAGCGACGGCGACGGCGACTGCGACGGCGACCGCCTCTAGCGATATCATTGTCCCGGATTATGAGACATCATTGTCAGAAGTGCTGTCTTCGTTCCGCGGCTTTTACAACGGTTACTACGCGTCTGGAATACCTCATCTAATTAGAACTGGTCTAACAAGCATCTCCTCGTCCTCAGCGTTCTCCACAATCGGCTCGTACTTGTCGAGAATACCCTTCTGTGGTAACTTTGGGTACGGACCAGTCGAACAGAGCACCGTAGTGAGCACGGCGGCAGCGTCCAGCGCGTCGAGCTCCGTTGCTATCGGTGGTAGACCGATAGTAAGTCCAGTGGTAGAGTACGGGTCGATAGTCCCCGTAGCACCCATCGTCCCTGTCGAGACCGAAACCGCGAGCTCCTCGGCGTCCGCTACGGCCACCGCCACCGCCACCACCATCGCCGAGACGCAGCCGGTGTTCTCCGCTGGACCGACGATAGTTCCCTCGATTGTCCCTTACGAATCGACCTCTTCAGGTGCGGCGGCAGTTGCGACGGCGACGGCGACGACGACGGCAGCGGAAGTACCGTTATCAGACTATTCGACTATACCTCTAGTACAACCGGAAGTCGTGCCCAACGTTTTGGAGGACAACGTGGCAGTCGCCTCCGCTGCGGCTGCTTCCTCAGCAGCGAACGTCGTCTCGACTCCGGTTGTTGGACGAGTGCCATTCACCCTGCCGTTGCGCAGACCGATCCTGTCCACTGTCGCACCCACAGCGGCGGCCGCGGCCGCGGCCGCGAGCGCGTCCGCTTCCACGGGCGGTCGCACCGTGCTCAGACCAGCTTCGTACCGTGGTCTTGACCTGGACATTGACCGCAGAATAAAATATCCACTGTTTCGTCCGCGAGTCTTGCCCACCGTGGCTTCGTCATCAGCTGCCGCCTCGTCAGTCGCCACATCGGCCTCCTCGGCTGCTGCGGCTAGCAGCTCCGCGATTTCCTCCGGTGGTTTCAACATCGTCCTGCCTAGAGAACAGATAATTAGCGCTCTGGGTTACGACTACCTATTGCCGGGCGACATCATTTCGGTCACCCTGAAGAACAAATCAATCCTGTTCGGCCGTGTACTAGATGCCACCAGCCCAATCACGTTCAATTTCCTAAGACCGAAAATACGTGCCTCTTTACTCCACAACGGTGGACGGATCTGGAAGCTCCTGCCTAGAGACTTCAGGGATCCCGAGTGCTATAGGAAATTCAACAATCCTCTACTCTTACGTGATGGCCTTTAGATATCATTCTGCGATGACTAGTCCTGAATTATTATCGACATGTTGACCAAACAGTTGTACCGATCTCGATTATGAATAAAAATGTGTCGAAGTTAATTGAAATTGCATTAATTTTTTGAATACAGATCCTCACTTTAGTATTATATACCCAGACAACATTATGTCCAAAATGCGAACATAAGAGGTTTTTATTTTATAACGATTTTATACGTTTAATATATTTTTAAGAAGTTTTATTAAATCGGACAATTTAATGTTTAGGATCTGACTTTGACCGTTTATATCGGTTTACTATTAATCCATGTTCTAGAGTGTTTGAAGATTTTTATTTGATTTGCATAATTTTTTGTACTGATATGAAGTCTCAAACCGAGGTTCAAACGTATACATATAGATACAGAATATAATAAATAGAGTTTTTTAATAAATAGAGTTTTAATATACACGAACAATTTATATTGGCTCATATTGGCATGATTTATATTGTTATAAATACAAAGTCAATCTAAATATTTGAAACAATATGCAGAAGTATAAGTAATTTAAATTAAAATAAATTAAAATTTACAAGAGAACAGAAACGTCTCACTCGATTGAGCGTGTAAATTCAAATGACAAGATCGCCACGAGATAAAATAAGCGAAACAATTAGCAAGGTTAAACATTTATTTATTGTTGTTAGAAACGAATTTTAATAAATAACTGTATGACTAAAATTTAGACATTCTTTGAGTATCTTTTTAAGTGTGCCTTTTGCTTGTTCTTTTAATATGTGGGTAGTTCGATAAGTCTGGTAAATTCTTTATGAGATAGTGCCACAATTCATTTGATGATGTGACATCTGGGAAGTATCACTCTTCAAACTCTTCTTTGCCAAATTTCAGCCAGAATTGTTGACGCATTGTTCACATTCGATCATCGTTTCAAGCGAGCGAGAAGTTTAGCAGTTACCGTATAGAAAAATGGAAAAACACGAATTCTGTTAATTTATTATATTACGCTTTTGAGGCTTTCGCGGGTATTTTCTTCAATTATACCAGAAAGTTTGCGGGTTATCGCCGTGTCTTTCTTCATTGTTAATGCCTAATAATTTAACATTTTGTGCCAGTATGTATCAAAATAAAGTGTAAAATATCTCGAAAACTATTGGTTTTTTGGTATCTCTACCTTAATACTATTATATGCAAAATAATTAGAGGAATCACGTTATCTAAAAAAATTACATTATTCCATTTAAAAAAGTGGAGGTGACCTTCATATCTTTTTAGCGCCTCCACTTAGAACAAAAACAACGTCACTAAAACGTGTCCCACTCGACACTGTTCCATTTTTATTTGAAACATTTTTGTCTACTGGATTTAGTTTTCGAGATATTCTCTATTAAAGATTAAAATGGGTCACCATGTTTAATAACATTATAAAATTGTCATTTGTTATTAAAAAAACATTAAATATAAATTATATAAAATAAACAACTTTTGTTTTGGTGATTTATAATTATTAATTATTCTTGTTTAATATTTATTAAATAACAGTATGATAAAACAACGCTTAAAACGATGTGAACAAATACATCCTCTGAATTTTATAGAATAGCAAGGTACTTATTGATTTATCGTGGCAAATAAATATGATAAGATTATAAGTTTAATATAACTTGCGTCACATTAATTAAACCATGATGAATAATTGATAAATGAATTGTTGACAAAGTGCATTTGTGTGTACATCACCATCTGCAAGTCTGTCATTACTGATTGGTGATTTAATATAAAAATTAACTCATATTCATACTTTTTGTGCAAACAGATATTTTGAATAAAAAAATATTATTACAAGTCAGACGTTACAACGTTTGGTTACGATTTCGTTGAATCAGTAATTAACGATTTCAATTCATCATTTATCACGCGCATTATGATCACATGAAAGGATGCTATTCAGTCAAGTTATTAGCTCAGGTGTGTAATGCTAAATAATAGCTTGGTAAATAATTGCTATAATAACATATGGACACTTATGTAACAGGACAATAACCAAATTTCGGTTAATATATATAAGCATATTCATTGAAATGGTTGTGTCTATCATTCGCTGATTTCTCTCTAGCAGAGAATTTGGCACATCTTTGCAGTCTCGTCACTCAATCACTTTTCTTTCAAATCACGATGGTACGCGTTGCTCTTCTAGTGACCGTTCTGGCGGCTCTGTGTTACGGAAGCCAGGTAAGTTATGTTTCACAAATGCAAAAAATTGTTTTGCGATTTAGAAATGTAAAGAATAGAGAAAAGAAATTTACTAAATATTGAATATTGTAATTATATGCTAAAATTAATTAAGGACACGCACATTAGAATACATCTTTTTCATAATCCTAATTTTATTAAAAATTATATTATTTTAAAGAAAAGGACATGTATCATATTTTGAAATATAACTATACCTTGTTTTTATCAATCGCTTATTAGGCCACCCCGCTCCAAATTGGAAATAAGGAAATTGACTTGACCAAAACTATTTCCGACAAGGCAAAACAACTGCTTGACTATATTCCTGACGGAGTGAAAGACACATTTAGGGACATCAGCAACAAAATCACGGAACGTATAGGACAACTCGAGAAAGATTTCCAGGAAAAGAGACAGAGCGCCGTAAACGCATTCGAGAAAGCTACAGAAAATGCCAAAAAATTGTTACAAGAGGGAAAGCAAAATTTAAACGAAGCTCTAGAAAATCTCAAGAAAGTGAAACAAGAAATTGAGGCAAATTATCAGGATAAGTTGAATGAGAGAATTCAGAATATTAAGTACATCCTCGATAAGTTGACTAATGAAGATTTGAAACAGAAAGTGAAGGAGAAAATTAATTCACTTAAAGATCAAGTAAAAGAGACCTTTGATAGGGTATTAAGAAGGAAGCAAAGTGGCGTTGAAACTTTTGGCATCGAAAGTATTATAGACAAGGGCAAAAACATTTGGAAAAATATCCATGACAAATTTACAGAAAAATCGAATAATATTATGAATGATGTCAATAAGGCCACCAATGAACTTAAAGAAAATGTAAGCAACACCCTGCAGAAGAGTGGACAAGTAGAAGCTTTGAAAATTGATCTGAGTAAATCCTTGGACAAATTTAGGGAAACGATAAAAAATATCAAAGAAATAGTAAAGAGATCGATCAAGGAACAAATCCAACAGTCAGGGTTCTTTGATACCATCGTGGGAGAAGCAAGAAGAGGAACGAAAAACGCCGGATCCAGCGGAATTGAATCTATCAGGGGAATCTTAAATGGCATGGAAAGCATACTGGAATCGGCATTGGGAACAAAAGAAGATGTCAAAGGAGATACTAAAGGAGATACTACAGAAGATACTGAAGAAGATACTAAAAACAATACTAAAAGTACTTAATTCTCTCTCGTCTATGTATCGGAAACACGACTCTTATTATCTTAATTATATTTAAAATTAATGTGTTCTTGGGAGAAGCCACAAATTTAAGTTTCAATTTTAATAATTCTCTGAAATTTCACACATAGTTTTGTCAACAATTTGGCATTTTACGGAAATTTTCACCTAGTGAGCAAAATCTGTAACAAATCCTATCTCGATTTTCAAGTGTCTCGATGCTAATTAATCTTTTAATTAAAATCGAATTGTGCCTCAACACGCAAATTATGTAACACTTATCAATTGTAATGAAATTCGTGAACACAAATAAAGAAACATGCAAGTTTTAATATTGACAAAGTTTATTTTATACCCAAGAAATATACTCCAAAAAATTTAATAAAATAAAAAAATGCCGTTATGTACAATATATAGAGGAGAAGGTAGTATTATGATATTTTATTTATAAATATTTTGTATTATATATATATATATATATAACACACCTACTTGATTAAAAAATAATCAATATTTAAATTTAAAACTTAGCACAATTACATTTGTCAAAATATTATCCAATCGCTCCTAAATTCAAAATTATTAAATATTCATTACTTAGGATATTATATATATAAATATGATGACACTGCATAATGGTCCAAAAAGAAACAAAGATAGTATAATACAGCCTTTCACAAAAATAGATTTAAGAAATTGGTCTTGAAAACAGGATTTGCAAAAATTTACAGAAAAGTAGAAATCAAGAAAACAATAGGGATCTATGAGAGAACCAAGCAAATTTATATATATATTGTTATATATAAACTATACAAACTAAACAAACGTTTCGACCTTCCAAAAAAAGTAAAACATTAAATGTAGGTATTCAAATTATACAAAAAAATGTATAATATCTAATATATATGTACTACACATAACTCCTTCCGCATATAGGACACTAAAAAAAGTTTGACAATAGCTACTATAAATATATATATAATTTTACCTTTACAAATATTTAGTAAATATTGTCTCATTGAAACGTTATTTAAGCACAAGTCACAGCATAGACCGATAAGACCTTTTCATTATTGGATTGTGAATTTTTGAAATGGACCACTAAGCTGGTCACCTAGGTCCTCAGATCTCACAATCATGGATTTTTATTTTTAAGGTCGAATCAAAGAATTAGTTTATGCTACAAGATCAACAACGTGGGATAACGTGAAAGATAAGATAAAAAGAGCATGCAGAAAAATCCAAGGAGAATTGCTCGCTGTCTTTGTTGTCATTTCCAAGGCAAATTTGAAAATGTTTAAAGGTCAATGGGAAGCAATTCGAGCATATGTAATTTTCTTAATAAATATTATTTTCAATATGTGTTCGAGTATTTGTAATTTTTTAACATATTTTTTCATTATGTGTTCACCAACGTCGAAGTTGGTCGAAGTTTTTCATATGATGCTAGGTAAAAGTCAAAGGTACGCACGCGCGCATGAACACACACAAGAGGTGTAAATCCAACTGGACAACTTATGCTCTTGGTAAGTATATATATCTTGGATAATGCTAATACCAGTGGTATTGTAATTTTCAAGCCTTATAACTCGAAAAGTACTTGATGAAAAGAGTTCTATTATATATAATGTTTTGAAAAACTCTTAAAGTTTGCTACAAGAATATGAAATAAAAAATGTAAAATAAAACCCTCTATAGCGAAATTATATCTATTATTAAACACACACTTTATGTTTATTAGATAACATTAAATGTAGACTTAAAACAATTACACAATTTTAAATTAATTCGTAAATCGTTTATCGCTACAAATATTTGCATAAAAAAAGAAGACAGGAAGAAAATTTTCATCGAAGCTATTCGCAAATAAATAAAGTTACATCAGTTAGGTCAAAAGGCTTTTAATAATCAATGATAGTCACTAGGTTGAAACTTTTAATAAACAACTCTCGCTATGCTATCAGAATTAAGATTAGAATTATCCGAAGTATTGCGCAAATGTTGTATTGGCGTATAATTGACTGTGAATAAATAAATTATATTCCCGAGCTCTTTTAAAGTACTCTTTAGGTTGCTATACCGAAACATAACATTTACCCGTGTAATATTATATAACGTCTATTTACATATTTTGATTTTCTGAGATACATTTATATTATGTTATAATAAATATACCATTTAAATATATTTGATACATAAACATTCCAAAGTTGCTAATATAGATTTGAATGTTACATGCTTTGGTTTGCTGAGAAAGCCGTCAGAGTGCACTGTACCTATTGCACTCCGGTTTGAAACGGTCCTGATATGTATACAGTGGTTAAATAAATGATATCAAATAAACAGAGCGTTTGGACAAGACTCTAATCTATCTGCCCCTCGCTCTTAAAAAGTATGATCTGGACATCCCGGAATCAGTAATTCGGTTGTGTGCATATGTATTATATGTATATGTACTTGTACATATATGTTCATTTGTCTAAAATGTACATCTTTATCTGGCTGATGTAATATTTCATAGAGAGAAAAACAGATGGCAGTTAAAATTGATAATAGCAATCTCTCGCCTTAAACTTTAACCTTTACATCCGAAATCATTAATTCGTTTCAAATCGTATATGTGTGTGTTATAAATTAATTACAATAAAGTTCACTACAAACTGTTTATAAATAACGGAAATGTCCTTTGTTACAGTAAAATAAAATATCACACAATTATATCAAATTTTTTATTAAATAAAATTATTAGTTATATAGTAACAAACTTCTGTTGTAAACATTCTCTAAGATAAAACGCATACATTATAATTTACATCAGAGAGAGAAAAGGTCGGTACGCTTATCTGGAATAAGAGATTTTCTTTCAGAAGGTTTCCCTCTATTCATAAATTATTATATACGTAAATCTCAGTATACGAAAGCATTTCACAGATAAGATGTATTTCTTATCACATAAATTTGTAGGAAGAAGCTCACAGTATCTCCTCTAAAAGAAATTGTAAAAGTAGCGTTATGTTTACAAGTTGAGCTTGACTTAAAATTCTTGTACCCTCATTACTGATTCTCTCTCTCTCTCTCTCTCTCTCTCTAATTTTGAGCGAGCTTATTTTATGCTATTAATTTGTTGATTTATTAATATGTGCTGCTAATCATTTTACGTTTTACTGCATTCGTAATATATATATAAAAGATTTAGCTCGACTTAGAAATATGATCAGGGAATAATCAATTACCGTGACTTTTGAAAAATAGCTAAATTTAAGTTAAAAATGCCAACTTAATATTAAAATCACAAATTGAGAGAGAAAGTATTTCCGAATTCCATTTTAAGATAGAATAATAAATGTTTTATTACTATAATAGAAGGCTCTTTAAGTATAAAACATACAAAATAAAAGAAGGGCCAAGAGCCAAATGTTAACATTTAAACAAAGACAAATTTAATTCGAATTAATAAACATTACAAATTAATAATAAAAACAAATATCAACAGACGTTTCGACATCGATCGGGTCATTATCAATGTTCACAAAAATTTAAAAAATACATATGTCTTACAAAATTTATAAAATTTATTATTAAGTAACGCAGTCTTCATTTCATTAGATATTGTAGTTGTATATATTGGAATAGTCAAAATAATATAAATTGAAAGTTCTTATGTATTAGTAAAATTAATAAACAGTGAAAAGTCCGCGTATAAGAGAGCAATAGGTAGTAATAATATCTGTAAAGTGTCATTAACAATAGAATAAAATGAAAATGAATTCTAATCTGAATGTTTATTAATTTGACTAATACATAAGAACTTCCAATTTATATTATTTTGACTCTTCCAATATATACAACTACAATATATTATAATAATAATGAATATAATACAATAAAATAATCATGTGAGGCTTGAGTTATAAACAACAATAAGCTCCGTTTCTTTTATCTATTTATCATAATTTATATTGTTATAGTCAAGCAACGTTTTAGAGGAACAAAATTTAAAAAATGAGCTTTATATAAATATTTGAAACCAACACTGTTTCTGGGAATGCTGAGTATCTTCAAACAAACGCAGATTCAAGTAAATATATGTACTGCGGCCTTCTATGCGAGAGAAACGCAGGTCATTGTCGTCGAAGTGAGATAATAAGCACTTTGCCCTCTTCGATAAGAAACGCCTATAAAAGGGAGTATAATCCTCCATCCTACGCATCAGTTGTTTCCTAATCGACCAAGGAGAAAATACCAGCGTGAAATGAGGTGCTTACTCTCAGTTATCTTAGCCGTCCTCTTGATCACGGCAGACGGCAAGGTTGTACCAAATAGTGATGTCGAAAATCAGCAGACTGACACGCAACCTCTTCAATTGTCCGATCATATCAAAGAGGCGCAAGATGTTATTAAGAACTTGGGCACTCAGATTCAACAGCAGCTAAACTTGCCAAACCAACAGGAGTTCCTCGATACTTTTAAGGAGCAAAGCAGCAACTTACTCAACAATGTCCAGACGTACCTCAAGAACATGTCTGATGAGGTAAAGTCGAATATTTAACACACACACACACACACATTTTTTTACATACTTAGTACGTTAAGTGTACCATTTCATTGCAACTTGACGGATCGACTAAAACGAACAAATCGAACAATAAACAAATATTTGAGCGAATGTGAAAATGCATTTTGTACATCAATATTTAGTTTTATTGAAATTATTCGTTTCATACGTCACGACTCCTTCTAAATGTATATGAAAATTAAAGGCTGACTTATTTGTTCGCAGTATCGGCGCGCTACCTCCTCTTCGAATACCTAGAGACCTAGAGATAGACGTATTTTTGAAATTAGAGATAAAAGAACATCGCCACATCGCCTAATTTTCTACGTAGAGTATAGAGGATTGTTTACTCTCTGAACAAATTGGCAAGAGAAAAGCCGACCAGCTTTTATCGATCTATTATTCTAAATCGATTCTCAAAGAGACAATCTACGCGAATGAGCAAAAGAGATAATTGATCGATGTCGAAATTGAAAATGAAAAAATTACAGTGCAATTTATATATGTTCAACGATTCAAAATATCGTTTATATATCAATACGTTACGTAATACAGCAAAAAATTATAATCTTATTTAATATGTTGTTATTATAATATATCCGTATATGAACCAAAAACAATTTCAAAGTAAACGATAAATTACACTAACACGTTTTTTTATTATTTTTGTACTTACACAATAGAAAAATGTCCTAAATCCTGTATAACATACACTTTTTTTGTCAAGAACATTATAAAATAAATACTCAATAGAGTTATATATAGCTTACGTATGTATACTTGAGAAATATCGAACGCACTTAAAATTGTACAAATCGAATGATTCAATAGTATCTTAATTTCCCTTGTTACGTATTTTCTGTTAAATAAGTATTGTTAAAAATAAAATATTAAATAATATATTGTTACAAAAATTATATATATATAGATATATATTGCGCTACTCAATAATTGAGATGTCTTCACATTCGCGTACATTTAATTATATTTCGCATACATCTTCCGATACATTCTTCCGAATTTCTTCGAGAAAAAAAATATTTTGTGTTCTTTCCAAAATTTGAGAAAAAAATATTCTTGGCTGTACGCACGCATGACCGATCATTTGCAGATCAAGACGAAGAGGCCTGGGTTGGAGGACTTTTGGACAAATATGAACAACAAACTGTCCGAAACGTTCAACAATTTCAACTTCAATCCTGAAACAACGGAGCAGATAAATCAGCTGCGTACCAAGTTTCAAGAGGGTGTTCAGACTCTCGTGACAGAATCAGAGAACGCTGCTAAGACCATCAACGAGAATTCTAGCAAGGTTCAGGAAGGTATCGCCAAGTTTACCAAACAAGCGATCGACATCGCCGTGCAGGCTTCGCAGAACTTGAGTAATCAGTTGCAGCAGGCCACGACACCACAACCAGAAAATTAAGGACTCCAAATTATTCCTACAAATTATTAGTATGAGTGATATCTTGGATAAATTCGCGAGAGATCAAATTTCGCCAAATCTGCGTAATTTTCGTGTCGTGTTGTAAACATACTTGATAGCTGACGAATAATTAATAAAAGTACTTAATCGTTATAACATCATGTGATCTTTATTTGTTTCTATAAATTATCATATTATTTTCACATAATTATTTCGATAAGATATCTTATTCCTTAATATTCTTATGTAATTTTCACAATAAATGAACTCTGCATTTAGATTGATTAAGTCATAGTTGGATCTTATATTTCAAAGAGATCATCTTAAGTACAGGCTTAAAATGTTATTAATTAAAGAGCCGTATTAGCATCTTAAAATATTACTTATAAATAAAGTTGAAAAGTAATGCCTTGTAGAGCCAGTCACTGGTTGTGTATGATTTGGTTCATTCAAAATTAGATGACAATTCCAATTACAAATATATACGTTTCGATCTCGTTTCGGATCTTTATTAATGTCTGTACAATTCTAGTAGTCTACAATCTTTTTAACGGAGTCATTATATACTGTCTGGTACACTAATTGAACAATTTGGTGTAATTACAAAATATAAAAATTAAATTAAAGGCATTATTTATCGACTATATGATACATCTTTACAGAGCTTTATGCTTTATTAATTATATTAATTTTAAAGTTGAAAAGTTTTACTTTTTCTATTACTTTTTATGATAAACAATTTAATAACGACGTTGCAATTTTTTATAATTAAATGCTAAGGTTGTATCCCAGCGAGAAATGACTCATAATAATGACTCGTAATAATATCGAATCGATATCGAAAATGTATTTAGAAAACTATTCGGAATATTCATCAATTTCGATGAATTTGTGATACTCGATTCGATGAATTTTCACAATGCTCTAAAGAATACTGCACTAATACAACATTTTGGCGAAAAAAAAAATAATTTTTTATTGATTATTATTTACTTTTCTAGTTTTAGTCAGCTGTCTTCGCTGTTTTGTGTATATTCCATGTATCTTATTAATTATATAATTAATTTTTGAAAAAATATTGCCGATGAGATTTGTTGAACCTGTAAATACCTAGAACGGTAACTAATTACACTAACGCTGAGCACGCACGCACGCACGCACGCACACACACACACACACACACACACTCTCTCTCTCTCTCTCTCTCTCTCTCTTACAAATAAATCATCACCTATACCTTCTACAATAACTATTCTTAATTTCGTATCTCTGTTGATAAATTAATATTTAAGGAGATAAAAAATGAAAACGAAATTATGTTAGTATTTATTAAGTAGTAGAAATAGTAATTACATTACTATTTATTCCTAATCTCTATTTGTTCATAACTTAATATTTAACAAAAGGAGATTGAATGGAAATGAATTATACCAGAGATTCACTTTTGTTGCGAATTTATGATAGAGTATGAAAACTTTCTGTTGTAATTAAACTTGTCTGTTAGAGCATCGATCTTTCATCATTCCAATATTAATTCAAAGTTATTTCGAGATTTACTTTTACAATTTATTTTATATACATTACTCAACAAAAAATAGGGAACACTTTCGAACACGCTAAAAATTGAGTAATATTCAAAATTCACCATAACTCGGTGAAAAAATCTTTGCAAAGAAAAAATTAAAAAAATATTTTGAAGGTTGAAATCCACTTACGAAATCTGTAATTAAATTCAATATTATACCGATCCTTTATGGAATTATATATATATATATATATAAAAAGTGAATCTTCATCTTCAATTTGCTTTTTTAACGAACATTGTACGATTTTTTTTCACCGAATTATTGTTGAAGCAAAAATGATCACCGCTAACTCGGGTTCGTGCGTCTGTCAGCAAGAGTTCCGGGTTAAGAGCGAACTTCAAGTTTTCTCTTTCTTTGCTAAACAGTAGCTAAACGATTGCTTGGTTAAACGATACCATCAAGAGACAGGACAATAGAATAAAGGATAATGGAATCGACATCGATTTTCAATTTGACAATTTCGATGTTGAATCAACGTCAATTCTATTATCATTTCTGGCTGGAAAGTGATCGTCGTTGTGTAACTATACAGTCCGACAAGATCGACAAATATGTTCATCATATTTTGAAAAGACAAATGATTACTGCAAGATACGTTTAAAATGAAAATCCTATTTTATATCGTGTGAGCGAATAAACGATCCGTCATCGTTTAAAAGAGGCGGGTCTTCGTTCTCGTGCACAAGTGCCAAGACTTACACTCGCATATCGTCTGGCTCGTCTTCAATTTGCTCGCAATCTTATAAACTGGACTGCGAGGCAATGGAAAAGCGTGTATTTTTCTGATAAATCGCGTTTCCATCTTCACGGTAATGTTCACATAAGCACTTGGCGTCAACAAGGAGAACAATATGACCGATGTTGCGTTATGCCAATTCGAGCTCATAACGGCGGTTCAGTGATGGTATAGAGATGCATTTCATTAACAAGATAAAATAAATATTATCCTAAATACGTATACAAACAAATAATTGCAGAAAACTGTACATATATTATATATAAATATTAAATATGAATGTATATAAAAGATCTGGACTTTAGATCTGTGCTTGCGATCATTAAAGATATTGCAGTAAAAATGTCATTGTAATAAGAGGTTTATTATTGGAAATTTCTACAGCAAACACAAAATTTCTGTATTTATTGTTTATTATCGCATATAATGTGTTAATAGCAATGGGTGAAAGATGAAAGCACAAATACAAAAATAGAAATCGATAGTTTCTCAGCATCTTTCATAATTGATCGTAATGGAAACTCGTATTCGTAGAATCCCTTTACTTCGTTACGTGAATAGTAAACGTATGAAAATAAATCAAAATTAAAAATGATTTTTCGGATAATTGCTGTTAATGCATCGTGACGCTCATCATATTTCATGTAAACAGATAAATATTTGCTAATGCGTGCTTGGAAATCGACACGAGTATATACAATATAACGATGTCGAGAAGCAGAATTTCCGTATCTGAATGATATCGATGAAAGTATCGTCAATATCACGTTTTAAACGTCACGTGACATCTAATTTTAAATTAATGACTTAAGATAAAATTCAAACACACTATGATAATAATTGATTAATACATCTGAAATTTCCATCTTTCAAATGTACTGTTTTAAATAGTTATGTTGGATATTATATATAAAAATATATTGTATATACATATATTTGTGCGTGTGTGTGTTAGTTTTAATAGAGTAAAAAATTAAATATTAGACAACAGAAAATGTGCACACACACACACACACACGTGTATATGTTAGATAATAAAGAATAAGAAATGTTCATTTGCTTTTTCAGTCAACGTAGTCAAATACAAAACAATTCTTTTTTACCTGTTATTGGATTTAGTAATAGAATTTAGTAATGACAAAAAAAAAATGATTACACTTAATCAGCGGATTCCACTTTGCTTTCGCGTTGCAAACGTCAGTCAAACCCACTTATTATAAAAAGAATTCGCCGATGTGACCTATAAATAAAATGTCAATTTTAATTGACACAACATTGTATTAAAATGACTCAAGATTAATAATCCCTAATCCATTTTTTCTAACGTATTAAAGTTATATTCTACACATTCAATCAAGTTAATTAATTTTAATGTAAAAAGATATATAAAATTATAAAAACGATTCCGTACATCTACACAATATGCAATCGAACATGCACACATATACGGTTCTTATAAAAGAATGCAAATCGTCGAATCGTCTCATTGTTAGTTACGGATTCGATATATTAATCAAATCAATGAGAGTGCATTATTCTTGCTAATTATTAATTTATTGAAAAACTTGGAGAAGAACTTTGGAGTAGACGGTGTCGTTACACGGAGAGATTAGTGCGATTTTACCAAAATGGATTTATTATTTTTCTCAGTCTCTGTTATATACATGGTAAGATCAAAATAAGACATACATACAGTTATTTTGCGTGCGCATAATTATTTTAATTTAATTTAATCAAGAAGATAACTTTAAGTTTACACCGAGCAGTTGATATACGTATTAATTAGTAACTATTATTATTATTATGTGTGTGTGTGTGTGTGTGTGTGTGTGTGTGTGTGTGTATGCTATTAAATTATTTTAATTTTAACAATATATTTAAAGAATGATGTGCTAAAATTGATACAATATATACATTAAAATAATTCATTAAATATATCATGAATGAATATATTTACATGAATCGCCGAAATTAAGATAATTCAATAGAAAGTTATTAGTTAATACCCGCATATCAAAAATGCACGAAGTAAACTAGACTAATAGTATATATCCTCTTTTAATAAAAATTAATTTTGTCAAATTTTGCTAGATATCACTTGCAAACATTGTTGAAATATCAGCGGAAAATAAATCTGAACGATTGTCCAGGAATTTACTAAAAACAGAATCACAATTCCAAATATCAGACGATGACAGATCTGAAAGGATAAATCGTGGATTTGAAAAAATAATCGAATTGATCAATGTTTTGGGCCAAATGGATAATTTTGTTTACGATAGAACGAAAGACATCATTCGCAAGCTCAATACAATGTACGATGTGGACGAAAATAAAATAATTAGATATCGGGTATCTGATTCTAAAATCATATAATACAGGAAACAATTCCTTTAAAATAAAAAAAAATGTATATATATTTTTTAAATAATTATATTAAATGTTTGTAATACTATAAATTATTATATATTTTAGTCAACCCATGAATTTAAATCTATTGACCGATATTTATAATTTATTTTATGATCATCTTAAATATAATATCTTAAGATAATGATACGATTTTCTGATTAGTTCATGACATCTTAAGACTGTACTTAAAGCTGTGTTGTTATTTCAGCTTCCTTCTTCTCTTAATTAAGTTAATTTTTCTATTTTCGGAACAAAATACACATTTTTTTTGTTAATTATTATAATAATATACAATTACAAAAAGTACATAAATATTCTCTAATGCTTTACGTTATGGACACACATATATATATATATATATAAATATATATATATATATATACATATATAAAATTACTAATTATTTATACATATATATCAATATATGTATGTATATTAATGTGTGTGTGTGTGTGTGTGTGTGTTGCATAATATCGCAGTTAAGCCAAAACTCGTTTACATTTATAATATAAATCTGAATAGAAATCTTCAAACTGTAATAATTATTTTATATCTATTATGATAAGAAACTGAAAGAAAGTGAAAGAGATTCTGTCAAGCTCTATCGACGATAATGATAATGACTGCGACGTATCTGAATATGAAAAAGTTACAGATCCGGACTGTGTGTTTCAATATTTCCGCTCGTAAGGCACGTAGAAAAAAAATAAAAGCACTTTCATTACACAATTCGAGTGGGCGCTATCGATCGAGCGTAGAACTTGATCGGTTCAGCTGTTATTGAGGTATATCCAACCTCAATCCTCCGTAACTCGCGGTCTCGCGTAAAGAAGCACGGCAGTGTCTTTTATTTTACAGCGCCAAAACGCTATCGTGTCCAGATAATACGAGCCGCGGGTCTACAATAAAATACGACAAAACAGTCGTAGCGGTCATAGCCTCGACAGCACAGAATATTTATGATAAATATTTATTACTATCCATTTTTTTAAATGTTATATAAATATTTTACGTAAAGCTTTGTTCGAAAAATGATTGAGATAAAGACTAAATATTCTATCTAAATTCAAGAAACGCTAATATGGTCAAAGTTAGATATTGAACTGGTACATATATACATATTCTTTGAAATAATTTATTTCAGAATTATAATTACGTGCCAGTTCCTATCGGACTTTCAACATAATTCATCTGTGTGTAGGTCCCTGCATACAAAAGGTATAGTCGGCAATGAAAAATGATGACTTGCTAAAATTGGTGTCAAAGAAGGCGACAGGATTCATTTAAAGATTCCGTTCACGAATATATTCTCGGAATCTAGAAACACTATTGTTAATCAGTTTCGCGGTCATCTTAACGAGGAATCTTTGCAGAAAGATCACCTCTACGAACACTTCTTTTGGAACGCATCTATGAAGCCTCGGTTTGCTAAACTTCATCTAAAAAGGGAGATTATTCTAATTAATCGCATCAGGTCAAACCATTACAACTTAAATTATAGTTTGTTCCGAAAAAACATGGTCAGTTCTAAATCCTGTCTATGTAGAAATCCTTATCAAGACGTTAACCACATAATTTTCTATTGCCTCATCATCAAAGCCGCCAATCTTATATTTCATACATTGATGAAACGCACCCTGGTGCTCCCAAAGAAATCATCCCCCAAATTCTGCCGCCTTCTCCTAGCTTTCTTCAAATCAAACGACCTTCTCATTTGAATTTTTCTCGTCCGGCTAGCGACTCGTGAGTTTGTAGGGCGGACGAACTCGCTAACGGTAATCTTCCCTCTGTATTCTACATTACTCATGATTAAACTTTCGTTACTCACTGCCAAGCGCGGCTGTCTCGAATATCTTGACACTGGCCGAATCGACTCCGCCACAAAAACAGGAGTCGGGGTCACTCCTTTATGGAGAAAAAGTTCAGAAATTACGCCTAGATAACTCTAGGCTATAGTTTACGTTAAGTATATTATAGCAAAAATGCTCCCAAGGGTTATCTGAGCATAATTCCTGAATGCACCCAAGAGGTAATTCTCGAGGGGCGGGAGGAAAGGGGAAAGAGAGAACTAAAGGAATGAAGAGCTCGAGGAAAGAAGACGCGCATGAAAATTGGTTTTTAACGTATTGATTTTATTTTGATGTTTTTCTTCTTTTTAAATCTCTTTAATATAAAATCTGTTTAACGATGCCACACATTCAACTATCTCTCTCATGCAAAAGTTGTTTTTGCTTCCTTCCATTTATATACACGATTAGGTCTAAGGCCGTAGTTGTTTAACTTTCTTTTCCCAATCGGTATCGAGCGTGGACGAAAAATTCATCTGAACAGAGCCTTTTACAAGGGAAATCTGAGATTAGTGATTGAGATTGGGGAAGAAAAAAATCAAGTATTTTGCACCCTTCTTCTATTCAACTCGACATCAGTGCTTGTGCCATCAAATTCCGATAGATCGACCACACACACACATACACACACGCGCAACACACACGCACGCATATCTCTAGTTCGGAATAAAACCTGTTTTTTTTTTAGTCTTCCCATTTTTAATCTTGTCTCCTTCCTTATTTTGATGACATCTGTACAACGGCACGCGCAAATGAAAATATTTTCACACACTGTACACACATTCTTACTCTAAACGCGACAAATATAAATTTATCCTTTCGAACCTGATCGAGGGAGTACGGCGCGATCTCTTTATCCTGAGTCTTATCTTCAAGCAGAACAGTCTGCTGCCACGATAGAGTTTACGCATGTAATTCAAATGGTGAGATACCGATTCTTTTTCGTTTCTGATCTCATCCCTTGTCTTAATTGGCAGTATACGCTATGTTCAGATAGATTTCCAAGTCCATGGTATCAAGCATCCATACGTTTTTCACTTGTCGACAAGAGGTACATAATTAGGCAAAGGATTCGTCATTCAAGAAATTGCATTACTTCACTAATCGCAAGTCTCTGACTAAGTATATGGCGTTATCCTCAGTGCAAGGTTCAATGATGAGGTTCTTTTTCTTTTTTATCGAGATTACTAATGGATGTTTCATGATACACGTCGTGTAATGAAGTAATAGTTAAATATAGGAAATGATGAAGCCTTGCCACGTTTTCCTTCCTACATCTCGTATACAAGGGCCAATTTTTAATCAGTAATTTGGAGAGTGACAAAGCTTAAGCTGCGTCCCGACTATCGAGCTGAAACGCGAACCGGAATATGATAGCTAGTTAATTACGCATTTGTTTTTGAATATATATATATGTGTGTGTGTTGCAGCAGCTATTTTTAATGTATTCTTGTCTATTATATATGCGCGTATATTTAATTATATAAAACATAATTAAAATATCACGTACAATATGGATCACTTGCAACGCTCGTGAAATTTGGTTAAAGCTCGACTTGATTTCGGCTCGAAGTTCAGCTCGATAATTTCAATTCGAAGCTCGGTTCGAGGTTCGCGGCTACAGTATAGCAACACGAGATGTAGAGTTTACCATTGAAATTAAATCGTTAAAACTTCAATAGTAAACTCGACTGTGAAGACGTAAAATTATATACCTCTCGAATGTCTGCTGTTTGCACCGTTAACGTTAGCACGATTTGTCAGTATGCAAATGTTGTATCTCGCATACTCGTTGTAATCTTTCGCGCATTCAAAGATCCTGCATGTATCAACATCTCGTAACAAAACTCATTATCAACAAATCGCAGAATCGCATATCTCGCTAGCGTTTTACCCTGCAAACCGTACTCCAGTTTTGTTAATTATCGCTTGCTTCATTCAATGTTCTAACTCGAAAGAGTCGCGATCGTCCTATCTTCTTTTCTCCGAATTCTTCCTTAATGAATGGAATCAACACTCGGTCACAGGCAAAAAAATATGCCACATGGACTTTCCATATACCTTATTCTCATGTAATTTCAATAATCATTTCGATTAAAAAGAACTAACGGAAAAAAGCCAGAGAAAGGGAAAGAGAGAAAGTATTCGCTCGCGTGATCGATCTTGTTTTTCCGTTGGATTGTTACTTGACGATGTAATGCGAGCTATGTTTTGTATATATATATATATATATGAGAAAATTAAAACCTCTGAATTTAAAATACGTCTATCAAACGCGAGCGATCCCTCATTTATTTTCCGATGTATTGAGCACTACTCGATAAAATGCATGATCCAAAAGATCATTAAATCTTTCTCCGGGGTACACATGCTAATCCGATAAAAGTGAACTTGTGGAAATTTTGCGAAATTGCATAATGATAAACTATCATTTTACAATTTTAAAACTTGATTTAAATAATCAAGAAAATTTTTACGGGATTCGATAATACAGGCCATAGGTCATTCAACGATCGACCTACATTTGAATAACAAGTTACCTTCAAGATGGTCAACACTCTCCAATCATTTATAATCATTTATAGTAATATACGGGATATTATTAATCATTGGCTGAAAGTTGTATAATCAGCCTCTTTTTCCTCTCATTGTAAGCAAGTGTATGCAAGAGTTTAATTTCAAAATGTTTATCAACATAGAAAGTTGACGAATGATGCTTAATTTATATTAGTTATAGCGATCGATAAATCGAGAACGCATAATTAAAGCGAGCAGCTCTTTGAAAGTTCAAACAATTGACACACCATCATGAAAGTAACTTAATTTTGAAAGTCTTATCCTACCTTTTCAGAATACTATCGCTTTTCCTCTTCTTTTATTTTATGCCGTAGCTACTGATTGTGCGGTAAAATGACAGGTATAGTCTGTTGCGCACCCGGGGGTGGCTGCGGTGGCAGGTATTGCATGTGTTGTGGTGGAATTGATGGTATATGGGATGGAATTATAGGGCACATAATCGGATAGCTCGGTGCATGACCTTGCGGCGGAGGTTGCGGATATGTAGGCTGTGGAGTACCAGGTGGATTATAAGCTCCCGGTGTATGTGGTTGATTCGGATTGGCTGGGGACGGCGTTTGGCTAGGTGGCTGCTGAGCTACATGAGGATGCGGATGAGTGTGCGGACCCATATATTGTATACCGGGTGCTTGCGGCCCTTGCGAATCATGGTGATGATGGTATGGGGTGGCCATGTGGGGTGGCGGCGGTGCCTGAACCATTCGTACCATTTGTTGATACGCCGGTTGTCCTGGATAAGGCACCTGGAATGGATGTATAGCTGGCGCTAATAATGGCTGCCCCGTTGCTGCGGCCACTTGCATCTGAGATGCTATATCTGGTGCACGATGCTGCATCATAGGTACTGTAAAAATCGTATAATACACATATATATTCATTTTATGTTTGTGTGTGCGCGCGTGTGTATAATTATGAAATCGGCATAATTGAAATACAGGGGAAAAAATATAAATAAAATAACTTGAGAGAAAGAAAGAGCGATTTCAAGTTTGTTAAATGTAAAATTTATACGCGAAAACAAATTGTTTAGAAAAAATAAAAAATTTTTTTTCAAATTTCTACTAGTGTTGAAAAAAATTACACAATAATAATTAGATCTTACGAACTATGATATATTATTACTACATTCGTATTATTACGAATACACAAAGAAACTTGCGATACAAATGTATCGTGTAAGAATATTCAAGGAATACTGACCCTTCCGGAACCTTGCCACTTGTTGAGTAGGTGGTTGACTAAAAGCTGTCTGTGTTACATATGCCGGCATTACGACAGTCGCAGGCATAGTCGCTCCTGTATACTGAGGAGTTTGTGGTGTATGCGGTCGACTAGGCGTCGGTGTGCTAGGTGAACGCTATACATTGTAAAAATACAAATCATATTGTTTCCATTCCAGGAATCATTCTTTTATTCTAGAAAGAAAAAGTACGAAAAACTAGGAACATATACCATAGTATACGTTACATATTTTCTTACTTTCTCGTATGTTTCTTTTCAAGAATAGGAGTCTAGTTCAACTTTTCATAAGCTGTGATGTACATTACTTACCGGCGTGAATGGCTTGGCGTTTGGATTAAATTCTTTAGCGTTTGGATTTAAAGTAGATTTCTTAAAAGCAGTAGTTATCTTATCGACCGCAGGTTCCGATGGAGACTGTTGTACTGTGGAAGTATTCTGAGGAGTCTGAACTGGTTGTGATGGTGGTGGTAGTGGTGGCTGTTGTTGTTGTTGTGGTTGTTGTTGTGGTGATGATGGTTGTTGCTGCTGCTGCTGTTGTTGTTGTTGCTGCTGCTGCTGCTGTTGCTGCTGCTGCTGCTGTTGTTGAGGTGGACTTGTGGATCTTACTAATGGACCAGGTGGAGGCTTACTGGTAACTGTTTCTTCTTGTACAGTTTGATGTTGCTGATGAGAACTGGTATGCTGCTGTGGAGATGGTTGCTGCTGCGATTGCTGCTGCGGACTTGTATGTTGATGAGGACCTTGGTGATGCGGCTGATTCATCGAAGTGGTGGAATGTACATCTTGTTGATGCTGATGCTGTTGTTTTCTGGATATTTGAGGGGTATCCGAGGATCCCTGCGATTCTGCTAATTTAAATTCTGTAGCAAATTGTCTCAATTCCGAATGCTGTTCTTCTCTTCCACGTGGTGTAGGAACCTTAAAGTAAAACTTATAAGTTGCCCTGCGAGTTAAAAAAAAAAGAATTTGAATGAAAATATATATACCGTACCTTTCTATGATCTGATTTATGTATAACTATTTGCCCTTCTACAGAGTTTTGCTGCGTCAATGATGTATGTTGCGTAGATTGTTGCTGTTGCTGTTGTTGTTGCTGAGAAGATGCAACGTTTGATTGTGGAAATGGTGCTGGTGGAGCTTTGTCAGCTTGATAAACCTGTTGTCTGCCAGGCCGCTCACGTTTCTCTGTATTTATTTTATTCGGAGGTGTCTGTTGTGGCGGGAAACTTACTTGCGGCATTGAAGGAGTAACTTGAGGTTGCGATTGATTTTGCTGGATTACTATATAAAAAAAATGTATAATTATCGTCAAGGCGATCGTACAGAAACTATAATAGCGGCTTTCATTACAAGTTTGCTATGTAGAAAGAGCTATAATTATGATTCCAGATATATACGAAGAGCTGTGATCAATAGAAAATTGTTTCTGTATACACGGAATATTGCAGCAGCGTCAATTTTGATAACTTCGTAAAGTTGATTTAGTCGAAAGCATAATCGTCGCGTAGAGCAGATTATCGATAACGCTTTCCGTTCAATTTTCATCTTTAGAAGAAAATGCAAACGATACGAAATAATATTACCTTGCTGTGACTGCGTCGTTGATGGAGGCACAAATGGCGGTGGTGGATTATTATATGTAACAACCACTCCATTGGGCGGCATACTCATATTTAAGGATACCGGATGTTGCACCGAAGTATGAACAGGCTGTACTCCAACCGACATGTTCGGTTGTGGGACATTCACCGTAACCGTAGACGGAGAGGGTTGACTGTAGACATTCTTATTACTTGTGGTTCCTGGCGAAGACGGGGGTTCATTGGATCTCATCAATTTACTAGTGTTACCATTTTTCTTTTTCAATGGCGGCGGAATATATTTTCCTTCAGTGGGTCGTGTCTAAAATTAGATAACTAATGAGTTTGATGGATAAAAAAAAAAAATTTTCTGAGATATAATCTGAATCTTACCACAGCCGCAAATCTTTCCTCCTCATCGCCATTTTCCAGTTCTAATCTAGCTTTATGATTCGGTTGAGATTCGATCTCATTTGCTATTTCAGCAGCTTTTTGCTCCTGTTCCTTGTAATCTTTCGTATCTTTACGTTGTAGTTGTAGAGTATAACCGACCAAAGAAGGTTCAAATGTCGTTTGAACTCCGTATTCTTGTTCATTTTTACGAAACATTTCGTTGACGTCCCAACCGTTCTAAAAATTGAATAATTTTACACACAATTTATTTAATAAATAGGATAGAAAGTCCTCTTAAAATCCAAATAAATGTATATGCTTACAGCAGCACCATCCAATTCTAAATCAGCTCCGTTCATGGTAGTCGGTGGATCCCAGGGTTCGAGCTCCTTCTCACCGATCAAACCATTAAACTTACTAATGGCTGTGTCTGTTTGAAAGGTATCTCTTATAGCATAATCTAAATCAACGTCCTTGGCAGATATAGTAACAACGTCTTGTGGTTTAAAAATTAATTTCTCTACTACACTATCTACGCAAATCTTTCCAGAGCTCTCTACACGATGAGCTAATTCCAGCACTACGTCAAATTGACTCGAAAACGTTCTAAACACACCCTCGTACACGGAGCCATTTTGAGTTTGAATCTGTGTAAAAAAACAAAGTAAAGAATTTAATATTAATTTATCCCACAATAACATTGCACAAGTTATACGTATAATATGAACAATATAGTCATGTGTTTGCTACCTGTACAGTGTTGCCAACATGGCTAGTAACGGCATGCATAAAATGAGCATTATTATAAACCCCCTCTGCTGCAACATTCCTTTCTTGTGGTCCACGTGCTCGTGGAGATCTGGAAAAAGACATGGATAAAAAAAACATTATTTTTCTATATATAATCATCAATATATGTTGCTATGTTTTGGATATTATACCTGCTATTATGATCTTGACGAGGAAAGCCAAGTGATTGGCAGTACCTGTTATTTGTACGATTCTTCCTCTTGCTGTTCATTTTGTTTGATGGTTCTTCACCAATCGTTGATGGATTTCTGCCACCGATTTGTTGGAGGCTCTCTCGTTTCCTAGTAGGGACCGGAATTTTGACTACTTTCCCAATACTGCTTGACGTCAAAAATATCCGGATTTTTTTGTCCGTGGACGGGTACGGGACGTACGAATGTCTTTATGCAACGTTCTTACGTTTGTCGGTGTGACTTGAGACAACTGACGCAATGAGATGAAGAAAAAGAAGAACGAGGATATAAAGATAAAAATGAAGATAAATATGAGGATGAGATAAAGGATAAGGAAGAAAAAGAGGCTGGCGTGGCAACTATCAACATTCACGAGGACTTTTAGGTTATATATTGAAACAAACCTAAACGCAAAGCAGCACAAAGTGTGTGAACGTACGATGCACGAGGCAAAGTCTTGAAACTCAAAAATTGTGTGTTTTAAACCGCGGCTCGATACAGAAGCGAGATGCAGTCACGATCACAGCACGAAAATAATCCCTCAGACGAAACGGAGGACGCGCGTACGCGATATGTACATGCGTGACGGCTCGACGGGGGTGTAAGTGCACACGGACCAAGGCGTGAGCGTAAAAGCTGGCTTTTAAACAAGCACCACGCTCGTATCTCGATAATTGTCAACGACCGCGTGACGTAACGCCTTAAACGACGAGTGCTCACCGTTCTTCGACGACGAAGTATCAATACAGAAAGTTGCGTGCTACGGTTCGTTGTACATACAACTCTCAGCCAACGGGTACGTACCAACGGGGTTTACTCGGATCTATGGAAGGGAAAAAGAGAAGGAAGGAACGAGGGTGGGGGAGAAAGTGAGAGAGAGAGAGAGAGAGAAAGAAGGAACGTACCGACACTACCGACGATCGTGAAGAGTGCGAAGTGTAAACTATGACGGCCTGCGAACGACGCGTGCCAAGCCAAGTGCGGCGGCGAGGAATCCGTGAAGATGCGCGTTTCTGTCTCTCCTAGTTGTCAACTAATCAACATGTGGCAGAAAAATACACGACAGACTCGCAACCTCTCAACGTACCTACAAGTCGCCTGGCCTGATCAACCTGATCACGGTGACTCTTGGACGCAGTCGCCACCTGGTGAACATGTCCGGCCCGTTCACTTGGAATCGTGGCGCAATCGTGACTCTAATCTAATGGGCCGTCTACAATAGGTGCATTCAGTACGACGACCCCTCATTGAGCGCTTTAAGTGAACTTTTATATGTGTTTGGTTTATATTTTTAGATCTAATGGAATACGCCAATCACATGAGGCGTATCGCATAACCTCGCATAACCAATCAGTGATCAGTGATCTTTTGATTGGTTAAGGCCATCACACGTACACAAATTTTAGTAGGAATCGTAAGGTCTTAAGCAAATCGGCCAATCACAGTTTGGCGTATTAAAATGTGAGATCGTAATCTCTTGATTGTGATTGGTCGATTTGCTTAAGACCTTACGATCCCTACTAAAATTTTTGTACGTTTGATGGCCTTTACTCTAATAACGAAAATTCAGGTTTAAAAAAAGGTTAATTGGCCTTTGATCGGTCATATCTCGTTTCCTACCACATTTATCGAAAAACGGTTCAGACATTTTTGTACTTTTAGTAAAATATTTCGCGAACTATCCATCGTAGAGAAAAAAGTTATAAAGATAACTTGTAGAGCATGAAAAAACCTACAAAATGAGCTATTATAACTTCAAAAATCTTCAATAGAAGCCGAGTTATTCAAAAAACAAATTTTTTGGGGGTTTTTAAGCTTAGCAAATTTGCCTCTTCCTTAATCACTTCGAAAACTTAGAGTTAAGCTTTTTTAGACCCCTCACCCCACATGCCAGAAAAAGAAAATCGCTTTTTCCAATTTTTGCAAGGCAAAATGACAATTTGACTGGACTATTGGTGTATTCTTTTAAATCATCCAATCAGAATTTTAAATCTGGAAGAATACACCAATAATAGCGAGCGCTCACCCAACTGTTGAGTCCGCTGAATGCGCTCATTATATCCGATTTTCGTCATACGACGACTCTGCAACCAATCAGAAAACAGGATTTTGCTTCTTTTTTATGATACGATTTTTCTGATTGGTTGCAGAGTCGTCGTACGAACATCGGATGCAGTGTGAATCCAGCATTATACGGCAAATACGCCTCATGGAACAGCCCCTAAATGCACCCAAGAGGTCACAGAACATGAAGAAAGCATATTTTTAGCGCTACATGTAGTCGTATGACAGATTTCCTAACCTCAACAGTTGTTAACTTTAACGCTTAATATCTCGGTTCAGAGGGCAGAGCGACACTTTTTATTGCTAGATTCGTTCGTTTCGTGCAAAGACGCATCGAATGAATGTATTTTTATCAAAATTTGAACTGAGCGGGGTATTCTATATCCCTTTACCTGTGTTTCAATGTTTTTTTTTTTATAAATAAGAAGTAAAAAGAAAAAGATCATAATGAAAACACAGAAATGGAAGGAGCTGGATGTGGGATTGAGTGATTCTATACTGAAAACTCTCGAGCAGTTGGGATTTTCCTATATGACACCAATTCAGGTTATACATATACATATATATCTTATGATACATATATGTACTGTGTGTGTCATTGTACATATAAATGGAAATATGTTAGAAATGTATGTGAATCATTCAAAATATTATATATTCACATATTATTATTATTATTATTATTGTATAGGCAGCTTGTATACCTTTATTGTTAAATGGTAAAGATGTTGCGGCAGAAGCAGTTACAGGTAGTGGCAAGACCCTTGCTTTTCTTATTCCTCTATTGGAAATATTACAGGTAATCTTTTATTATATGCATTTATCTTTTTAAACAGATTTAGTATAGCAAAATGATGATAGATATAAAAACAAATTTTAAAAATAGTTCATGATTGCATACTATTCTAAAGATTTATGTGATTGCATTACATATAAAATAAGCATAATGTATTTTTTTAATGTGTGCATAGAAACGAAATGAAAAATGGAAAACTATGGAAGTAGGAGCGATAATAGTCAGTCCTACAAAAGAATTGGCTTTACAAATTAGTGAAATTCTAGAAAAGTTCTTAAAAACGATTCCATTGTTAAAGCAAGTATTACTGGTTGGTGGTGTGACGCTTCAGAAAGATACAGAAAACTTAAAAAAAGGGGCAAATATTATTGTTGCTACACCTGGTAGATTGAAAGATATTCTGTCTAATCACATCAATTTGGGTCTGAATATAAAATCTTTGGTATGTACCTTATTGTTATAATGTCATTTTTTATATGACATGGTATTAAATTATTAACTAGGTACACTCTTATTTTTCTAGGAATTTTTTGTATTAGATGAGGCAGATAGATTATTAGACTTGGGATTCTCTGTTACTTTAGATAGTATTTTAAGTTATTTGCCACGTCTTAGAAGAACAGGATTGTTTTCTGCAACACAGACGAAAGAATTACAGCAATTGATCAGAGCAGGACTGAGAAATCCAGCATTGATTGTTGTGAAAGAAAAGTCTAATGTCTCTACGCCTATAAATTTAAAAAATAGTTTTATAATTGTTGAGCCTGAATATAAGTTTCCAGTAATGATAGATTTTATACGTTCAGTAGGATTTGAAACAAAATATATGATATTTTTACCTACCTGCGCAGGTGTGGATTATTTCAGTCGAGTTATACAGGTGTAAGGGTATAATTAAAAAATATTATATATCAAACAAAGTAAATAAATTAAAAGGTCGAACATATACCACACACTGTCATGAGTTAATGAATTTTGTCTATATTTTAAAATAAATTTACATAAACGTTTCGGCTTTAAATGTGACAATCTTCAGTATACAAAAATTAATAATATTATTATTAATAACATAATCATTGTTATTAATTTTTGTATATACTGAAAATGGTCACATGTGTCCTTGGCGACACCATTCAAGATTAAAGTGATAAAATCAGTAAATAGATCTTTTTAAACTGTACAACTTTTATCGTGAACACTTTTCTGTAAAACTTATATTTTTCGAGATATTTAGAGGTTCCTATCTTTTTTGGACACTCTGTATATACATACGTATGCATATTTGCAGATTATTACCATCGATAAACGTACTTGCTTTACATGGTAAAATGAAAAGTAAGAGATACAAAGTGTTTGATAAATTTCGATCTTCCGAAAATGGCATTTTAATATGCACAGATGTAATGGCTCGTGGAATCGATATATCGGAAATAGACTGGGTGTTACAATACGATCCTCCCAGTACAGCTAGCAATTTCATACACAGGTAACATAACAGGCGCTACATTACATACGTCGAAACAGATATAGTGATACTTTAAAAATTTATTCTCTAAAGTTCTAAAATGTTAAATTTTATTGTATAGATGCGGTAGAACTGCGAGAATCGGTAATGAAGGAAACGCATTGCTATTTCTTCTAGAAACAGAGAGTGCATATGTAGATTTCGTTAAAAGAAACCAAAAAGTCGAGCTGCGTCAGATGGAAAGAGAATTAAACGAGAACACTGTTCACGAATGCTTACAGTGTATGAGGCAGATGCAACAAAAGGATCGACTTATGTTTGATAAAGCCAATCGTGCCTTTGTTTCATACGTGCAGGCATATAGTAAACACGAATGTAATTTAATTCTTCAGTTAAAAGATATTGATTTGGGAAAACTGGCAATGGGTTTCGGTCTTTTGAAAATGCCAAAAATGCCGGAGCTTAAAAAGAATAACATATCGTCTTTTGTTGGTCCTGAAATTGATGTAAACACAATACCTTATGTAAACAAACAACGTGAATTGCGCAGAATTAAAAGATTGAGCGAGTATCAGAGCACTGGTGTTTGGACAAATAATCAGAACAGATGTAAACGAAAGCGAGCGGAACCCTGGTCTGAAACTAAAAAGAGAAAACTCGAGAAACAAGAGAGACGAAGTAAACAAAAGCAAAGGAAGGAATTGAAACAACAATCTTTGACTGTTTTTAATAGAAAAAAGAAAAAACAAATAAACAAGGAAGATGTTGAACAATTAGCGAAAGATATAGCATTAATTAAAAAATTTAAGAAAAAGAAGGTAACACGTTTTTTCTATATTACAAAAATAAGTTCGTCCCCCCTTCACCTCCACCTCCTTTTCCCCCGGCGTCATTGTCTACTTTTGTATTTTTATATACATATGTTTTCATTTAATTGCAGATATCACAAGAGGAATTTGATGCAGCTTTTCAAGTATGAAAATGTTGGACATGTAATTGTACAAGACACCGAGATTTAAGAGACATCTCGACTAAAACTCTCATTCTCTTGATATTTTCAATATACGTGTTCTCAAAATATATTGTACGTATAAAACTTATGGTAAAATGTAAATGTAATTAGTGTTTTCTTATGATTTTCCTTTCCTTCGAGTTCTCCAATGATTTACAAATATTCGTATCATTACAGAAGTAAATGAAACATTATAGAAATATTTAGTTATATTTATGACAATATTTTTGCATGACAAATATTTTTGTGAAATATGGATTTCAAAGGATTAATATGGATTAATTTTCATTATCTTTGTATCATTAAGATTCAAGTTCAATTGAGCTAAACGTATGAATTAACGTACATACAATAAAACACAAGACTCGTTCCTCCAAGGTCTACCACTGCTCTTGCTCGTCGTATGTATCTTCGTTTAGTTTTTAAGAGTGTCCCCACTTTCGTGGCGGGGCCGGGATAACGCAGTAGAGGGGAGCAGGTATATGCTTGACAGTGTATGCATCCGAATGTGTGTATGTGTGTGTGTACACTGTCAAGTACACACATATACCTTTTGAAAGAAAGAGATGACTGTTTATGCCTCGAAAAAACCAACACATCATTGGTGTGAATAGTCGCCTTACATGATTCATACTGATTCATACACATTTGTGTTGTATGTCGAGTGACACAAGATAAGTTTGCATTGAAGATAGAATTTTATTTTTCCAATAGTGTGTGTCTTATTCTTTATGCTGGAGGATGGAGGAGGAAACGACAAATCGCCCAAAGTGGCTGTTGGAACTGGAAAATCGTAAGCGGAAGGTACATCTAATTTCAATATGTAGTTTGATTGATGAATTTGATTCGATAGATGGGAAAGGAATGTAACGTATACAAAATTGAGATTAAAATGTAATTGTCTTACGTTTACTCAGCCACGTTTAGCGCACGAAGCTGGAGCTGGTGCACCATGCACAAACTGCAATTCCTCGTGTCCTGGTCTTGATCTTCATTTTTGGAGAAAAATTTGCAAAAACTGTAAATGTGGTCGGGACGACCACGATGTTGATGACGATGAATTTCCACAATTTGATCTGCTATTTGGATCAAGCGGAAAATTTAAAAAGAAATCCATGCGTACGTATTTCGTGTTTGTGTGTGTGTGTGTGTGTGTGTGTGTGTGTGTGTGTGTGTGTGTGTGTGTGTGTGTGTGTGTGTACGCGCGCTTATATTAAAATTTTGATCTTTAGAATTGCAAGTAAATAACAAGAAACAAAACGATGATGAAACTACATTTGAATGGGTGCCACCGGATACAACTAAAGAACTTGCTATGGATTACATGAAAGCTTTGCCCATGGAAAAATTGCCGATTAAAGGATCAGTTGGTGCTGTTTTGAGAAGGCAATTACTGCAGAAACAACTACCGCTTCATGATATTGATTATAAAGTTTGCGATGAACTTAGTGAGCAAGAGCAGATACAATTTGAAAAATACTTAGAAAACATAAAGAAATATGTAGGACAAGGCAAAGTGATGAAGGTAAGTAATGGTAACTTGTGATTATACATCAATAATATACCTTATTAGTTACAGATTTGTAAAATCAAGTGTTATAGATATTGAAGACTTGCTTAATTAGAAGAATTAATTTTTCTAGCGCACATTTTGTCTCATATAATACAAATATTATTATTTTCACAGATGTTCGGTGCCCGTCCATTCGACCGTTCTTTAATGACACCTGTCAATGCAACTGATATGCAAAAGTGCAGTCCACAGCATAAATCCCATGTACTTTCTACTGGTGTTCAATTACGTACACCGAGTAGCTTCGCCATAAAAGATCCATTGTATGCGAGGCACCTGTATGATGCTCAAAATAAACAAGCTGCTGCTACAGCCATAAATAACAATGAGATCTTAACGAGAAGTACAGAAGAGTATAATTGTATATTAGATAATGTGTCTGCTAGTAGCACCATCGTCAGATCGCAACCAATCGAAGGAAAATTGATTTATGAAAACTTTCAACGTGGACCCACGCATGATGATACCGCATTGGTAGACGAAAGAGCTGTAGATGACAAGGTAGTTAATTCATCGATTTTTACACATCTCGCAGAACAAGAAATCGTACCTACTCGTGAAAAACATACTTCTCGAAATTACGCATCTTGCGAAGGAAATGCTTCCAGACGATATAGAGAAACGTTGAACGACACCATGATGTGCATCCCACATCGAGAAGCTGTTGATGATGAAACAGTTCTCTTTGTGGAATCCATGTTTGCGGATGCGCTTCTTCCACCTAGTGCTATACACGTTAATGATATTATTGGAAGCACATTGGACGAGGAGGGATTGACATTTATAAGAGAGAAACTTGCCAATAAATATAATGTAGCGCAGAATCCAACAATGTTATACACTGCTGTGCCTAAATTGTCCCGACCGTTAGACTCGAGTGACATATTACATCCACGTGATGGTGGAGGTAAGAAAAAAAACAATTCTGCACGTATCAATAAGCCTGTAGGGACAACGCCTATTATCGCTGCTACGAATTTACTCCCTGCGGAAAGCTTCGCAGAAGAGGCAAAAATGAACACTCCTTACGAAGCAGAGAGGAATACGTATAAACTTCAGTCTCAAGTAATTGACTCAACTGTTGTACCTGATAGTATCAAACTAAACGAACGAAAGCGATGCGACGTGCTGTCGAATAACAAAACGGCGAATAATGATTCGTTGGTGACGGATACATTTCCAGCCACAATGGAAAGCACTATGGATCTACATGCATTGTCGAGTAAATATAATTCTACAGATCCCGTATCGACACAAACTTCTGATTTGCAAAATCCTGTCGATACAAAGTCCAATCCGTTGCAAGTCGAATTGAACAGTTCGATGGTGCAGTCGTCCGTAATACATTCCGAACAGTTGCAAAATCAAGTGTTTCCTCACATTGTTGGAGACACCAATGAACAATGCGCACAAACGCAACATACGGATTGTCTAAGCGATGCTATTGAGGGTTTAAAGGTAGACTCGACAAAAATGCAGAAATGCGAAAAATGCCATGACGACATTCGTATTGGCAACGTAGTCGTAATCGCGGAGAAGGCTAATAACGCATCCTGGCATCCTGGGTGCTTCGTTTGTTCGGTATGCGACGAATTGTTGGTGGATCTCGTGTATTTTTATTATAAGAATAAGTTGTATTGCGGAAGAGATTTGGCTACGTTTCTAGGAATTCCTCGATGTTTCGCTTGTGATGAGGTAAACAGTTCATACTTAAAATAATATACCTACTTAACAGTGATGATTCAATAAATTCCTTCTGTTTGCTGTAGTTGATCTTCGTACGGGAGTATACGGTTGCAGAGGGACATAATTATCATGTGAAGCATTTTTGTTGCTGGGACTGTGACATGCCATTGGCTGGGCAACAATATATTACCGAAAACGATCGACCACTATGTCTTCCTTGTTATCAAAAATCATATGCAAAAACATGCGTTGCCTGTAATGTAGTGATTGCTGCTGATCAACAAGGAGTAGCTATAAAAAATTTAAATTTTCATGCAACTCAAGACTGCTTTTGTTGCTACAGCTGTAAGAAAAATTTATTAAACGGAAGAATGGCGATAAAGGAAGATAAATTGTTTTGCAGTAAAGTATGCATCGCCAAGTTTTGTAACTAGCGTATCATAGGTAAAAAAAAATAATAAAAAGTTTATCTTTTGATATGTTGTGAGAAAAATAATCATAAATCTATTGAGAATATAAGTAAGAAATATCAAGTGTTAACAAGATGTTTATTGACATCTTACAAGAAAAGTTCCTCGACAATTCCTAAATATTTTCAGATATTTTTTTACTAAAATTCAGGTAAAAGATTAAAAAAATGTTTAATATAACTTTGAAAAAAATTTGAGTCTAAGCAACACAAACAAACTATAATATATATTGTAATATTGTAAATCAAAATTAGTAGAAGCTAGAGATTTCACGCGAGACTACATTTATTATTTTCTACAACTAGAAATCGTGAAACCTATAGGATAGCATAAAGAAGTATCTATCAGTAGGGAACGGTAATAATAACTATTTTGTATCGCTGTTTATATATATATATATATTGTATTCTATTGTCATCCTCTGATTTTCTCGATAAAAATTCGCAAACATATGAGAATATATTGCCCCGTTACTCGTGAGTACGGTCGCAAATTTGGTGCCCAACGTGGGGCTTTGAGTTAAAAGATCCAATAATCAATTGCGGATTCCGAGAGCGAGAGAGATTTATTGAAGTATATTTTGTTGAACTTAATTTTCTTGAATTATATGAATATATATGCAAATGTTTATGTGTATGTCTATGTTATACTTATTGCTAATAGATTGTCAATTTGTGTATTTCATATATTTCACACACAAACCTACTTTCCAAACTATCAAAATAATAATTTTTCCAAATTTTTCAAAAAATATGTGAAATTTTTAATTGTGTCAATTATAGATAGAAAATATATATTGTTGAATCATTGGGCGCATTCAACAGAAAAGAGCGCTACGAGAGCGCTCGCTGTTATTGGTGTATTCTTCTAGATCATCCAATCAGAATTTTAAATCTGGAAGAATATACCAATAACAGCGAGCGCTCTCGTAGCGCTCTTTCTGCTGAATGCGCTCATTAAACTACCAAATTAATAATAATTTCTCCGAACCTATTCCACACACACAAACCTACTTTCTAAACACACACTATCAAAATAATTAACTATTCCAAACCTATTCCACACACGAATTTACTTTCTAAACTACCAAAATAATAATATTTTTCAAAATCTTAAAAAATCTTTTTAATTCCAACCCAAGTAAACACTTACACACTGCATTTTCACTTTGCATTCACTACCGTCTCTTAATTATCAAAGAAAAACATTGAAAGAAACAATATTTTTAGAAATAGACAAAATTTAAATTTAAAAATAAATTATAACGATATTTGTATTTAATTATTTATAACATTGAGAATAATCCGATCGGTGTCGAAATGTATAGTTATATCAGCTTATATTATTATTACTTGAATTAAAGTGGTCATTATAATACTGGTTCTTTGCCTCTATTTTTTATTTATATTATTTAAAATTAAATTTCAAAAAGTTTCCTTAGTACCGATATAGTTACAAAAAAATTCTCATTTTCAATGATAGAAAATAAATCCTCAAATTCCAGGTTTTTCTTTGAGATAGTAAACCTTGAATAAATATAAAAGATAATGTGCATTAATTATTAATAGGATTTATAAAAGTGGAACCATCCATAATTGGTATAATCTATCCTATCTACATCTTATGACGCACACACGCGCGCTCACGCACCCACACACGCACACGCACACCTCTCTAATGATTTAAGTAATTTAGTAAGGTCTCGGAGTAGTGCAAAGGTTTAGGACGCTTGCACAGAATGCAAGATTCGGTTCCGACTGAGGTAATATTTTTTGCAATAAATTATTTACAGATTATATTAAGATCTGTCTAATAGAGATGTCTATTATATATCCAAATTTAATTGTGATATTATTTTAATAGTTTAGCTGCGTTTTAAGTCCGCGAGAAAATTTTTGGCGCATAGTTCAAAAGATATGTATGTATATATACTTACATATATATATATATATATATATATATATACATGCGAGTAGTATATACATAATTAACATTAAATTATTTAAGCATTAAAGATCCAATTTCGACCGTATTTATAATATTTCTTATTTTCTGTTTATTAAGTCAAATGTATGGTTTCTTATTGTCTAGCAATTTTTAGTTGTGTGCATTTTGGTATTGAAGACGGAAGAAAAGGATATAATAAAATAGTATATCTTTTCGTTGTTTTTTATAATTATATTTGAAGATATGAAAGAATAACATCTCTGATTGATCCTTTTTAAATGCACATTTAAAAGAAACGAATTGCTTTTTTTTTATCTATATATTATACGCTACACATCAGTTTTTAATATGTACTTAAAAATATAATTTTTTCATTTAAACAAACCGCGTCATTCATTTTAATCAATCGATAATATAAATATGATAAAATATCTTTTTTTACTTTTAGTTTTTTTTCTTATTTATATGTATACATTACAATTTATCATTATATATACCAAAAGTTGTTACACAAATTCTAAAATCATCTTTGTATACAAGCTATCAATAATTTATATTAAGTAGAAATAAAAATTTTTAGCTTTCCGTTTTACAAATATAATACCTATTAGAGAAGAAAGCCCAACATACTGATAAATATAATGCTTGCTAGAAAAGATAGCTCGACATACTAACATCACTGATCAATATTGTTAACGTAATACACAGTACATGAAAATTATATGATTGATAGCCCACTATAATATTAATAAAAAAGATAACTGAATACGAAAATATGAAAATACAAAACATTCAACATAGACATAGAACAGGCCAATGTGTACGTGTGTGAACCTGGCGTCTGTTTTTTTTTCGCTTTAAAGGGCAAAACTATTAGTTTTATTTAGAGATATAGAATTATTAAAAATACATTCACTCTCAATATTTAATGAGTTTCCACGAAATGATACATCAACTTCACACACACACAATGTGCACACAGGACATATACACAATTGGCACCTGTTGATGTTTCAATATGTAAATATTGACATTATATATGCTATGTTCTCTACTCCGAATCACTATCAATAACAATTTGAATACGGCTAAATTTCTTATACTCTTGACTTCGCGGTGATGTGTCTGGAAGTGTCCTTTCAACATTATTCCTATTTCTTCGTGCGCGCGTAATTCGTCCTGAAATAAAAACAAATTTAATGTTGTGCACAATGTCTATTATAAAATAAATAAATGTAACATAGATTGACAAGAAAACTATAATATTAACCTTCAGATATAATGTTTGACTTATCCAATTCAGATACCTCCTTCATCTTTGCTTTCTCTTCTCTTGCTCGTTTACATTTTGCAAACGTTATTCTACCATGAACTCCATTTTGCTTTATTATTTCCTTTAGACGATTAATTTGTGCAGTAAGAGTTCGACAATCAGTAAAAACGCGATAATGTAATCTCACACCAAGAAAGGATAAATACTTTTTTAGATTCTTTATCTGTTTTATCTGTTTATTTTCTATCTGAAAATTTAACATCTTGTAAGAAAAATACATTATGTGTAATGTGATTGTATTATTGTAGGATTTATCTGTTGGATAGAAACTTACAGCATTATTTCTTCCCTTTCTACTTTTCATAGAGTTCTCTTCCGTAGAATTACTGTCACTTTCACTTTTCGAAGATTCCACATCCGATAATTTTTCCTCCTGTCCATTCTTAATTTGAACTGTTTTATTAGCTTTCTCTGCTGTAGCTGTATTCTCATCATCAGATACATATTTAGTACTTTTTTTGTGAGAATTTCTTATATCTCTACCTCGTCCTCTTTTTGATTCGCCCGAGCGATGTTTGTCGGTTGATTTTTTCATAGTTGGAGATTTTACAATTTTCTTTTTTGTCCGTGGATTGTAATCCTCATCTGAATTACTATTTTGATTATCTTCTGATTCAGAAGTCTTTAATTTATTAAAACTTGTTTGCGAGATTTTTCTCTTCGCCTTGTTTTTTTGCGATATCTTGAACGAGTCAGTGATTTGTTGCGAATCATCAGACTTTCCTTCTCCTTCTGATGAATAGTCTAATTCTGATTCATTTGGCTCAGCCTTTTCGATTATTGTCTTTGGTCGTGGCTTAGCATCTTTTTCGTCTTCACTGTCAGAACTAGATGCATCTTTTTCGTCTTCATTGTCAGAATTAGATTCATCACTCGCACGTTCCACCGAAAGCTCCAGCCCATTTATCACTTCTGTGTCCACAATATATTTCTTAGCAATATGTCGTTTTTTCATTTTATTCTCCTTGTTATTTTCCTCTGTCTCTATTGTTTTGTCAATTTCTTTAACCTCATTGCCTGTACTTTCTTCCTCGTTTTCAGAAACAGACATCGCACTTGCACTTGTAATAGGCTTTTGGGATAAATTATCCTATTTTTAGAGAGAATTAAGAACAATTTATTATATATAAACAATTCATTATATATAAAATCACATGATAATCTGTTTATTATATGGATATTAAACTCGGCTATTAAACAAAATGTCTCATGTTTAAAGAGGTATTCTAGTGTGTTTACTTATATTTTCAAAGTAAATTTTGGGAATTGATTTTATAAAAATGGTTAAACCTACACAGAGCTAATGTTTTGCACTTATATTTATTCATATTTGATGAAACTCCTCAAATTTTTTCAAAGCTTTTTATTGTATGTTCTATAAAATATAGATAGACGCATAAGCTATAGCGCGAAAAATTGTTTCTATCGGGCGCAATAATTGCCGCCGTCCTCGTCATTTAAAATAAATTCTTTTATTTTATTTTTTACGGATATAGATACTGTTAGGCTCTCTAATAAATAATAGGAAGAAAAATTGACAAAATGGTAGCTCACAAAACAAGTACTTTGATTTTTAGTAAAAAAATTTGCCTGGAAACATAATTTAAAAAATCATCAAAAAGTTACAGGATCAAATGGTAGCCTAGTATGTACGTAACGCGTGTGTAAAAGTGCAAATCAATCAACCGACAAGTAGTTTGTAAGAAAAATATTTGTCCAATTTGAAAAATGTTTCGAGAAAAACACATTTGAAACTTCAAAGTTTTTCATGCAATTCCTATAGCTTATTCAATTTCATAAATTTCGTCTAACGTATTAGGGATCACATTTTCAAGATTCCGAACTACAATAATATAAAAAAATTTTTTGATTTTTTTAACCCGACACTAGAGAATATAATAATAATGGAAAAATATATACATATATAATTAGACTCCCTATAATTAAATAACAATGATAATTTAGGCAGCTGTTTAGGAGTCAACGCAGAAGGACAAGCGCAACAATTAAATTCTAAAATATACTTGAGAATATCCCCATAAGTTGATTCCAATAAAACGGTAAGTTTAAATATTGCAAAATAGACAAAAAATGTAGCTAAAAGCTAAAAAATTTGTAATAGAAAGACATTATACTATAAATAAGATATATGATAAATAAGAGTGATATAAAAGAGAATCAATTTTCTTAAATTTTGTATTAAGTTGCTAATGCAACTTAATTACCATGTATAATTACCATGTTTTCTACAATTTCCTCTTTAATATCTATTTTTCTAGGATTTTTTTTTAAAGTAATGTTAATCTCATCTCTTTTTTCATTTTCTTGCTCTGAATCACTTCCTTGTTCCTCCTTAGCCTTTTTGTGTATATCTAATTCTAATTGTGATGCCTCTTGTATATTTTGCTGGTCTTCTGGACAAAATTTTTCTACTTTTATAAAACATACCTTTGTATCATTTTTCTCTAAAATAGTTCCAGAGTTATCACTTTCTGATATATTATCTAACTGTTCATTAAATGAACATTGCTTTTTTTTAGGTGAATCTATTTCATGCTCAGAATATTTTACTTTTGGCCTTTTCATTGATGTATTATTTATAGAATCAGATGATAATTGTAGTATATCCATATTTTCCTCCTCAGTATCACCGTGATTAGATTCTATCATTTTACGACAATAGTCTGAAATAGTTGAAAAAAATTTTATCAATAAGTGTAATATTTTATAAATGACAATAAATGTAATTGTCATTATAAAAATGTAAAAAGTAAGTGACAATTGTGAGTATGTGCGACTGCATGTTTAGGAAAATGTAGGTATAGAGAATTATCAAAAATAAATAACAAATTTACATTTTTTTTTTTCAATTTGATAAGAAAACATTATTCCATGTTTATGTTGTGTATTTATTTTTCAATAACAAAATGTATCAAAGATATATTATTTCAATGATGTACGACGGAAATGAAAATAATTTTCCTTTAAGACAACTTACATATCGAATAATGTGGACTCAGAATCAATGGTGTAAAAAGAGAATTTGAGTAGCAATTGAATGAATAATTATTATCTAAGCGTTATTTTTATTCTACAAAACACGCATGACATCACCTTGTAGCGAAGTATAGGTAATTCTAAATTATACGTACTGCAACTTTACGGTACAAATTCACGTCTTAAAGTCACAAGATCATAACAATTTATTTCATGGATGTATGTCCATATGTACTACGTATGTTCAATACGTTATATACATACATTTGCGCGGCAAAATATATATATGCAATCCAAGGTTACCAGACCAGTAGGTTTGGTACTTTTTGCACTATACCGCTAATATCCCTAGATGTAAGGGTGCAATTACTAGAATAACCTAGGAAACTTTCCAACAAGCGACAAACTGTGGCTACGTTCAGCAGACTCAACAGTTGAGTGAGCGCTCTCTATTATTGGTATATTTTTCTAGATTTAAAATTTGATTGGATGATCTAAAAGAATACACCAATAACAGCGAGCGCTCACTTAACTGTTGAGTTTACTGAACGTAGCCATTGGACACATTTGGTGTATCCAGAAGTACGACCGCTCACTGATTTTAATTTCTATCTTTAACTTGACATTTTTATAACAAGTCAAAGATTAGAAAAGTTTTATTATTTCAATTTCATGATCCGAAATATTATTAATTAATGATTTTACATTGACGAAATAAATATTTCTCTACTTAATAAAAAAGTTATATCTTATTTTTTCATAGAAAATATACAATTTTGATTTTTTCGATCTGCGAATTCATTTATCTCATAGTATGCTTAAATTTATTTTGCATGTATAACAATTATAACAAAATAATACTTAGCTGGTGTATTTAAAAAAAAATGTATATGTATATATACAACATATGTACAATAATACTTAATTTTTCATTATAGAGGGAAAGCTCTATAATTATTATTAGTTGTAATTTCCCATTTAATAATATAACTAATATGGTATGGAAAATTGTAATTAACAATTATACAATATTAATCTCAATATTATCTTATGAAATAATGTATTATTTAAATTTTCGTTTCTTTTGTAATAATAACTTTTATTACAACATTCTTTTGTACGCAGGATTATAAGATATTAAGAAAATATATGCAATGCAGTAGGAACCATTACCATGGTGTTCTTTTTGTACACAGAAATATAAGATCTTAAGAAATTGTGTGCAATGTAGTAGGAATCATTACCATGGTGTTAACTACAATATCCTTATTATTTATTTTTATCTTCAATAAAAATTTACGTGATATTATCTTCATTATTTACTTCATTTAATGACATGTATCATTTGTATAAAATATTTGATATCAATTATAGTTGGTGCAAAGTTAAATTCTATTTTATCCACATCCACGTTATTTATTTTATTCTAATGACATGTACCATTTGTATAAAAGATTTGAGTATCGTTCGTTTTGTCTCTCGAGAGCTGCTCAGAGTCGCTCCGAACGAACCTAGCATACTTGGATGCGGTCTATTTAATGTTGTAGATACCTCAAAACATACTTTGATTGATCAATTCCTAAAATTTTTTCTTCTGATTGATCAACGAAGCATTTGCAGTATTAGTATTAAATGGATCACATCCAAGTACGCTGGGTTTACTCAGAGCGACTCCGAGCAGCTCCCGAGAGACAAAACGAACAATACTTTGATATCAGTAGTCGGCGCCAAGATTCAACCAAATTAAAAAGTAAAACACAAGTGATATCTTTAATCTTTAAGAACCCATATAGTACTATTATTTAAATTCTACTAAATTAAAAAGTAAAACCAATGTGGTAATATCTTTATCTTCATACAATGAAACCTAAGTGTATATGCCTTTGTATTATTATTAAAAGATCTTCCTATTCGAAACCAAGTGATTTAATTCTTCTTTAAAAAAATTATATCACAATTAATTTAAAAACAAAATGAAAAAAATTTATTTAAACAGAAAACTTTTTTATGTAAAAACACTTTGCGCTGCTAGAGCGAATAAGAAAAACAATGAAAACTATCTAAAAGCTATAATAATTAATATAAATATATGTAAAGGTAATGATATTAAGGGTACTTTACTCTTGAGCGCGGCTCTTCGCCCAAGGCTTTTTTGTTCAAAATTCGGGTTTGTAGTGCTAAATACTACAGTAGTAATATCACCAATTTTTACCTGATAAATTAAATTCCGTAAACAGTTAGATCTTAAATTTAATCTTTATAACATTATTACATAATTTTTTCTTGTCATCAAAATAATCAGTTGTCTTTTGATTGTGACGAATTATACGTTTTCCATTTTTCTGTGAACTCTAACATTTTTATTCTTTGTTCCTCAAAACTTTGTCTTTTTGGTTTCCGCCACAAATTATGATCCAAATCCAACATTCCTCCTATTATTTCCTAAACAAAAAAAAATTATATATAAACAAACGCACACACGCACATATCATCAATTTACATTGAAAACTGAAGTTTTTACAAGTGAATAATTTCCACAACTTTGTTGTGTGTGTGTGTGTGTGTGTGTGTGTGTGTGTGTGTGTGTCTCACCTTGGCAAAATTTTGCGGAAACATTTCTTCGTCCTCGATTACATGAGCATAACCAAGATGTGAAGCAAATTCGACCATAAAGTAAGATAAACCATTTGGTATAGCATGACGTATACCTTTACATGTTAAATCAATAATTTTCTTGTTCATGGACCATTCAGTTTCACATTCCAACAAAGCTTTCTACAAAAAAGAAAAATCGAATATAAAAATTTATTTAAAATACAGTAGTATCTTATAATACAATGATTTATTCACCTTAAAATATATCGGTGCCAACTCTCCAATCTTTTTCGGCAGTGGAATACACTCTAATTGCATATGTGAAAATTTATTACGTACTTTGTATACTTCAAAAAATATCGGATAAAACTCTTCGTCTGAAAACATTTTTGTTAATTTCCTTTTAAATTCCTACAAAAAGAAATTCATCGAGCAATTTCATGTTGTCATGTCAAAGATCAATATAATACTAAATACACAAGTAAAAATTACCATCAATCTATTCCACACATCTTCATCTAATTGTAATTGACATGCCACATGCTGTATAGGTGTCAATATACAATGACCAGTACTTAAGGAAGTACAAGCAGGCAAGCTTAAGCAAATCACAGAATCCATTGTAACAATCATATGTTTTAACATATTTTTCGAATCAAGGCACCACCAACAATTATCCATACATTTAGATAATTTTTTGTGTTCTTTAATTGCCTGTGCACGATCACACTTGTCTTGTCTCGCTTCCGAATCTGTTTGTGCAATTTGTTGCTCAAATATATCATCCATATCATCTATGTTCTACAAAAGAAGATATTATTTTTAATTTCCACATTTGTATCATCTTTAATTCATCAGTTAATCTACCTTAGAAGTGAGTTTAGTGAAAATTGCTTCATCTTCAATTGTGGATCTTCCTTTTTCTCGTTGAAACTGCAATAGAAATTTATGTTATATTGTGTTAAAATTTTTCGAGATTCTAATCGTTTGGATAATTTACCATTTCTTGTAGAGAATATTTATCATCATCTGCGAAATGGCGTACTCTTTCACCGGAAATATATGTCTCGACAGTTTTCTTATTTCTGTAATTTTCTCGTTTAGATTCACTTCTGGGTTGTATTGGTCTTGCGGTACCTAATGCATACATTTTTATAGAATTTTAATATAGACAATTATTTATTTTCATCTTTATGTTTTAAATTAAACATTCTTTATTACAGAATTGGCTCTTAGCCCTTCAATTGTTCTATTTTGATATATTTCAAATCAAGACTATGAGCCATACATAAACATGTATTGTTGATGTGCCCAAAAAATACAGTTAAAATAAATACAATTAAAATAAAAACCTGTTTGACGTTTCGACTTCGATCGAGTCATTTTTAATGATATAAACATGAAATTTAGAAAGATATGTACCTTTTGCATCAGTTCTTGTGAGAATTACATTCTCCTCTTGCTCACTGGTATTACATGATGCAATATGTTTTCTTGCGTATTCTAATTGGATTTTTAGTTGCGCCGCTAATTCCTAAATAAATAAATCATTTCAAGTAAGTTTAAATTGTAAATAAGCTAAAAATGAACAACAATTAATAGAACAGCAAGCATACATCATCACCCATTAATTCAGCTTTAATGATCCTTGCTCCTAATTTATTCATTTCTGCTTTAGTCAAAACACCAACGTTTTTATCTTTATCCATTTCATTATTAATATTTCCTAAATCAACTTCTTTTGCCTCAGATATAAGTAATTCAGTACCTTGACATCTCTTTTCATCACTTTTATCTTTTTTCCAATTTTTCGTACGATTATTGGCAGGCATTTGATAATAATCATTGTTATCTTTAGGTTTGCGAAAGGTTTGCTTCAAATTTGTGTAATGTTGCGACGAGTAGTCAGATGTATTATATTTTCCAGCGCAATCCTTACTTCTAGATCTTGATTTAGATCTTGATCTCGAACGCTTTCTTATTCTCGGACTGAAATTTTTTTCGGAATTTCTATCATTTTTATCATTGTGACATCTTTTGTGATATGATTTATTCTGTTGAGTATTGGATATTTTTTCCGCTTCAATTATCATCGTTTGTATAGTTTCTAGTGACTAAAAAAATAGTTTTATTCATGTCATTAATAATTATTAGTCTAGTATTTTGTACAAATACAAATTGTTCTTTTAATTAACTTACACCCCAACGTTCGGCAGCTACTTCCTCTAGACATTTACCGTCTCGACAAGCTTGTTCCTCTGCACGCTGAAGACTCTTTTTTAGCCAATTTACATCCAAAATCTTCAGATTATCAGATTTTCCTAGATTATTTTGAGGTAATCCATCACCTCCAGCTTTCCAATATGGATTCAATTCTCTGTCACTTTGTCCTGGTTTATCTAGAAAAATTTCTTTGTCTTTCTCTTTTAATCCCTGTGATTTCATGTTAGGCTTTGATAAATATGGAATACAACTGTCTACATTCATCCATTCGTCTCTTTTAAGTTTATTTTCTTGTGCTCTACAATCAATAACTTGATCTTGAGCCTTTTTCTCCACCCATTCAAATTTCGCGCTGTCGTCGCTTTCCTAAAAAAATATATTAGATCTACAAATAAGTTCTGACCTCTCCAAATTAATCAATTATAATTTTATTTAAATTAAAATATTTTTTTTGCTGCTTTAGGGGTTTGTAGTATCAATCTTTATGATAAAAAAAATTGCATATGGAAATTTTGCTAACTTCAAATAGCAGCATGTTGTTCAACAACCACATGAAATACTGTATCCGTTTGCTTTTCAACTTAAAAAAGTGTTCTTGTGGCGGAGGAAATGATTTGTTCTGCTTCAGGAGAAAATGCGGTGTCTGACAATACATGCAAAAGATGCTCCTAGATTTGTAAAGTTAGCAAAGTTTCCATTAATGAAATTTTTTTATCATAAAGATAAAGGTCCGTATTCAGAACACGTTTTTATTGATAAGAGCATGCTTTTATCTCTGAAATTTTATAGTATTCATAATGTAAAGCACGATAGAGCAATAACATCGTTGTAAGCGCGTTCTGAATATGGACCAACAATTAGTACTACAAACCCATAGTAGCAGGAAAGAGATTTTAATTTAAATAAAGTAGCAATTGATTAATTTGAAAAGGTTAGGACTTATTTGTCCTAATAAATATATTATATAATCAATATGAAATAATGCCTTTAATGGTTTAGTTAGATTTTAAGTACTTGCATAGTTCCATGTGAATTTATATACTACTTAAGACGCAGTTTAAAAGACTACATACATAGTATACAATAAAATTTACATGAAATTCTACAAGCACCTAAAATCTAGCTAGACCGTTAAAGGCATTATTTCGTATTGGTTGTTTTTCATATGTATAATCCTATAAGATTTAACATTTGATGTATAACTTTCATATTACAAATTTGTGTAAATGTTAATAAATAAAAATTATAAAATCTTTAATATTTACAATGCTTGAAGATGAACATTTTCTCTTTCTTTTATGTTTTTTGTTTCCTTTTTTATCTTTTTTCTTTTTAGACTTTGATTTTTTGCTGGATTTTCTGTGGACAAATGAGTCAATATCTTCATTGCCTTTGAGTTTGTCAATTTGCTCCTGTTAAAAAAGAGAATACAATTATATAGAAAAAAATATATTAATACTAGTATACATTAAATTCAACAAAACATAGTGAAACTCAGTGAAAAATGATTGCAGACAAAAAATAAAAAATGTGCTTAAAAGTTGAAATCTTTGCTTTCGAAATTGGTAATTGAAATATCAATATGAAATATCAACTGATCCTTTACAGAGTTATACTGACATATTATATATACTTCAAATATAAATGTGGTACAGTTTTAGTTGTATCTAAAAAAAAATATCTATTGGTTTTTAAAAATTGATATCTTCCTTATTTTCCAACTACAAACGAAATAATGATTACTACAATCATTTGCACAAAAAAAAATCATATAAGAAACACCCAATAAAATCTGTTTCCAAAAGTTTGGTGCCAGCCTCACGGAACTCTTAATGAATGCGTTCCGTTTCACGCATGATGTGCATAATTCTAATTTAATGTAACACTCGCCATCGAACAGACGACGACTTCGGATGATGCGTATAATGTATCATTTATTGGCCTAGTTTACATCGTGCAATTGATACGAGTACTAACCAGTAACTTTCTATTGAATTATCTTAATTTCAGCGTTATATGTAAACATATACATGATATGTGTATTTAATTAATTATTTTGATGCATATTTTACTAATTTAACACATTATTCTTTAAATACATTGCTGAAATTAAGATTATTTAATAGAAAATTACTAGTTAATACGCGTATCAAGTGCTCGGTGTAAAAAGGAGTCATTTTTGTTGCTCACATGTAAGAAATGGAACGCACCTATAGGCTATATTTCGATTCGCAGAGCCGAGCATGGCCGAGCCAACTTTCTTTTTTTCCATATTCTTTCATTGGTGCAAAAACGCATCAAATGAGCCCAATTTCATGGAAATAAAAGATGAAGCTTTTACATGATAAATAATGATAAATACCATTTTCCGAAATTTATGAAAGAAAAACAGCCTACACTTAGATTCTTATTTATATTAATAATACACTTATAAAACAAAATAAGGTAGCAAACAAGAATTACCATAAATGCTTGTCGTAGTATGCTACTGTCTGCTTGATCCTTTTAATACGTCCTTATTTACATCGATGTCATCGATCTATCTCAAAACAAATTAGGTTAGATCAAAGTGGATCCCATCGACTCGATGGCATGAAGAAAGCACGCTACATGTAGTCTATGAGGTTAGGGTATCTGTCATACCCTAACCTCAACAGTCGTCAACTTTAACGCTTAATATCTCGGTTCGGAGGGCAGAGCAACACTTTTTATTGCCAGATTCGTTCGTTTCGTGCAAAAACGCATCGAATGAGTGTTTTTTTTCAAAATTTTTATCAAAATTTGAACTGAGGGATGTTCTATACCTTTACCCTGTCCTTTGGATGTTGCTCACAGTTCGACGTTTGTATTCCTATTCCAGTGTTACAAGTTCTATGGCTTCAGCTGGCTTCAGCTTGATCGTTCTGAGCCTGAGCGTTTTATTACCGTTTCAGGAATACTACTTTGTAACTGCTTTTGCATGCCTATCGACAGTCGTCGGTGTTGTTGCGCAGATATTTTGTATGGCAAGATAGCTGCGCAACGACACCAATAATTGTCAGGTCTGTCAGTAGGCGTGTAAAAACAGTTACAGAATAGCACCCGAGGTATATATGTTCTAAGCTTTTCTCAGGTCTCTCTCTGTAGGCTCTGTAGCGACTGTAGCTATTATATGAAATTATATCAAAGCAATGATGAATGATACTTTAGAATTTGATTACGCTGAAATGCTTCGTTACATAGGTTTTGTCGTATCGGACGGTAAGTAGGTATCCCGAATTTTACGTTTGCATTTATATTCACGTTGAATTGTTAACAAAAACTTTGACTAACAAGTTTCATGTCTGTCCTCTTGCTTTAGACTGCTTAAATTCGGAAATGATAGACGGCGTACCAATACGAAAATTGTTCATCAGTAATTTGGCTGAAAGGGTTTGTTTCTCTCAATTTTTTAAAACTAAACTTACTATGTGTTTGCTTTCTGTTTCATCTTTTTGTCCTCGTGCCTTTTTCTTTGAGACCATTTTATCAACAATCGCATTTTTCTTAACGTGTTATTTCTTGTCTTTTTGTCGAATTGTGTTAACTTCTATCTTAGGTGACAGAAAAGCGAAAAAACTGGGCAAAGTAAGAAGCAAAAAGGCAAGAGTATAAAAGTGATGAAAAGTAACAAGAAACAAAGTGTATATTGTAGTTTGTACAAAATGCAACATTCATCTTAATGTTTTAACAACTCATTAATGCAATTGTATTGTATTTATTTGATTTGTCTGACAAATTTTCATTTCAGACAACTTTCAAGGATTTACGTTGTTACTTTTCTAAATATGGAAATGTTGAGAGTTGCTACTTACGTAGAAATCATGGAAAAAGCAACTATGCGTTTGTCACATTTACCGAAGTGGCAGATGCAATAAAGTAAGTTTCAAGGGGACTATATTAATAAATTACTGACAAACAATGATTGTTTGTAACCAATTATTTGTAGAGCGATGCAAGATGGAAGTAGGAAACAAATAAGATTGCATAACAGAGATTTGAGAGTGATGGCTGCAGATTCTTGGCATCAACCTGACAGCATGGATCAGAGATTGTATAACATAGGGAAAGAATTAAACAAAATTTCTGAAAGAAAGGAACAATATGTTCATAAGTATCTGCAAAATGATTCTGAAAATGTATCCATCCATATGCTGAATGATGATTGTTTGAGACATATTTTCCTATTTTTGCCGATAGTAGATAGAGTTCGTATAGAAATAGGTGAGTTTGAGCATAACCATTAAAGATTTTTCACCTGTGACAGATTATATTTGTTTACTTTCCTGTACCAAGTGATGAACTTTTGTATATTATTTTACTGGTATATTTACAGTCTGCAAACGCTGGAGAGATTTAAGCCAAGATTCATGGCATATGGTAAAAACATTGAATCTCTCACCTTCTACATGGGGTTTCTCACATAACCATGTGATTCATACAGCTTTACTTCGTAAAATATTGCTGAAATGTGGCAGATTCTTAACACGAATAGACTTAGATGAGCCACTTCATTATTTAAGTCAAAGCACATTGACTATTATTGGAAAATTTTGTCCTAATCTTACAAGTATCAATATTACCGCACTGACAGTTTGTGCGTCAGGTATACGTACATTAGCAAATAACTGTAGAAATCTAATTAAGTTTTGCTTAGGACCATCCACCTACAGTTGTGATAATGAATTAAAGTATCTCTTCAAGCAAAATCGAAACTTGGAGTGTCTTGTGATAACCAGAAATAATATTTTGGGTAAATCCTTATTGTTCTTGCCGGAGCAAACTGTACATACAATTATATTAGACCGCCTTGACTATCTTCAGGACAATCATCTTTCAATGGTAAATGAACTATGCTTTTTTGCTAATTAATCACAATAATATACATGTGATACAATCAGTATCGTGACTGTTCACTGAATGTTTATACATACATATGCACATACATATGTTTATATGTGTGTGGATTAAACATGATAAACATGCAAGAGCTCACTAAGTAACGAATAAACAGTTGTAGTACCGAATCAGCACCTAATTAATATTGTTATATATAGGCTCTGAGAAAACTTGAAAATTTGACACATCTTGCTATAAACGAATGTCTCGGTATAGCTAAACATACATTGGAAATTATCGGTCAACATTGTAAAAATCTTAAAATATTGGAGTTGAATGGAAACTTTCCCTCTGTACAAACAGCAGATATGTTATATTTAGTTCACCTCATCAATCTGCACGATTTAAAAATCACATATAATCCTAAAATATCAGACGATTTCTTTACTGATTTAGTACAACATTGTCAGCAGCTTATTAATGTAGACATTACAGGTAAATTATAATCAATATATATGCATATACATTTTTTATATTTTGTCATTTTTCCATTATATCTTACATATCCAACAGGTTGCTGTAATGTAAGTGATGCCGGATTAGCGGCTATCGCTACGTTAGTAAAGCTAGAAAAATTGATCGTCAGTTATATAGATCAAGTTACTGACGAAGGTTTAGAAAACATATGTGGCTTGAAAGAATTGGAGTGCCGAAGATGTTCATTTAGCGATCGAGGCATAATAATGCTCATAAGATCCTCGCCTCAATTAAAATTGTTAGATCTCTCCGGATGTAATTATATCAGGGACACCACTCTCAAGGTTGCTAAAGATGCTTGTAGCCGTCGAACTAATAATGTGATGTTGAAGATGATAATTGGAGGAACATCAATATTCGACGACGATAGTTTAGAGAAACTACCTCCGCTATTGCATATAGTTAATGTTGACTTGTCTGATCTTAGCAGTATATCCACTATGTATCTTATGGATGATTTGGAATCTTGGCGCGATGAAGATTCAGATACGGAATACTCCGATACAGAATATTCCTTGTAATTTGAAAAACGAAATATTCAAAAAATTATTATAGTGAACCTAACGAATTAGATTATTACTTGTAGGCTGATTCGGATTTTTAAAAGTATCTGTATCACAATTTTCCATGATTCTAATCGATTTTTCCTACAATTAAGCCTGCGTTCGATATTTGTTTTCCTGTTGGAATACTAGCTGTATTAAAATTTTACTACTGTATTGATTGCGATGTTGGCACTTCAGCATCACAACTAATGTCACAAATGTAATCCAGTTAGCAATCCAGTATGAAAACAAGCATCGTGTGCGACTGGCTTTAATATTTATCGTCATTAAGGTTCCTAATGCCTATTTTATAATTGCATAAGTGTAGTTGGTGTTACAATTACTTGTTGTTACAAGTGGTTGTAATTATAAGAATTGACCAATCACAGTTACACATTATTTTCATATTTGACTGTGATTAGTCAATTCTTATAACTAGAACCTTACACACTTACAATTATGCTTATGGCTATTTAAATATAAAGCCTATTCTATAATAGTCGTAAACGTGGTGTAAGTGATTGTAATTGTTAGAATTGACCAATTACAGTCCAATATTCTCTTCACTTTCGACTTGACTGGTCAATACTCGCTACTACAGCTACTTACAACTACGCTTATGATTATTGTAGAATAGGCATAAGGTTTTGCATGTGTTATTAACAATGATTAATTTCACATATAAGTACTTATTCCCCCATGAATATGTAACGTTACAACCAAATTTATAAGTATACACACACACACACGCGATATATATACATTTTTTAACTACATTATGCGATAATAAAGTGCAATAATATTTACACACTCACACCCCCACATATACGCAACGTACATATATATTATACTAAATTTGTTATATTATGCGATGATAAAGTACAATAAAATAAAGTTCAGCATAAACATAAATTTTATCGACTATAAATTAATACTAATTTTTTATTATACGTACCTGCATATTTGGTTTCTTCTAAAGAATATTTTACTCTCCTCACTCTTAGTATTATTACGTACAGTTGTGCACTTGGGTTTTCAGATATCGAGTGTAGAATTACAACATCGATGATTTTATTGTATTTATAATTAATAACGTTTAGACAATGAATCAATACAACTGCAATTATTATGCACATATGTATATGCAACAAGGAATGTGCATATATTTTAATAAGTGCTAGGAATTACGAACTCTCCGCAAAATGATGAATCATCTTGATAAAATTGCTAAATCATATTGGCATTTCCGTACACTTTACGACACGATCTTTTCATACCTTTTAATTGTGTATAGTCTTCCTATGGTAGATAATAGAAACCATTTTACAACAATATGTGCATTATATGCATTTATCCTTACTATTACATATTATTGTATTAATCGCGATATAAACGTAACATGATTTTAATTGAGCGTCTTACGCTCTCGCCGATACACATACATACATGGAGAAGTATCTCACACGGCACACTAGTATTACAATATACTCGTAATACTTCAATCCGGTAATTTTTTAGCTAACCCGGATACAATTATTACATGTAATGAGACTAACTTGTAGATTATATCTACAAAATATAATATGTGGCATAAGATATTTCAACGAACGACAAATCGGTCATAATTATATCATGATTTAGTATATTCGCAATCTATTCGTATTTCCTTACAACGATCCTATTGCACTGTTTATGTATTAGCATACATTCCCTATGACGAAGTACGTCCAGTCTGTCTTTATATCAATAATAATAATATAACTGTTGAATAAGCACTGCATAATCGAATGTCTGTTCAAATTGCGGACAATTACAGCAATTTACATTTAATGACGCATACAAAGTGATAATAAAATGATCATGAAATGAAGAGAAATTCAATTTTTCAAATATTCGTGAATTTCAAGTTAGCCACTAATAACCTTAAAATGGCAAGACATTTTTCAAATACATTCATAAAAATTGCACAATAATAATTTCGACATGTAATTAAATGTATGTACAAAAGATCATCTTTTTGTTACGGTTGAGTCATGTATATATGCATACATACGCACGCGCACGCACGCACGCACACATTTGGATGAATTGTGATGGATAATAGCAATGAAAAAACATACATATGTATACACACACATACATGTTTTTCATTTTTATTATTCATTAACAAATAATAATGTGAGATACTTCACTCTATTACTATCATACATTTTATATTTTTAAATTAATGTGAATACCGACAATAAATCCAGTCTTTATCGCTATTTAGCACTAGGAAAGAATCAAGAATAGCACTCACTGTATGCACATATATTTTGCAGCGAAAGAATTCGTAACAAAATATTCTAAATCCTATCGATTATGTAAATAGCTAAAATCATGTTATGAATATTTCATTATTCATAATGTAAATTACAATTATGTGAAAAATGAGACAAGTTTTTTTTTCTTTAGGTTTGCCATTAAAGGCAATTGATTATGCGATGATACAGAGTTGGTCTTTTACACCTTAAATGTACATAATAGTCTATTAAATGTGAGTTTATACATTAATGTTGATAAATTCGCAAGACTTTTACAATCGCAAGCGAATTAATTTTTAAAGACTTGAATTATATTATCAAAATATTCTCTCTACATTGTCTTTAAAAAAAAATTATTATAGTGTAAAGCGTGTTTTTTGCGTTTTGTGTCTTATGTTTTTGCGCGCGCGCGTATGTGTGTGTGTAGGGAGGGGGGAGTGATGTGCGCGCGCGCGCGCGCGATTGAAATTAATTCGTATGTGTTAACGCGCGTGCGAGTGATTGAAAATAAAGAAGGCAACCGCGCGTGTTTAATCAAAGTTATGCATTGATACAAAAACGATTTAACATGATTAAAGATGAAATTTTTGATCATGTAAATAACATTTCTATAGATGTCAGGTACAAATCTTATACAAATAACTCGATCTAATTAATTTTCTCAAACGACGTTCGTAGTTTATGCTCATTCGCGCATCCTAATATCATATCACGGGGGAACACAATTTGCCCATGAATGTAATAATAAACTTATATTGCAATTTGTCATCTTACATACTTTTAACAGAAGCATAAGATAAACACGTAAAGTGAATCTTATGAATGTAATTAATATTTGGCACAGTGGCGTGTTGCGTGTATATATTATCTGGACAAGCAAAGTCCGAGCGAAACATAACGCATCCTGTTTAAAAAACGAGTGTTTCACCTATATATCACGGTGATACTTAACAAATTATCATACACATTATAATGTAGTCGTTTCTCCCTGTAAAAATCAAGAAAATGGTCAAGATGCATAACAATGTGATATCAATTGGATTCCTTACTACTTTCATAAATAAAATGCGTGTAATCATTCGCATAACGCTCGATAGTGATACGGTGTTCATTAGATACGGACTTGGCGTACTTACCAAAAACGTAACTTATTAATTTTGTAAAAAGATATTGATAGGGGAGGAAACATGTGGGATATATACGCCACTGTTTGGTCGAATGAAAACCTAGATGAACCAAGGCGTAACTTAGGAGTACTGAACGCGAATATATGTAGTCAAGTATGTAAGAGTTACATTTATTCAGGATTGCACGGTCGATAAGTGCGTTGGCGTAGACGGTTGTAGGTCCATCGTTCGACATACCCATCCAGCAAGGTCTACATTTTCCGATTCAGCTTTCTTTATCCATTCGTGATTCTGAAATACGCCATTGGAAAACATAATGACATTTTCCTTTCCTTTCCAAACTATCAATGTTTATTCCAGTAAAACATACCGTCAATGTTTTCAAATCTGCCCTATCGTTGGGATTCCTTTTTAGACATTGATCGATAAAATCAATGAAAGCGTTGCTGAATAATCCAGACGGTAGTCTCGGCGGTGGTTCGTTGACTATCAATTCCAATAACTCGAACACTGCTAGTGGTTTTGGTGTGTGTGTACCTATAATAATAAAGAATCGATTAATATTCAAGGAGACAAATTTTCTTCAAGACGGGAATAAACAACTAAACGCTCATACGAGTACTAACAACGTCTCGTCGGTGGTCGTGGAGGCGGCGTAGAAGACTCGCTGACTGTTGTCGGATTCTCCCCGGCGTGTTGTATCCATTCTGAACCAAATATAGAAGCTAAAAGCTTATCATCCGGCGGTGGAATAGGATACATTCCAATAGCCATTTCCACGAGTGACACACCGAGCGACCAAATATCGCTTTGCACCGAGTAATGTGATCCTTGGAGTCTTTCTGGCTGAAAACGCTCGATATAAGACACGCTCGATGGCACACGTAATATCACGAGCGTATAATCCACGCCAAGCTTACCGACATATAACTTCGTGTGCCGACGAACGAATGAGCCATCGAATCGATCAGTTGTCCAGAAACGCCAAAATCGCAAAGCTTGATTTCACCCGCACTGTTCACCAAGATGTTGCTTGGTTTTACATCTCGATGCATTATTGCGTGCTTATCTCGTAAATAAGTTAAACCTTTCAGAACCTGTAAAGGAGAAACGAAGTTTGCAATGACATAAACAAACGAATAAAGTACACGAAGTGCAACAAGTTGGCATTGACATGATGTGGAATCCATCACAATCATAAAAGTGGAAAAAGAAGAAAAAGAGGAAGAGAGAGGTACGTTATTTTGCATCAATCGTATTAAAATGTTTTGGTATTAAAAATGTGTGTCGCGTTAAAAAATGCAGGGCAGTTTGAAGAAGCGAATCATTATGCAGCAACCGACTCACGTCTCTTCTATTTCGCATCAACCGATTCGCACCTCCACTGTACACCTACATAAGAAGAAGCTAACCGAAGAGGAGATACAAGAGTTGCATCAGGAATTGGAAACTGTCGATCACGTGATAGCACTGGAGATTCTGTACGAGAAGTTGGGCACAAACGCGGAAACGGGCCTGACGAAGGAGCAGGCGCGCAAAATCATGGAACGAGATGGACCAAACGCTTTGTCACCGCCTAAGGTCACGCCAGAATATATCAAGTTTCTTAAATGCATGTTTCACGGATTCGCCGCGTTACTCTGGGTCTGCGCGAGCCTATGTTTCATTCTGTACGCAGTCACTCATTTCATGCACGAGGATGACGTTGGTATCGCATGGCTAGGAATAATCATTGTTGTGATATGCATCACTTCGGGAGTATTTGCATACATACAGGAGAGCAAGAATATTAAAGTGATGGAGTCCTTCAAGAAGATGGTGCCTACTTTCGCTACCGTGATCCGCGACGGTACAAAACTACGGCTGGGTACAGGGGAGCTAGTCTTAGGCGACCTGGTAGAGATACGCATGGGCGACAAGATACCAGCCGACATACGGATAATCGAGTGCCGCGGGCTCAGAGTCGAGAATTCGAGCATCACTGGCGAGAGCGAGCCGGTGGCGCGCACCGATTATCCGACCGACAGAAATCCGCTCGAGTCCTCTAATGTGGCCTTCTCCACGTCATTTGCTGTCGCGGGTGATGGCAAAGGGATCGTGATCGCCACGGGTGATCGTACTATGATAGGCCGTCTGGCCGGTCTCACGTCACATCTCGTGAAAACCGAGACACCAATCGCCAAAGAGATTAGGCATTTTGTCGAGATAATCACTATCGTAGCCGTTCTATGCGGCGTGGCATTCTTCGCTCTGTCGCTGCTGATCGAGCCCAGTCTCGTACGGGCATTTACTTATCTACTCGGTATAGTTATCGCCAACGTGCCTGAAGTACTGCTAGTGACCGTAACAACAGTCTTAACCCTGACTGCTCAGAAAATGGCGAGTAAGAACTGCTTGGTGAAGAACCTAGAGGCGGTCGAAACTCTAGGCTCGACATCGGCGATCTGTTCCGATAAGACGGGCACGCTCACGCAGAACAAGATGTCCGTATCTAATTTGTGGTTTGGCCATACCAGGTTTCACTTTCCACCGGGCGAGAGAATCGGCGTCGAGAGGGACTTGCTATTAGAGAAGCCAGCTTTCGACGTAATGCTACGAGCCGCCACCCTTTGTTTGCGTGCCGAGTTCACCGCCGAGTCCTTCATGCTGGCACCGATCGAGGAGCGCGATATTATCGGTGACGCATCTGAGACCGGTATTCTCAAGTTTTGCGAGCACATTCATCCTACGCAAAGATACCGCGAGGCTCATCCGAAAGTTGCAGAAATCCCCTTCAGTTCTATGACCAAGTATCAGTTGTCGATACACCGAGACAGCAATGGTTATACGATGATATTAAAAGGTGCACCGGAGGTAATCATGGAAAATTGTACGACGATACTGACTGCGACCGGGGAAACGAAAGAGATGACCGCCGATGATCACGCAATATCTCGCCGTGCTTGCACCGAACTGGGTTACCTTGGCGAGCGAGTCCTAGCGTACTGCGATCTGGATCTGCCTAGCAATGTGTACGGGCCAGATTACAAGTTTGACACCGACTCGCCCACATCCTATAATTTTCCTGTCAAAGGATACAGATTTGTGGGCTTGATAAGTCTGCAAGATCCTCCGAGGCCTGGTGTACCCGAGGCGGTACACAAGTGTCGTACCGCCGGTATAAAAGTGATCATGGTGACGGGTGATCATCCGGTGACGGCGATGGCGATTGCCAAGAAGGTAGGTATTATAAGCGAAGGTCATGAAACTCGTTATGAACGAGCGATTCTGCAGGACAAGTCTTACACTCAAGTAACCGATTCCATGGTCGATGTCGGCGCGATTGTGATTACCGGTGCCGAATTGAGGAACATGGATACAAGTGAACTGGATAATGTTATACGCCGTTACGAGGAAATTGTGTTCGCAAGAACGTCGCCACAGCAAAAGCTGTTGATTGTTGAGAGTTGCCAACGGTTGGGAGAGATCGTCGCAGTTACCGGCGACGGTGTCAATGATTCACCGGCATTGCGAAAAGCTGATATAGGAGTAGCGATGGGGATTGCGGGCTCCGACGTTGCCAAAAACGCTGCGGATATGATACTCATGGATGACAACTTTGCATCGATCGTGACCGGTGTTGAGGAGGGTCGTCTGATATTCGACAATTTGAAGAAGTCGATTGCGTACACGTTAACCTCGAGTGTGCCGGAGATGTTGCCAATGTTGAGCAGTTTATTATTTGCGATTCCTTTACCGTTGGTCATTGAACTGGTTATCTGCATAGACGTCGGCACTGACGTGGTCCCTGCGATTGCTCTGGCTTATGAAAAAGCTGAGTCTGATATAATGCGCCGGGCACCGAGAAATCCTCAGTACGACAAACTGGTGAACAAGCGTTTGATATCCATTACTTATGGCCAGATAGGAATGACGCAGGCGTTCGCTGGATTTTACACTTATTTCATGGTACTTATGATGAACGGCTTTATGCCCGATCGTTTGTTGGGTTTACGAATAGAATGGGAGAACCCATCCATAAATGATTTACAAGATTCCTGGGGCCAAACGTGGACCTACAAAAACAGAATGAATCTCTTGATGGAAGCGCAAAGCGGATATTTCCTTTCCATTGTTATAACACAAATGATAGATCTGGTCATGTGCAAAACTAGGCGCAATTCCATCTTTCAACAAGGAATGAGCAACTGGTTTGTTAATTTTTCCTTTGTTTTTGAAATTATTCTAACAGGGTTATTGCTCTATATTCCAGGCACAGAATATGTATTAAAAACTATGCCACTGATAGCTTACTGGTACTGGCCGTGTTTGCCGCTCGGTGCATTTCTTTGGATATACGACGAATTGAGACGTTTGTGTATTCGTATCTTTCCAGGTGGAATTATGGAAAGAGAAACGTACTATTGAAACCATTTTTTTCTCTACAGAAAGGATGGTTACACGTGCAGAAAAACCATCCATCAGCAAATAACTTGTATTCCTCGTAACAATTCGTTACAAGCGTGCGGTTCCTGTCTCGGTACAGATATTTCATGTTTTAAGTGTTATTACGATCAGTTGATCAGAGATGACTATTATTTATTACTGCAATTTATTATTATTAATTGGAAAAAAGTAATCGTTATCACAGTAGAATTTATCCTAATTGCGAGATCCCGTTTTTCTCTTTTCCTCTTTATTTATATCAACAATAAAAAACTGACTTACAGCACATGTGATTGTACTTATCATGGATTCTGGAATTCGTCCTGCTTTTTTCATTATTAGGTCTAACGATCCTCCGTCCATATATTCCATGCAAATACAAATGTCTCCTCCACTGAAAGAGTGTGTATATCTATATATATATAATATATATATATATACAGGGTGTCATGTAAGTCTTTTCCATCGTTTTTGTGTAGGTAGAACGGACTAAACTGTATTGAATCCTCTACCACTTTGCAATTTTCGCAATGGTTAACGAGATATAAATTTTTAAATATAGACAAATAAGCACGTATGTACGCTCGGCCTACTGCTACCAAGTGTACATATACGCCCACCGATTACTTGGCGCGCAGAGAGCGGGAACTGCTTGGCAAGCGTCTCACTCTGTGTACACCGACGTGAGCCTCATTGAATGGCGCGCTTGCTAGTAGGCCATTCCCACTCCCCTATGAACCGCGCGCCAAGTGATCGGTGGGCCGAGCGAACGCACTTATTCGCCTATATTTAAAAATTCATATCTCGTTAATCATTGCGAAAATTGTAAAGTGGTAGAGGACTTTTCGACACAGTTTAGTCCGCTCTATCTACACAAAAGCGATAGAAAAAAACTTACGTGACACCCTGTATATATGTATATGTAAATAAAATGGGACACCACTATGCGCGCGCGCGCGCGTGTGGTGTGTGTGTGCGCATAGAATGTCTTATTTTAAATAACGTATTAAGATTTCTCGAAAACTACGATAGATATGAAAAATTGTTTCAAACAAAAGTTGTATAGCTCAGTGGGCGATATAAGACAGAATTATTAATTTGACATTGGATGGTCGCCAAGGTCAAATCAAGGTTACATCGATTTTTAAAAATGGGAACTATTATTTATGGCATATTTTCTCTCTCTTCTACCTTATCTTGAGAATTCTCCAAAACACTATATAATATTCTTTCATTAAGTATTTTTTGAGTATAATACTTGAAAGTTACAATATCGCTAACATTAGCATTATTCAAAGTGTCCAATTGACAACTGGAACCTCTTGAATATTAAATTAAATTGATATCCGCTCAAATCAATTTCAAATTAAACTTAATCTACCTCCCAGGTCAAAAACTAATTGAGCTATACTAGTTGTTAGAAATATATATAAATTTTTAAGAATTCGGTTGCGATTGTTGAGGACTCTGTGAAGTCGAAACTTTTCCGTATATACCGATGTAATTATTAATAATAAATTTATATATATTTCTAATAACTAGTATAGCTCAATTAGCTCTTGAATATTGTTTAGAATCATGCTCTGGATAACATTTGTCAAGATCAACGCCATTGGAGATTATTTGTTTAAATTTCATTTTTACATAAAAATGAATTTTTAGTGCAAAAATAAAAATAAGAGGAAACACAATTTCCATGCTAACATGTTTTGGAGAGTTCTCAAGGTACAAGAATATGTAATAAAAAATAAGGATTTCCATTTTTAGAAAATCAATGTGACTTACCTGACCTTGGCAGTGTCACCCAAGGTCAAAAAATTAATGATATCTTCTTATGACCTCTTCCGAACCATATAACTTTTTGGTAGCCACGGTACCAAAAGTAAGTCTTATTCCTGGCAAAGGTGTCCAAGCAACCGGTGCAAAATCTCTCAATCAAGGACCGACAATACTGCAGTTGGTAAATCCTAATACGGTTGCGGGATCAAAAATTCTCACAACCATGAAGCACGTCTGCGCGCGCGCGCGTATGTGTTTGTAACATTATACAGAGTGTAACAAAGCGACCGAACTAAGTTAATTTTTCAAAAAATACGGATTTTTTTTTAAGTTTCCAGATAAAATTTGTAAGGTTTTATATAATGCATTAAATGGTAGTATGAGTACGACCTTGAATAGCATTCTCAAGATCATGTAAAAACTTTATAATTTTTAAACCAGAATTCTTATTTTTTATTACATAATTTTATAGACATAAACTCCAGTAACCTAGGATGAATAAGAGTGCGGCGTGATGCTTCGTAAGCAATTCAATATTCAGTGGATTTGTGTTGTGTGTGTTGTGTGTATAAAAAATTTTTTATTCTATCAAAAAAGATTCCAAAACATTTCGAATCACTTTGATTCATTTTATAGCTTACCTCGAAAACTTCTTAAAACACTGTAATAAACTATTTTTTCATTAAGTAGCATAGTACCGCTATTATTAGTATTATTCAAGGTATCTGACCGATTACTAAAACTTCTTGAATGTTGTTCAGTCATTCCCTAGATAACATCACTCAATAAGATTACGTAAAAGTGAATTTTCAGTGCAAAAATGAAAATAAGAGTTTCAGCTTCTAATGGTTTTTATCTTGACAAATGTTATCATGATCCTGAATAACGTTCAAGAAGTTTTAGTCGTCAATCGGACATTTTTAGTGATACTAATAATAGCAGTAATGTAACTTTCAAACCTTATAACTCAACAAGTATTTAATGAAAATATAATTCATCATAGTGTTTTTAAAAGTTGTAGAGGTAAGCTACAAGATTGCAATAAAAAAGAGATTCCTGTTTAAAAGTTTCAAGATAATCTTTACGTGATTTCAAGAACACTATTCATGGTCATACTTATACTACCATGTAATGCACCACCTGAAATCCTACAACTTTTGTTTGAAACACTTTCCAAGAAAACTCATATTTTTTGAGAAGTTAGCCTAATACTACGGTTGCTCTGTTTCTAGACTCTGTATATGTGTATGAGTACATGTTCCTCAAAGAAAAATGTAAATAATTCTTAAACGTTTACCTGCAAAAAGCGCCATAAAATCCAACTATATGTGCAAAGTTACATTCATGAAGGACTTTTAATTCTCTAATTATTTGCTTTTTGATAGGTGGCTTCACTTCCAACCGTATTTGCTGAAAAATTTGAGATAAAAATACCAGTGAATACATTGCAAATGTCTATAAATACATGTATATAATAAAGAAATGTACATTATTTACCTTCATTGCCATTATAAGACCATATTTTTTATGTTTGACTTTTGTAACAACACCACCATTTCCCGAACCTAATTCACCTAACTTTTCAAAATCCTCGCCACATAGTTCTCCAACTTTTTCTTTTTGCCCCAAAAAACTCTCTAGTCGTTTCTTTTGTTCCTCGTCCATTTCCAGATCTTCCAGTCTTGCTTGAAGAGTATCAATATTCAATGTATCTTTCATGCCGCTGCAAAAATAATATGGTGTTAGAATTATATGATGACAAACTTTCAGATAATTTTAAAATGATAGAAATCTTTCAAACTCAAATACACTTATAAGATTTAGTTCATGAAAAATTTCACAATTATTTCAATTAATCAGAAATGAATTAAGGTTTAGATCATCAAGTCACAAATGTTTTACAACATAGAGCACATTACTCAAAATACCTTGAATAAATATTCTACACAACTTTTACATCAAAGTTCTATAGTGAGATAGGGTCATTGTACAGTATATATACTATAAATATATATAACATACTATAAATTGTTAATATACATGTATATATAAACAGTTTACAACAATATATAACACTAAACACATATTAAATGTGTACAATGTATGTAAACACACACACGTACATGCATGCACATACACGCACACATTATTATATAAAAATAATGAAAGCATCCTTGTTCATGGACTTACTCAGGTATCTCTGCAGGTTCTGGATATGCAGGTGGAACCGGTGGTGAAGGAGATGCTTCTGGTACCGGTTCTATTGAGCCAGGTGGTAATGTCAAGTTAAGTTTGTTTTTTGACATTTGGTGGTTGGCCGTTTAAAAGTATTTTGAAGAAATGAATACTACACTACGTGAGATTATCACTTAACACAGACGTGAACTTGCGGATCATGTAAGATTAATCTGTCTCATCTAACTTATTTTCCTTTCAAGCGAGTAACGCAAGATCTATGAAACAAGGAAAAACTTTATCTTGTTCGCCAAATTTTCGCAATTTTCGCGCGAATCACAACATTCGCGCGAATCTCGCAGTCGTATTCATCGTTCGTCCTCTTTGCGTACATTCATAAAAGGAACGTTCGTTCAACACTTGATATACGTCGCTAATAAGAACGAACTGTCAAATCATGTATCTATAAATCTCTTCGTTATCTAAAAGTTTTCATTATTCAGTAAGAGATACGTTTTTATCACACGTCAAATTCTGGTAAACGTCGAGTATACGTTAACAATGATTGAATGATATATGTCGCTAACCTAAGAGATACAGGGGTGTGGAACACTCGCGAAAAGCGAAGAAGAGAGGTTATACGAAACTTCGCGGGAACCACAAAAGCAAACGCATCTAGTACTATCACCTTGTTCACTGAGCAGATCAACAGCAATCGAATGGGATTGGTTCTTACTTATATTGATTTACCCAAATCGCGCGGAAAAATAGGAAAACAGTCACATAACCTGTCATTTGCTCCGATGCAGTATCCAATCAATTCATCGCTTTTTATGTAGGATTTAAGCCTGGTCTACAATATCGTAAGTCGTAAGAAATTGGCCAATCACAGGTGAATATGAAATAATAATCGATTATAATTGGTTAATTTCTTACAGTTTATAACTTGCGATCCTATTGGATGAGTTGCACTAATAGCGTTTTTCTCTGTCCCTGTTCCTTTTATTCTGCGCAGCCTTAAGTCTTGTGTCCACGATGCTAGAAATCGGTCCGAGATCTCGGATGAAGAATGAATTAACAAATCACATTTGAACAATTTGGTCACATGACCAATGTAATTGGTCAATTTTTCCTTCATCCGAGATCTCAGCCCGATTTCTAGTATCGTGGACACAAGGCTTTAGGCCGGAATCAGACTACGCATTGAAGAATGAGATTGAAAGATTGAAGTTTGACCAATCAAAACAAAAGGACTCAAAATTTCTTTGTCCTCATTGGTAAAATCTTAATCTTTAATCTCAATCTTCAATGTATAGTCTGATTTCGGCCTTAAGCCGTAATCACACTAGCGAATGCGCGATTGTGGTTGACGATTTATTCTCAATCAATCAGAGCAAATCAGTCACCGATTGCTTTGCTCCGATTAGTTGACAAGTAATCCTCAATCGTCAATCACAATCGCTCAATCGCTAGTATGATTACGGCTTTAGGTATATTCATGATGGAAGAAGCAAGGTATAGCATTGCACATAATGGCGGCAGTTTTGACGGTTGAATTAATTAAAAGACGATCCATTCTGCAGGCGCTCATTTTAAAGTAAAATTTAATTGTAAAAAATAAAAATACGTAAATTATGTAAAATTTTAAACATATATTTAAATTTATGAAATACAATGAATATCTTAAATAAAATGCAGGAATATATATAATATATAAATAAAATAATAATTAGATTTCGCTCGTTATCTGCAATAGAAAATATAAAGAAGGACGGTCCAAATTGAGCGGTAATAAAATTTTTTAATTAATAGTTAACAATATCACTAAGAAACATGAAATAAAAATATAAAAAATATATGAAAGTATAAAAATATCGAACGTTTCGAAACTCACAGATTCTTCTTCAGCGATGTCAACAAAATGAACGTATAATCTTATAATATATAAGAAATATATTATTTCTTATAATATATTATATAATATATAAGTTAAGAACGGTTTATCTTATCTATATCTAGATAATTATTAATTATCTAAGCGTAACACTGTTTATAATTATTTCGTAAACATAATTTACAAAACTTTTAATTTGTATATAAAATAATTAATTACACAGTATTAACTATTATTAGATGTATTGCGAATATCAAAAAACTCAATTTAAAAGTATTTTACTCCTTAAGAAGTAAATAATTTAAGGTACGTTTAGAAAATATTAAATGTAACAAGAATGAAGGAATAAAAATTTATTAAATAAAGTATAATTAATAATAATTAATCTTACAAATCTCAATTAGACCACGAAAATTAAATAAATAAAGAAATATATCAACTTACGTAACTAAACCAAGGCAGGGGAAAATTTCAATAAACATTTATAAAAATAATAATAATATAATACTGCACCAGTTGTTTCGTTCAGTCTCATAGAATTATCTCTTTTCTTGACAAAGTTATAAATTATCTCTATTATTACTTACCCTTAATTATTACTTTCAACCCCGACTTTGCCTATATCGCCTAGGTAGAGGCGAAGTGCAATGAACCTATCTTCGTGTGGAAACTCGTATTCCCCTCAGCAGGGGGGAAGGGAGAGTAGACTTCGCTTCGCATAGAAAGTCGCACGCCCCTAAACAGGGGGAAGTATAAGATAGTACTCAATATTGTATACATATGGGGCATTCCATCCCAAAGTGCCACTCGAAAACTTTTGGATTTTTTATTTGGCTGAAATTTTGATATATTATAGTACCCATCGCAAGAAGCTACCATGATTTTTTTCGAATTTTTTTATCAACATAATCATGGGATATGAATTTTTTTCAAAATTCGCAATTTTCAAATGCCTATAATTTTGCGAAAAATAATCCAAATAAAATATCCAAATAAATAATCTCAGATCAACTCTGTGAAGTCGGCACCCCTAAATGCAAATTTTGATAAAATCATTATTGCATTCGTTTGTCCACTGTTTGTCCACGTTGGTCCATCCATTATTTTCGTTTGTCCACACTATTTTTATTATACTTTTCATAATAATGAAAAATAATCACTTGGGGGTGTTACAATTTTTTTGTGTATAACTTTTATTTGGAGGGTGGACAAATGAAAATAACGAGTGGACAAACGTGGACAAACAGTGGACAAACGAATGCAATAATGATTTTACCAAAATTCGCATTTAGGGGTGCCGACTTCTCAGATCAGCTCTGTGAAGTTGGCACCCCTAAATGCGAATTTTGATAAAATCATTATTGCATTCGTTTGTCCACTGTTTGTCCACGTTGGTCCACCCATTATTTTCGTTTGTCCACACTATTTTTATTATACTTTTCATAATAATGAAAAATAATCACTTGGGGGTTTTACAATTTTTTTTGTGTATAACTTTCTTTGGAGAGTAGAAAAAGTCCCATTTGATGGGACGACAAATATTATATTAACTGTTTTAAAGAAGAAGTTTCACCCTTTAAAACGCGACCAGAAAAATTGTCCTATGATCTCTGGAAGCAGAGATACAGTTTCTTTAATGTCGACAAAATTTGTAGGTTTCAAAGTGATCCCGTAATTGTTGTGCGTAGTGTGTATATACATTATACTAGTATTCCTCACAATTTATAGCTACTAATGCTGTACATAATATTTAATAAATGAATTAAATACAGTGTTCTACACTAGTCAAACATTTCCTATTATGTCTTATTATTATTTTAACCGGTTTGATGTGTAACCAATCATTATTTCCATACACAGGTGTTATGTTAACTACAGGTATCATTATACACAACGAAATATCTAATTTATTAATAAGTTCGTCTTTATAATTTCTCGAGTACAACAGTCGATCCAGTACAATACGTATCAAAATCACCTTTATGTAATTGCATTTGATTTTCTTTTCAATAAATATGTAGAAATTTATAGACATTTCAAAAATTGGAAATGTTAAATTTTTATTTATACTAAAAATTCGAAAATTGACATATTTACTTGGCGCAATCATAAAGAATTATAAATATCAAATAAGAAATAAAACAAGTTTATATGAATCCACCTGTAGCTTATTATTGATTTGGTCGATTCAGTTAAACTCTATTCCTTTTGCTTTCATAACGCGCATACACATCCTGCTAAAGATTACGTACAAACAGATGACAGTAAAAGATACAAGAAAATTTAATTGTAACAGACTAGATGTCCGATATATTTTCATAATGATATGTGTATAATAATTATACTATTGTAATGATATCAAAGATTACGCCAGTTAAAGTTATACATTTTACGAAAATTAGCGTGGCCTTAGCATGTGCTTGGCCACCACCACCGAATGCAACGAAATCTGACATTGTTTCGTTTAAAATTTTGTGGCACGTGTGTTACTTGAGCAATATCTTATTGTTGTTACCGTTGCTAAGTTCAATATACGAATATCGTGACGATCCCGTAATTTTAGCAAAATCAGTTTGTCTTTCTTGTGCAGCTATTCAAGTCACAATCAAAATGATGGTATGCCGTATCAAACAAGATTGCTTCCAGGTATGCATATAAAATTTGATTAAGTTTATCAACGTGGATATTCTATTTTGAAAAAGATTAATTTTTACATGCAATTTATATATGTATGTATTTATGTATAACAATAATATATTATGTATATTTATAGAATAATACATACAAATGGTTACACATACACATATATATATATATATATAAATTAAAGATAAATTGTAGGTATAAATTCTGATCTATGGTGAAGTATATATAAGTATATATAGCTACTAATGCTGTACATAAGTTATTATTTTTTATAGATTATATTTTATTGTAAGCTATTGATTATTGAAGATACGTATATTTAACTTTAGATAAATTTAATACGAGTATTGTTTTGATTTCTTAATCTAGAATTTATGTAGAATTAGTTATTAAATTTATTTTTAATAATTATAATAACTGTATTAAAAATGATAAAATATTGAAAAACTGTATAATAAATATTAAAATTTTATAGCATAGACTTACAACGGATTACATAAAAATTTCTTTTTTATTATAAATAACATTAAGATTTTTTATTTTGTAATCTTGTGTAAGTTCCGATTAAAATCCGATTATCCGACTTATCTTGTTTCGTCGGATAAAATCTGGTTGTCGCTTTGACTATGTAAACCTGGACTGCCAGTAGCCAATTTTACACTTGTTAAATAGCAGTGCCATCAGTAATCAAGAATTAAATTTTGCTACACAAACTGCTACACAAACAAAAGGAAGAAATAATTTCCCGAAACTATTAGACATTATTATAGAATGATTGTTTCAGATGCTTTACCATGAAGTGGAAATGTTTTGTAAACAAGCAAATGAAAAGACAAATATTATATTGCAATATTATGTTGACAATTATAAGCGTATTTACGGCATTTATATTTTGTGGGTATACATGACTGCTATTGGTGTTATTTTCGGACCATTAATCCTTCCACAGGAGTTTCCGACTTATGCAAAATACCCATTTTCTACACAACCGCCAATAAAATATATTATTTATTTACATCAATCGTTAGTTGGCATACAAGCTGCTGCTGGAATGTGTATTGATTGCAACTTTGCTATTCTTTTATTTTATTCTGTAGCAAGATTAGATTTGTTAATCCAGAAAATCCGCAATGTCAAAAACGAAAATGAATTAGATGAATGCATCAAACTTCATGATGAAATATTAAGGTACGAAGCTTTTATTATCGTTTTTTTTTATCAATTTCACTCACTTATATATATATATTCTTTGTATCAAAAAATGTTTTAAAAGAAATATTTTTCGAGATTTTAAATGTACGCGAGTACATGAATAAATATGAAAATTATTTTGTGTATCTACATATGTAAGATAATTATTGCGAAAAAATTACACCTCATCAATCACTTTTAAATCTAATATTATATGGTTAAATCGCACAAAAATAAAACTCTATAGATGAAATTATATACATTTGAACGGAAATCGGTTCACTTTTTTACTAAGAATAATTATAAACAATAAAAAAATAAACTATGAAGGAATATAATAATATTAAATTTTACAAAAAACTTTTTGTTCTAATAAGTAATTACTGTTAAACAATTAAAAAATGATTGTATATAAAAGATTTTAATGCCATTCTATTCTATAGAAAATATTATTAAGGAAACATTATTGTTTTATTCGCTATATATATGTTTTCTAGTTTAGGTATAAGCACATACATTTTATGCACGTTTTGAGCCGTTTCGATTTTGCGCCATCTATATCCGACACCCACGTGCAAATAAACTTATAATATACCTTAAATGTTATAGAAAAATCTACAATATGATTTAAAATGTGATTTAGAATCGATCATATATAAGTGAAAGTCAAAATGATCAATGATACGTAATTGTTTCGTAATTTAATAATTACCATCCATTTTGTGTGCAATGTGTATTATTCTTGGATTAAATAATAAAATAAAGATAATTTTTCTAGATATACAAATAAACTGATTAATGTAGTAAGACCTCTGATTTTTACTACGATAATGACAACAATTATAGGAGTTGTTTTTGGAGGGTTGAACTTGGTTACTGTAAGCAGCACATAAATTATTTCACTTAATATACAAAATGGTGTGTTAACCTTATTAGGGGATTGTATTAAAAACCGCTGATTTTTTGTATTTGAGCATTTGTTCCAATAACAAAATATATTAGTACCTCAATCAAAGTATTTTCTCTTGGAAGCTATGACTTTTTGTCACTTTCCTGACAAAAGTTGAATTCCGCGACGAAAAAATGATTTGTCTTTTGAATCGATCCATTCAGCAACCTAATTTTCGACTTCGTTATAATTACAGAAGTGTGTATCTTCTAGCTTCCATAGAGTGTGTTGCATCGATCGGAACAGATGATAATCACTTGGTGTCAAGTCCGGAGAATACGCTGGGTGAGGGAGAATCTCTACCATTCGAGATCCATCAGTTGTTTATTTCACGGCTATATTAGTAACTTGGAGCCGAGCTAATATCATGGAGGAGAATCACCTTTCGACGGATGCAATTGATGGTCGTTTTTGCATTAATTAAATTATCATTCAAACGCTCCAATTATCAATATAATGCTCGGCGATAATTGTTTCGTTCGGTTTCAACAAATCATAATACACGACACCCTCCATATATCCCACCAAATACGAAGCATATTGCTTTGTGACTGTGGTTATTTCGCTTTGGAGTCGATATTGATGGTTGGCCAACGCATGATTTTTTGTGTTTCGGGAAAAGTCTTGAAAAAGATCCATTTTTCATTGCCGGTCACAATACGCCACAAGAAACTCTTCTTATTAGGCAAGCAAAAGAAATCGAAATGTTCAAACGATTGGCAATGGCATTATCGGTCAATTTTCATGTGGCAGCCATTTTTCTTTTTTCTGAATCTTTCCCATAGTTCGTAAATATCGTGAAATACTTAAGTTGCTTTATTGACTTCGAGTTGTTGAGACAATTCTTTGAGTAGTTGGATTTTCTTCTAATAGAGCTTGCAGTTGTTCATCACCGAACTTTTTCGGTTGACCTGTTCGTTATTCGTCGTGAACGTCACGATCACCACTACTGAATCGTCGAAACCAGTCTCTACATACTGTTTCCGATGGAGCAGATTCACTATAAGTTTCTATAAGTAATCGATGAGTTTCAGCAGCACTTTTTTTCAAATCAAAATAGTGTAGAAGTATACACATCGGAAAAACAACTTATCGCGTTCCATTTTAATTTAGTCATAGAAATAAAAGCACATGTGAAGCAAACAAGAATGGGCGCGTTTAGCGGACTCAACAGTTGAGTGAGATGTATTCTTTTAGATCATTCAATTAGAATTTTAGATCTAGAACACTAATAACAGCGAGCGCTCATTCAACTGTTGAGTCCGCTGAATGTGCCCAATGGCGACTGTTGACTGAATTTTAGTGGGAAATGTTCACACTTCAAAATTACATAATTATGTATCAGTCAACAGTCGTTACTTAAGTAACAGATGTCTCTGACCACAGTATACGCAGCAAGAGCCATCTAAACGTAAACAGCGGCTTTTAATGCAACCCCCTAATAATTTTGTATAATTATTAATTACTTTTTATAAAAACATGTAAAATATTTTAATCAATTATAGAAAATTACTTCTATTAACCCTTTATATCCTTATTCTAATATAATGCGAAAAATATTACGTAATTTTGGCGTTTCGTCCCGGCTTCCACTACTGGACTCATCAGTAAGGTATTGTAGTGGAAGTCTTGCGTCATGACATATTACAGTGCTTACTTAGCGCCGAGACATTTTACTGCGCGTGTCTCCTAATAATTTATAAATGTAGATTCTTTTTCCGATGTTATTAAAATGAGGATATAAAGGATTTTATTGTTATGTTAAGTTTTAATAAAGCGCGCGCGCGCTGTACAAAAAATATAGATTTTTAATAAATACAATAGGAACAACCAATAATGGTCAAAATCCAGTATTCTGTAGTAGTATTCATCGCTAGTGTAGAACTTTTTATGTGCGCTTTACCAGCTGACAATTTAATACATATGGTAACATTTTTTAAAATGAACTAATAGTGTATGTTTAATGACTTTCTTTTATAATTATGATCTTATATATCTTTCTAATTTTCAATTAATTATCATTTTAGATATAGGTGTACAGTAACATGTAATTTCTTTTCATAGAGTAGCAAAATGTGTGAAGGAGCGTACGAATCACAATGGTTTCAAGGAAGTATGAGCATGCAAAAAAAAATCCTTCAAATTATGTTCAGATCGCAAAAACCTGAAGTTATTAGCATTGATGGAATTCTTCCTGCTTTGTCGTTTCGTTACTACGCAGGGGTAAGAATAACGATTTAATTATTTTTATACATGTACAGGGTGTCCCACAACTTGTAACTGAAACTTTAATAACATATATATACCTGATTAAAAAATGAAAAATCCTAACTACTTATAAAATAAAAAACAAAAATCCTAATATCAAAATGTCAAGGCTATAAAAGTTTTAAATTAATAGCAACTGAAGTTAAGTAATCACTAGGCTGATATTTTACCTTTTAGGACATCATACAAAGGGATGTCCGTACAAATATGTGAGATTAAAGTAATTACGTATACAATAATATAGAAATTCTTTATTAATCATAAATAATATCTACGAATACGAAGCTTATGAACAGTCTACCTGGATCTTAGTTGCTTTGTATACATATAATTTCGCGTGAATTTATATAGGGAGGGGGGGGGTGTCATTAACCGATTAAATCACCTATCAAGAGCAGGTAGAGTGGACTGAATTGAATCGAAAAGTATTATACCATTTTGCAGTTTACGCAATATTTAATAAGATATTATACTTTAAAGATAGCCGAATAAATGTCATCTGTTTGGTCACTGCCAAGTGTGTGTACGTCCCTCAAAATCGCGCCGCTCTTTACGCTCTCTATCTAATATCTCGTTAAATATTGCGTAAACTGCAAAATGATATAAGACTTTTAAAATGATATGAGACTTTTCGTCTTAATTCGGTCTACTCTAATTGCTCTTGATAGGTGATTTAAACCCATGTGAAGCTGGCCCCCCAATATTAAAAACCCAAAAAAAAATTTTTTTTCTTCATGCATTCGTTTGCTCATCATTTGCTCACGAATGCTCAGTTGGAATTTTTGTTTGCTCACCCTTAGTTCAAATAAGATATATGAAAATTAAGTTTTGGTATCGAATTAAAAAATCGATTTTCTTTTTTCATGAATTCGTTTGCTCATCGTTTACTCACAAATCTTTTGAACTAAGGGTAAGCAAACGAAAATTCCAACTGAGCATTTGTGAGCAAACGATGAGCAAACGAATGCATGAAGAGAAAAATCGATCTTTTAATTAATATTGGGGGATCAGCTTCACACGGGTGTGATTTAATTGGTTAATGACACCCTGTATAGTGATAAATGTAAGGCGCGCTGTTTAGAAGGACTACATATATAACCAGTATATAAATTCGTAAAATTATATAAGCAACTAAGATACAGCTAGACTGTTATAGAGGCTTCGTATTCGTATTAGTTGTTACATTGGAGGTCTTTAAAATTTAATATTGTTTATTAATCATGTTTAAACACAGAAAATAAGTACATATGCAACGTACATAACATACAAATATTATAGAATATTAAAAATAATAAATATGTAGAGCCGGTCACAGAAAAATTGCAACACTTTTTTTGATGGATTTCGAAAAGTATAACGCGCAGTTTCTTCATCGAGTGACTGATTTTTATTTATGTATCTATAAGTAAGCACCAATCACTCTATGAGCAAAATACATTTCGAAACTCATCGAAGAAAAAGTGTTGCAATCTTTCTGTGACCGGTTTATAAGAAATTATCTTTTATACTCATGATCGAGTATCGTAGATCAATTTTTTTGTATGACAAAAATATTTTCGTTAATATCGAATTATACATTATTTTCCAGTATACATATAAATTACATGTAATAACAATCAACAATAATTAATAAAAAGTATTTAAATTTTTGTTATATTTGAATTTTTAAAATTGATTTTATTGCGCACTAAAAATTCCGCACCCAACCCCTGTAAGTATATAGGATATTCTTTAGTATATATTATTCCACCTATTCTTTTACCGTTTACAGTTTTTTAAAGAGATGAATTAAAGCTACTCTATTACTTAGGTTGAAACAGAAAGATTCTTTTAAAAAAATGCAAATATACATATGCACTTACAATTAAATTTTATCGCGTATTAAACATAATACCATAATTTGGAATTTTATTTTTTTATTTCGTATAAAAACTTTTTCTTTCAAGTTCACGTACTCTTAGCACTTATTTATTTTTTTTAAAGATACTTTTATACTAATTAATATTTATACATGAAAATACTTTAAAACTTTTCTGATTACAGTTTTTGTACACATCTTGTTCTTACTTTACTGCTGTACGTATCATGGTCAATAAAAATACTATAGATTAAATTATAAAGAAACACTTAAAATAGTTAAAATACTATATGGTATAATTGCACACTGTGTAAGTATTGATAAATATTTATATAGCAATAAAAATTATGTAGTAAAATATAATTAGGTTATTGTAGACGTTGTATTTGTAAAAAAAATCGTATACATTATAAAATGTACATATAGTATACAATAATTCTTTAATCATATACAGGGTGGCTGAGAATGACCGCCTAATATTTCATGCGTGGGTAGAACAGACTATACTGAGTCGAAAAGTCCTGTACCATTTTGCGATTGCAGTAATAGTTAATGAGATATTAATTTATAAAAATATTTAAATTCGCCCGGCCCATCGTCAAATGCAAGCGCGCGGCTGGATAGGACCGCCCAGCGCAAAGCGCGCCGCGCGCGTTCGCCGTTGCTAGGCGTTGTTTATAACAAGCGTTGTTTATAAGCGGCAATAGTCGTCGCTAGACATGAGTCGCGTGCGTAGCGACGGCGAACGCACTCGGCGAAAATGGTACAGGACTTTTCGACTCAGTATAATCTGTTCTACCCACGCATGAAATATTAGGCGGTTATTCTCAGCCCTGTATACATTTTACAATTATGCATATTTTATTATTTAATTTAGCAACTTAATTTTAGAAATGTCTCCTATTTTATGAATGTTATAAATATTATATTTGATTAATTTGACAAAATAGATATAATACATATATTTGCTTTGTACGATACTGAAGATCGCAAAATTTAGAAAATGTAAAATTTTGTAAAAATTAATATTTTACATACGGCAGAGTCCATTTTCTTATTTTGAATCGAGAATTCGAGATGATCGATGATTCAGCGACGACGCTCACTGTTAAACAAATTGAACTTCACTTCTTTGACGTTAACACTTCAAGCAGAATGGTCACGTTATGATCCTTTCGATGCTGAAAATGAGCGTCGAGCGTCAGTATGAATACTTTGATGAATAGGCACCTTTAGGGTGCGATCTTGCGATCCACTTACAATTAGCGCTAAAAATGCTTCGAAGCTTTTGACTGACCAATCTGAAGAAAGAATTATACTAATTGCCCAATCAAAGAATGATTCGAAACATTCGTAGCATCAAATGGATCGTAATCAGAATTTCAGAGATAAAAGCGCACTTTTATCAATAAAAACGCGTTTTGAATACGGACCATTACTTAAGACGGTCTTAAAATAAGAACTGACTATGAATACCGGCCTTAATGAAATTTGACAAGTGTATCAAATTTACAAACTTAAAACGCAATTATTTTCAACATCAACTTTTAAAATTTTTTGTTTAAGATGATTTTTCATCGAGTTACGGTGTTTTAAATATTACTCAATTTTTAGCGTGTTCGAAAGTGTTCCTTAGATTTTGTTGAATAGTATATAGAAGTATTATATATTAATTTATTATATGTATATTAATATTTTTATATTTATATATTATTATTAATATTTATATATTATTATTTATTATATATTAATTTTTATTTATTTATTTATTATATTTTAAAGTAAAATATTAAGAATTAAAGTGTAATTATGAAAGTATTTAATAATTATTATATCATCATAAATCATATATTAATTTATCAATATTATCGATCGATTCAAACGAAATGGGAATTGGGTAATTGGGCATCAGACTCAGTAAGTGCCTCTGTTCACAATATACGCGATTTTCCATAGTCTCACACAGTCTATCTATCCTCTTTGGTTGCAACTTGCAAGTACGATTGATTTCTTGCAATTTGTGTTCTGTGGTGTTCTGTGAGGCGAAGAGAGGTTAGATTTTCTTTTATCGCGTGGAAGAATGGCCGACGCGTAAGTAGTTTTGATTGCTCACAAAATCTGATTGCATCTGCTGACAACGTGATTTCGCGAATGCACAAATGTTATATTAACAATTGTTTATGTTTCATGCGCATTAGTGGATAAATATTTTTACTTTAAACAAGCATCAACCAAAAATTTGCGAGCGCATAGTTGCACCTCACAGGGCGATAATGTCGTTATTATATACACATGTCCAAAAAAGAGTTCGTCTTTCATTGATCATAAACTCATTCTGGGCCCCGATTCTTTAACTCATAAGAGAAATGTATACGAAAAATAAGGAAAGTGTAACGTTTACTGTTGTATTTTTCTAGGCTTCCGTATGTTGCTTTTACGATAAGTTAGAGAATCGGGGTCCTGCTATTTAGACATTTGTATTTTGTATGGAAACTGAACAAACTTGCAATCTCTATTACCCAGCAAGTGATTTACAAAACAATCATTTAACAATCTCCGTTTCTTTATGTTTTTGTTTCTAACATGATTGTATTTGTCCCATGCAGGAAGAAAGAAGCTGTCCCTCCGACAAAAAAACTACCGGCTGTACCGGAGTCGGTGTTAAAAAGAAAAAAACGCCGTGAGGCAGTGAAAGCTGCACGTTTACGGATCTCTATCAAGGTGATTATTACTTAAATTCTAATTTAACAAAGAGCTTCTTGTTAGATACAAGATTTTGAAATTGTAAATATTTACTAACAATTGTATGTTACAATACATATGCATAAAATTAAAATACTTGTCATAAGTTTTTTTAAGTTTTATAAGAATAAGTTACGAATCATATGATTCTGCTTAGAATTAATCCATATATTTTCTATGAACTATTTGATAGCTCATTACTTTCTAAAGCTTTATGCCTATGTTGCTTAGGCATTGTTTCAAAATCATGGAGAAAAAATTAAATATTACTTAAACCATTGACCAATGCAATTAGTCAAAACTTTTTCATCTAAAATTTTAGAGTGATTTTTATAGCATTGTGAATACATCGTTTTATGTGATAAAAATTCTTCATATTTCTTCATGTAGAAAAGAATTGATAAGACCTATGTGACAAACTGATTTTTATTTTGCAGCAACGTGCAGATCGCTATAAAAAGAGAAAGCAGATTTTTAAAAGAGCTGAGGAATATGTGAAAGAATATAGGCGGAAGGAGAGAGATGAAATTCGATTGATGCGACAAGCTAAAAACCGTGGAAATTATTATATTCCTGGTGAAGCACGTCTTGCATTTGTTATCCGTATTCGAGGGTACGTGTATAAATATTATTATTAACATAAATTGTGCCTTTTATTTTCCAAGAATTCAATATAATAATAATAATATTGCAATCAGTACTAACTTAATATAATAATGATTGTCATGTAATTTCATTTGATACAATCACATTATTTAAATTGTTAAGTTAGTTATTGTACCATGATTAAAATTTTTTCAGTGTGAATCAAGTTGCTCCTAAAGTACGAAAAGTATTGCAACTGTTTCGTCTAAAACAAATCAACAATGGTGTCTTTGTGAAATTAAATAAAGCTACAATCAATATGTTACGTATTGTCGAGCCTTATATCACATGGGGTTATCCTAATTTGAAATCAGTTCGTGAATTGATCTACAAACGAGGTTTTGCCAAGATTAACAGACAACGCATACCAATCACTAGCAATTCCATCATTGAAAAGAAACTTGGTTAGTAAAGCATTTTCTAATCTTAGTTCAAATTATAATCGGTAATTATTTAGAATATCTCCTCTTCTATCCAAAATCTTTTTAAAAAAATGTACTCATTTGACGTATTTTTATTTAAAACGAAAGAATCTGGCAGAAAAATGTAGCGGTTAGCATCCATGAATCAAGTTAAGCCAGCGGTACACGATGCTTGTTTTCCTGCTGGATTGCTAGCTGGATCAAATTCTTGTCATCGAATTGGCTGTGACACTGGCACTGTCAGCACGGTGCTTGCCACAGCTAATACAATGGCAAGATTTTAATCCAGCTAGCGATCCAGCAGGAAAACAAGCATCGTGTGCCACTGGCTTTATTAAGCGTTAAAGTTCGAGATTTTAGAGATTAAGGAGATTGATTGTATATCTTGAAATAAGGTAAAAATGAGCAAATTTACTGAAATATATCAAAATAACATAAAATAATATGGCTTAAAGAAAATAAAATTTAAAATAAATTAGCCAAAATAATATCATTTATTGTAAAAAAATAAAATACTTTTTTGTTTTTTTTGTTTCAAAATCAACGATATTGTTTTGACTTGTAGTTCTAATTTATTTTGAATTTTAAAATATATAATAATATTCAAATCTAAAGACCACATCAATGTAAGAACATTTTAAAAATATATTATAATTTAATTAATGGTTAACACTTAATAAATTTACTCAGTTTTGTAATTTTCTTCGTTTAAAATACACAGTCGACTCCTAGATATCTGTCATCCTGACTATAAATTTAATAATTTAAAATATTTGTTTTTCAAAATAATTTATTTTTTGAGTTGCGTTTTATTATAATAGGGGAAGGGAGGGCAAAGCGGACAATATATGACAATAAATTTTTGTAAATACCTATTCCAATATCTGAACGTGCCGCGGTCAGGACCTGAAGTTTGCGTACAAGTTGTTATCTTAAGGTGCGTTTTGTTTCTCGCATACTGCGTATAATGCATTGTTTATCTTTGTTGCTCACCAAATGTTAAACAAGGACAATTGATGCACATGCGCATCATTTGCGAGACGGAAAGCTTCTTTATTTCGTAAGATAATGATTTGTAAGGTCCTTCGGATATTTGATAGGTACATGATATTTTCCGCTTTTAAATGAGCGATATGTAATTAATATGTATACTATAACTAAATCGATTTGCATTGATTAGGGAACAATTTATCAAAAGAAAAATTTTATTTTACCCTTAGGTCGATCTAATATCATCTGTACTGAGGATTTAATCCATGAAATATTTACTGTTGGTCCAAAGTTCAAATACGCAAGCAATTTCCTATGGCCCTTTAAGGTATGTGCGTTTTAAAATGTAAAAAAAAAGAAGAGATACTGTATACAATATGTTGTATCGATATTTTATACTTACGACATAGGCATGGTTATAAGTTAATCTAAAACTATAAACCTCCTACTATGTCGAAAAGCAATACGAGTTTTTCTTGCCCGATGGATGATGTTTGATAATATCATAAATCTAAGACAAGCTCAAACATTTTCGTTCAACAACAAATTTTTTACGTCCCAATTGCTTTAGAATATATTTTTTTTCGGAAACTTTATACATTTGTATGAACTTTTTTTCTTTGTTTCCAGCTTAATACGCCAAATGGTGGATGGCGTAAGAAGACCAACCATTATGTAGAAGGTGGTGACTTTGGAAACCGTGAGGATAAAATTAACGAGCTCCTCAGAAGGATGATATAAGTTTATTAAAAAAAATTTCATAAATAAAAATATATCCTCTAATTAAATTTTTGTGTCTTTCGTTAATTATTATTCACGTGCACTTGATCAATATTTTTTTATACATACATGGAAAAATACTAAATTTGTAGGAAAAAAGTAGTATTACCAAGTCAAGATCAACATCTCGGAAAATTCACTCACAACGCGTTTATCATTGCGACCAGCTTTGTAACTGCTATAAAATTTTTTAATATGTTAGTCATGCCCTTAGTTCCTCACTGGATTTAAATGTATAAACCAATTATATTCAAGAATTTTACAATAGTTATTAAACTGCTTTTTCTGCTAAAGGATAACAAGGATAAGACGATACACGGGGGTACTCGGGTGATGTTTCTGAACGCAGCCCAAGTGTAAGCAATACAGGCTTAAGAGGTAAGCAGTAAGCAAATTGACCAATCACAATTCACAATAGAGGCCGTAAGGGTTACCGCACACACGTTCCGTAAGTTCGGATCTACAATAGAGTTTTAAGTCTTAAGCCATAAGAAATGGACGAATCATAATCGATTATTCTCCTCGAATTCGACTGTAATTAGTTAATTTCACGGTTTAAGACTTAAAACACCTATTGTTGATCCGGGGTAACCCCGGATCTTAAAGATTCCCGATCCGTCCAATCAAAGCTCTGGGATATAATATCGAGCTTATACCTCAGAGCTCTGATTGGATGGCTCGTTATTTCCTGTTGCCTATGCGTATTGCCTGTGCCTATTGTGTTTCCAGCTTAAGTGCATCCACTATGTTTAGGGCTTAACCTGAATAGTCATCGACTTTAACGTTTGCTTCATGGTGCATTTTTACGGGAATACACATCGATTGCTTCTATTTTTATCCAAATTTGAGGTAACTAGGGTTTTCTATGTACCTTTACTATAATTTAATATTACAACTACGAAAATTGTAAAACTTCAGTGGGAATACCGCGAACACACGTAACGAGTTTTTCGTAAACGAAACGTTTGAGTGTGCTTTTGGAGCTCTGGACAGAAGATTATGTTGTAATATCATATGTTCCACGTTCAAATCCTCATATTTTCTTTTTTTTTCTTATTCTTTTTTTTTCGTATTTTTTGTCATCAAAATGTTACGAGATGAGGCCCAAGAATGTGGTTAAAAGTATTAAAATTATAATAATTGTTTGTAGGTAAAATTAAACTTCCTCTTCTCACATATTATTGTGTAAGAAGACTCAGTCTTTACAACTACTTTTACCCTATAAAAGAGATAGGATAACTTATGACATGTCGCTTAAAGAAAGTAAATGTTTTTCTAAACATAGAGAGTTTGATGCAGCAGCTAAATGCGATTTGGAGATGTTTCCACCTGATTTCAAGAAACTGGAGAATATTTGTATTAGTGATGCAGCTAGTTGTAAGTATACTATTTTCTAAAATTATACTTTTAAGACAACATTATCAATGACATCTTCAATTTTTCATTCAATTTAAGCATCTATATCAAACGAAAATATTGTATTATTGGAAACTGAGAGAAAGCATAATGAAACATTGGATATTCAATATCCTAACATAAAAAATAACAATAACTGCAAAAGTAGGTCCATTCTAGAAAAACACTGTGTACTAGAAAATCTACTTCAAAATCCAAGTAACAATTTTATCAGTATAGGAGTTAACAAAACTGATAATATGGAACAGAAGATTCATGCAACCGAAAGTGAAATAAATTTAAATAGGAATAAAGTACCTGAATCTTGTAAGTTAGTTACTCTGCAGAATACAGTAAAATTAAATTTATACCTGAATATCCTACTAAAGAAAAAAATTTAGATTGTAAGCTTGCCACCAAATCACTATTCTCATTTTTACTCATTATTTTGAAGAAGGCTCACTTTTGCTCTGAAAAACTCAATATTCTCACTTTTTTCTGCTAAAATTGTATTATTTCTATGTTTACTGCAATTTCTATTTAATAAGTTATATATTTTTTAAAACTTTTTGCTGTCTTTTTTTATCCCTTTTCTTTGAGTAGATTTGAATAAGTTGAATAATTCTTTCACAGAATATGGTTAAAAGAAATGACACTGCTGTGCTATGAAACGCTAGAGTCTCTAGAATATGGGAATAGTCCACATAATAAATAAAATTAAATTAAATAATGATATATTTAATTTAAAAATATTAATTTTGTCTCCAGAGATACTTATTTCATTCCTGAATTGTTTCAATTTCTAAATTTAAATGTTGGTGTACTATAACAGAAATTTGTAGTCCTCTCTGCCAAACGTGTTAAAATGTGTATTCTTAATGTGATACTGGTTTTAAAAATACCTTTAGATTTAATATTGAATATTGAAAGAAGTATTACTGTCACAAGATAATATATTCAAAATAATGAAGTACCAATATTACAATTCTGTACAATTTTAATTAAATTTGAACAAACTTGTTGCTCAGCATTTAAAAAAATAATTTAGTTTCCTCTCATTAATTTAATAAAAAAAGTGAGTTTTTTTAATTATTTTGAATACAAAACCATTCTCATTTTTTTTGGAGAGAGCTGAGCTGGTGGCAAGCCTGTTATACGCCAAAATACATTCTTAAAAAAAGTATTTGTTTTCAGTTAAGCCAGGAACATCTATGAAATCCAAAAGCCCAGATATTTTGGCATTCAGAAACAGGAGCATAAGTTCATTACATAAATCATGCACAGTAGAGGATAATGCTAATGTAAAGAAAACTATATCTGATCAAAATGAAAAAGATTTCCAGCGAGGTAAAATAAACGATGTAATTATAACAAATAATTTTTTCCGAAGTTTAACTGATGATAATAACTTGTCGATAAAAACACAAAATCAAATTGTAAACGAGCAGTATATTATTTTATCAGATGAGAGAACAGCAGCGAAATATAAACAAACTGAGAAAATCAAGAATGGAGTAACTGTACTACCAGCTAAACCGACAAGATCACTGCCTACAAATTTGAAAGTTTCCATCGAAGACAATAACAAGAAGTCGAAATTAGTTGAAGTTAAGAATAAATTGACAAATTCAACGCAATTATGTGCAGATGAGACAAATATGGAGGATAATGAACAAAACCAGTCATTTGCAGTACAAAATATAAAAAAGAAAATGGGTAGACCCAGGAAAGTGATAAATGATTCCATAGACCAAATCACACCAACGAACTCAAAAGATAAATATGATATATTGCAAGAGATTCCTGAAACCGAATCCATAACACGTGATAGAAGATGTGCAAATAAAATTAGAACAGTTAGTAGTATGAGCGATGAAACCAGTACGGAAGAGGAAATTTTTGTCAAAAAACGAGGTCGACCACTTGGTTCAAGAGGCCGGAATAAAAAACGCGGTCGGGGACGCCCTCGAGGAAGTGTCAAGAATAATAAACAAAGCCAGTCATTTGCAGTACAAAATATAAAAAAGAAAAGGGGTAGACCCAGGAAAGTGATAAATGATTCCATAGACCAAATCACACCATTACAAAATTTGGTAGATACCGAATACACTACTGGATTAACAACACACGTTTCTCGATCGAGAACGGAGAGTAGCGAGACTGATGATACAAATGCAACAAGTTGTACAGTGAATACCAAAAATGATGTTATAGATTTGAACGTTCCACATATTGAAAAAGCTGTAGGTTGCAGTATATCTTAAAGATTTATGCTATCAAATGTGGTAATTATGAAGGAGATGGACGACCTTACCAATTTTAATAAAACTAGACTTATTCGACACGTTTTTGCACGAAATTAACAGATCTGGCAGAAAAAAAGTGTCGCTCTGCCCTGCAAATCGACATATTAAGCGTTAAAATTGACAACTATTCAGGTTAAGAAATTTGTTACATTAATGGAGGGACATGGGAACATGTAAGTCAGACTAGAATAGGTCACGTGATAATGATCTCATTATTTGATTTATTTAATTGTATTAGTGTGTATGAAATTTAAAGCTGTTTACTATAAGTAGTTTTATTCCAAATAAATCATAACCCACGGCTAGGATATATTATATTTTGTTTTAGCATTACTCCACATGCACCTCTGTCCACATGTGTTATGATTTATTTGGAATAGAACTACTTATAGTAAATACAAATGTTTTTTTTTACCATTCGAGACAAATGAACATAGTTACGAATTTATTTTAATAGTTGATATATTCGCAATATCTTGCTATTGAGAATTGATATTTTACTATTAAGATATTAATTATCCATATTAATTATGCATATGTGTATAATAATTAAAAATTCAAAATGTACAAATATTTTTTTCAAACTTTCTGAAAAATATTGCATATTAAGGTCCTCGTGGTACATTCACTACTTGTCATATCGTTATGCCTGAGCGCGCGAAATGTCAATTCTGTGATTAGCGAAATTTAATTGTAATTAATTTAAAAACTATTATAGCCTCGACATTTTTATATTAAAATTTTCATCATAAAATTATCTCAAAAATACGTCTTTAAAATAATATAATAAGAATGTGTAAGATATTAATTAAGATCTACGTGTCGGGCTGTGTGGCTCCGCGGCAAGGCGGTGGCTTTGTGTTTCGAACTACATACGAGATCCTCGGTTCGAGTCCCGACATCGCGTCGAGCGTCCGACATTTTTTCTCGGCCCAGCTTACAGCTTCAGAAGTGGGATACAACCAACTTCCCTCAGCAAGAAAAAACCTGACTTTTCAAAAAGAAATTTTCCCTCAGAAATTGAGGTTTATTGAGCGGACAGTGGACTCTCAGCAGGATTTCGAAATAGACTACGTGTCCCTGTGAGAATTACCACGCGCTTCTCAACTTTATCGACAGTGAATTACTCAGCGGGATTCCGATAAGGCTACGAGCCCCCGTGAGTTTCTCATAAACATCACTGTTTGACGATCATTCGGGACGCCTGACATTTCAGGCTGGCCGATCTGTTGTAAGATAATCAATTAAGATATCTACGTGTAAGGCGGTGGCTTTTGTGTTTCGAACTACATACACGAGGTCCTCGGTTCGAGTCCCGACATCGTGTCGAGCGTCCGATATTTTTTCTCGGCCCAGCTTACAAATGTATGTATATATGTAATGAATAATGATATACAAAGTGTCATTACTACTGCCAAGCGTGTATACCCCTCAAATCGCTCTCTATGCGCGCCCGGGTCGCGAAGCGCGGGGATGGCTTGAGGCGCGCGCCGTCCGAGTTTAGAGGCTCCCGACGGTTTCTCGACGCGTGGCGCTTCCCATTTCCCGCGCGCCAAGTTAACGATGGCGAATATTCGGCAATAGTAGGCCGGACGAATAATGGCGTTTATTCGGCTATTTTTAAGGTTTAATATCTCGTTATATATTGCGTAAACTGCAAAATGAATAAGACTTTTCAACTCAGTTCGGTCTACTCTACCTGCTCTTGATAGGTGATTTAATGACACCCTATATATAGATTTATAATAAGAAGAATATAATAAGAATGTATGTATATATATATATATAATGTATATATATTATGTATATATAATGATACATATAGATTTATAAGGGATATTTAACATTACAAAATGCTCAACAAAATTACCTTTTTTAAAAAAAGGAAAAAAGGATAGTATGCATATTCGCCTCACAAAAAAACGTGTCGAATAAACCTAATTTCGTTAAAATCGGTGAGATTGCCCGTCTCCTTCATAATTACCCAAAATATCACAATTAAAATATAAGTAATCTTTTACTTACAGATACAAATGGTAACTTGTGCTAAATGCGACCAAGAAATATCGAAGAAACAGTGGTCATCACACAATTTAAATTACCATAATAACATGGCTTGGCGAAAGGATGATGAGCCATTGGTAATAAAAAATATATATATATTTAATAAAGCATTTTTTTTGTAGATCTTTGTACTACTAATAAAAGTTTATATGAAAAATAAATTTGATTATATGTACAGGACTTTGAAAATGACATAAAATTGTTGAAGAAAGTATTAACTGCTGCTCTTAAGCAAAAAAAGAAATTTTTTACTTGTGAAAAATGTGAGGCTGTAAAACGGAGTGTCGGTGGTTTCATATCACATATGCAATTTTGTGGTAAATCAGAAGAAGTAAGCAAAAAAGCATAGTTATTTATTCTATATTATATATATGTGCAAATATGTGGCATTTTTTTACTAAAGGTTTTTATAAAAATAATCAAAAGGCTCAGAAAAGGTTTTATCTATTTCATTATTATAGGAAAGACAAGCGTTAATGATTACATGTCCCATTTGCAATGCAATTATGATGCCTTCCTCTATGGAAGTACATGAACGTTATCACAGACAATTAGAACAAAATAAAATTAAAGAAGCAGATGTACGAATAGAAAGAACTAAACGAAAAGCAGCAGAAAAGTAAATACAAAATTTGTATTAAAAATTGCTTCAATTGAACGCTTATTAATGTAATAGGTACATGCGCGCGCGTTTATCATACATACATATATACATATTTTGTAATTACAGAGCAGTACCAAGGATATTGGAATTCACCAAATCTTTGAAAGAGCAAAATTCAAGCACGGTAAAGAATATTTAAAGATATTATCGTGTTTCCTGAAGAGTTTGGATTCACATTTGTTATTAAAATTTTCTTTGTTACATGTGTATAAATTTATATAAGTACACACACATACACGCACACACGTATATATACTTACACGGATTTACAATATATACATAACAAGGAGAAAATTTTAATAAATTTGATTAATTTTATTTAACTATATTAAATATATTAACATGTATGTATAGTATATACGTGCGTGTTACAATGTATGTTAATACACTTAATATATATTTATTAGAACGATGTAGTACAAATAACGGATAAGAAAAAAATACCAAGCATCTGGAAAGTTATGTGGAAAAAAGAATTAGAATCGGGTGTCATATCTTGTAAGCATATAGGATGTACTTTCACGTGTTCCTCTTATGAAACCATTTGTGAACATTATTATCAATGTGATTTCATTCCACAAGAGGTATTGTATTTCATAATATCTAAATAAATGTAATAATCTTAGACTTAATAGATTGAATCTAATGTTGTATATTAATGCCTATACGAGCTAACACAGGATGTTTGTGTGTGTGTAATAATAAAACTTTTATTGACAAATTTTTGTAAACATTTCGACTCTAATTTCGGATCCTCCTCAGTACATGAGTACAGAACTGCGATCGATATAAAATTAGAAATTGAGAAATGTGTTCACAGCTTGAGAAACGGTGTACAAATTGTCTAATTTACTATACCACACAATATACACCATTAGATTCATAATATCTATCATATTTGGAAGAATAGTTAAGTATTATATATAGAAAAAAATACAATATTTTTTTATTTTTAGAATTTTATGTGTAAAATCTGCAAATTTTCTGCAGATTCTAGAGATAAGATTATAGATCATATAACAGAAATTCATTCCGGCAACAATGACTTAGAAAAATATTCTGATTACGAGACAGAGGAAGATGAGTATCTGTCGGATGAAAGTATACTTGAATGTGATGTAAAAAGAAAGTTCAATAGTCATCATTTATCAAAAATAAAATCTGACAATACAAGTGAGTCGAATATATAATAGATTAACTATATTTTAATTTTTAATATAGGAATTTATACATTTTAAGTGATTTGGAAAACATGCAGGGTTTATTGGATTATTTTTTTATTGAGTTTTACTTTACTGAAAATTGTAATTAAAAAATAATCTGGATATTCGAGGAATATAATTTTAAGATACATTTTAACAGAAGAAATCAACGATTGATTTTATCATTTTGCCGAGCTTTTTTTATATTCAAATTATTATTAAAGTTATAACTCTTAGAATATATACTTGCACTAAAAAATAAGTAAAATTTTATGGTAAAGACTATATTGTGTGCGTGTGTAGAGTGTTTATGAAGTGAGGTGTTATACAGGGGATATGTTCTATTTTAATTTCCTTAAGTAAATATTTCAAAAAGTGTAAAAGTTACGAAAAATTATTGTACATGAAGATAGAACGCTTTTGAAGGAGGGAGGGACATTTTGATCACGTTGCTTTTTTTAAGTAGAGGTGCTAACAAGATATGAAGGTCATCTTTTTTGAATGGAATTATATAATTTTTTTTACATAACATGATTTCTCTAATTATGCTGCATATAAAAGTATTAAAGTAGATACATAAATATAAAATGAATATAAAATAAAATATAGTGTCTCGTAAATTGGTTTTTGATATATTTATCTTGATATTTTTAAAATATATTCAGAATTTTTGGATACGTAGAATAATTAAAGGAATCATATTATGTAAAAGAAATCATATAATTCCATTTTTTTTAAATACAGATGACCTTCATATCTTTTTGACTCCACTTAAAAAGAAAAACAACATGACTAAAATACATTTCTTTCGAAACCGTTCCATCTTTCATCCAAAACATTTTTTCGTATCTTTTATACTTTTGGAGATATTTGTTTGAGTAAGTTAAAATAGTCCACCCTGTATAGTATTCCACTCCATAAACACTGTACAATAAGCTACTTATTTACGATAGAAAATTTTATTTATTCTGTAGTGCAAGTAATAGTCATGACTTTAACAATAATTGATTTTAATTTAAGAAAAACTCGACAAAGTGATGAAATCAACAGTAGCTTTTTCTATTAAAATATTTCAATTCTTCTGTTAAAGTATCTCAAAATTATATTTCCTGGATAGACAGATCAGATTATTTTAACTATAATTTTCAGATAAGCAAAATTGAATTTGAAAAATGATGATCCTTGTGTGCTTCCTAAATCGCTTAAATACGTAAATTCCTTTGCTTAAATATACTCATAAAAATTATTTTGTACAAATTAATATAAAATCACATGTAAACGAAGTCGCAGATAGAATTTATGTAACACGTTATACTAGAATCTTTTTAGGACCGTACAATTGATAAACAATAATAAACAAGAAGAAAGAAGCCAATAACGGTCAAAGTTGGATCACAGTGTTTATTATAATTGTGTGTATAAAATTATAATAATCACTGTGATCCAGCTTTGACCGTTATTAGCTTCCTTCTTCTTGTTTATTAACACGTTATCATATTTCTTTAAGCAAAATAATTACATATACATATATGTACAATTAAATATTTAAAAGACTGAATCTCTGAAAAATTTTTAGAAATCTACCGAAAAATGGTTTTCTTGGATAAAGAGATAACGCAAAATCCTCATTCAAACGAACTTTTTAAATCAGCTTTACTTTGGACTCTGGATTTGTAAATATAATTAGCTTGTGTCTCTCTCTTTTTAAATTTAATTTTAATTGAACTGTTACACAATGTACTATTACATTAACGGAATTGATTTTTTATCAAATTTTTTATTTACTTGAATAACATATATATATATTTTATTTATTTACATTGTAACAGTGAGCAGAAAAATTATGAATTGGCGTTATTCAAAGATGATATGCCGAATTGTTTTACGTTATTGAAAAATAATGATGCCGCAAGGTATTTCCCAGAACTAACAGTTTCAATGGCCTTCAAGTGTGTAAACGTCAATTCATCGAAAACGAGTTCTGATAACGATAGTTGGAAGCGCATGAATAGATTCGAGGGTGATATCTATGAAAGTAATTTACGATATTTGTTATACATGCTATGATATATGGAAACAATTTTAACAAAAAGAATAGTTAAATTAAATTCTAATATTATTTTAGCTGTGCCAACATTTTTTGTCGGTGGTCCTGTATGGGCGTTAGCGTGGTTGCCCATTCCATTACCAATGTGGTCCAAAAATCCGACTCAATACGTCGCAATTAGCACACATCCCACGATGGAAAGTAAATATACTGTGGGAAAGAAATATTTAGGCCCGAATGTTCTGCAGATATGGGATATTGGATCTTTAAATCATCAGTAAATAACTAAAGACATTGCTGTAATTTATAACGTTGTTGGAATTATATTCTACATTTATTTCAGAATTAATAGCAAGAATAGATCACCCGTTTTAGCCTATGCAATTGCACATAATAGCGGAACAATTTGGTGTTTAGAATGGTGTCCATCGGGATGCTATCAGGATGTCGATCTTGACAATTATAAAGCAGACGAAAGAAAGATCAAGCGAATGGGATTACTTGCAGCTGCATGCTCGGACGGATGTATAAATATTTATTCGCTACCGTTTGCGGATGAACTTAAATTCGAAAAAACGGAAAATAATTCGTGAGTCGTATTTTGATTACACATTATTACTCCTCTTTTTGTTATTTATGAAATTTTGATGTTGCATCAAGGTGGCCGATTTATAAGACTGATCCAGTGATGACACTAGTTGTAAATACCTTTATGTACGATAATAACGAACAAAATTGGCAATGTACTAAGCTATCCTGGACGAAGGAACATGGACACAGGTAATATTTGTAATCTAAATTATTTTTCATAAAATTTTCATAAACAGAGCAATCTTTCGAAATATTCTAAAAGATTTTAAGAAACGATTACTCATATTAATTAAAGACGAAAATTTAAAATTTAAGAAACGGATATTTTCATATATCCGAAGCAGCTTAATTTCAAAAATTCAATATATGTCAAATTGAAAAGGAAAGAATTTTTTTCAAAAATTTCGAAAATCATTCGGATTATTGTAACGAAATTTCGAATATCACCAAAATAACCCCAGTGTTTAAAAAATTTTTGAAAAAAAGAAATTTTTTTACTTCTTTTGACATCCTGTATATTTTTGAAATTAATTTATTTTGAACATATGGTTATATAAAGTTTCGTCTTAAATTAATAGCTCTTAGATTAACTCTTTTAGAATACTCAAAGATCATTGTATATTATACAAGTAATATATCTTTTTAGCATCATCGCGGCAGGTTTCTCGAATGGTTACATCGCACTGTGGCATCTTACGACTGTCTCACCTCTGTTGCTCAACCTACGGATGAATACAAAATTTATAAACGCATATCATCATTTCTTTGCTCATTACAACGCAATTACCAGTAAGTAAACTCATATCATCTCACATAAGGAAATAGAAAGTATATATGCAAAAACGTATCGTTTTACCTTTTTACATAGTGGTGGCATTAGTTCCATACGGCAATAGTCGATTCCTTGCTTCCGCGAGTGTAGACAAATCTTATAAATTTTGGGATTTAGAAGACACGAGTGCACCGCAAAGCTATGTGAAAAAAGGCATAGTATCGAACGGTGTATGGATGACAAACTGGCCGTGTGCAGTTCTTAGTTTCGACGATGCACTTGGGTAAAATATATTTTGTTGCAAGCAAGGATGATAATTGATAACAATTATAATTTCTTCTAATACGATTATTTTTTCAGATACCATTACACGCATACTATGACAGTACCGTTGAGAGAATACGGATACAAATTTTGTCCAATTTTAGCTACCAATTCACCAACTTATGTAAGGATGTCATATGATATTATCTTTGCCTTTTTCAAATAACAACTAATTGTACATCGCAAAATCTCCTAAATAACGTTCAACTTTTTAGAGTCTCGCCGTTTCCGATCACGCTAATAGTATTGCACATGGCACTTCAGCTGGAGAAGTAATGACTATTTTTCCTCATCAACTGTTGTATTCAGAAAAAATATTGCCTAAAAAAAGACAGGTAGAAAATTGTATCTTCTTACATCGTTATTATTATTTATAAGATTTCTGACAATTACATATTTTATTATAATACCTTATTACTATACAGGATGAGGCATTTAAAACAGATCGCCTAAATAACTTTTTTTTGTTTATCACAGTTGAACTCTTTTATCGAGGCGATGGATTTCTTAGAAGAGCAGCAACTTGGAAATAACGAAAACAATGAAAGTGAAGATAAAAAGAGATATTCCAAGGAATATCACTACATGCCAGAAACCTACAACGAATGCAAAGATCGTTTTGGAATCGTATTCCATGATAATTTAATGGTAAGTTGTCGGATTAATTTTTTTATTTCTTGATATATAATTTTAATTAATTTTCTACAGGATTTGGAAAAATATATCGCTAGTAGTAAGCCGAATAAGGATACTCTGAATAATGACAAACTGATGTCTATTCCTATTGAACAATATCCATTTACTTCTGCAAACAGGGTATATGTCAGCAATAATTTTCACCTACTTTTCTTCTCACATAATATAAAAATATACGTTAAAAAAAAATATATATATATATATATACATAGAGTGTTCCGCAAGACTTCTCCAATCTCGCACAGGAAGGTAATTGGAATCGAAATAAACATAAAAGTCCTATATCTAAGTTTCTAAGTATATCTAAGAAATTCGAAGTTTACTACCACATAATTATAAAAAAAGCTTTTTGTTATTAACGATATTTGACATAATATCGTGCTCTCTATAAGAGGCTCTATAAGTCGTGGCTCTATAAGAGGCCGTAAAGCCGTAAGAAATTGACCAATCACAGAAAATTATTTTTCTCGCATTCAACTATGATTGGTAAATTTCTTACGGCTTTACGGCTTATGACCTCTTAAAGCAAGGTTGTGGACTCAGCCTAATCTATATAAAATCGAAGAAGAGTAGATGTTTTTTATCGTATTATTACAAAAAAGCGTAGCATATTATGTATAATAATAAGTATTTCAAGTATCGTAATTTTCTAATAAGGTACTTTTAAAATGAGAATGTATAAAGAATTAATCGTGAATAATAATTATGACAGACTCTCACGATTCGTGAAAAAAAAACGGTAAGAAATGGTAAAAGAATTTGATGTTACAAATACATTACACACAAAAAAATGAAGGATCACTTAGTATGTTCTCTAGAAATAGATAACGAGGCATATGAGCGGCGATGCCGGACGCTGAGCAACGGCGCGCTTCCCCTCTTGCCTCCAATATGCAGCCAATGTTTGATAAACTGAACCGGGTTATACTTCGAGCGGTCAGAGTATTTCGGCGTGCTCTTATTAGTACAAATGCAAAACTTAATATCTTGATTATTATTGCGAATATTGCTAAACGGTATACGACTTTTGTGTTTACTAGATCCCAACTACCTTCGTATGCGAGATTGGAGAAGTCTCGCAGAACATCCTGTATGCGTATATATGTATTATATATATAAATTAGCGCGTTTTATAAGTTTTACGTAACTAGAAACAAAGTATTGATAAAAGACGAAATAAATACACTTTTTATATTTTTTTAGATGGCTTGGAATCCAAATGACTGGAGTTACCTGTGGCTTGCAACAAGCTATCAAAACGGCTTAGTGAGATTATTGAACTTGAATTTTATGAATAAGTTCCGTGATTTGAATACTTTGCTACAGACGCGAGTAAAGTCTATGCTCGACAAAAAAGAACAAACTAATGATGACAAGTAGACTACGAAGACAGAGAATTTTATAGCCCTTTGTACATAAAAATACCTTGTACATAAAATCTGAATAAATTTTTATCATGTATCGCCCAAGGATAATTTTCTTCTGAGATGTATCCAACCGAGTTTTTGCGAAGCGCGTTGAGGAATTCTATTTTATCGCCACTTCTGAAATAGGCCTATTGCCGGCCCTGGAATATACTCGTACAAACCATGCGTAGCGACGAGGCGTAGCGAAAAAAAAAATACCGGACGGAGTGTTGTTCAGTGTGGGCTGTGGGATCGGAGCACGACAAGCGGAGAACCGTTATCTCGCCGGCGAGATTTCCTTCATCTCTCTCTCTCTCTCTCTCTCTTTCTCGAAATTTCCGAGCTTTGTGATAACACTTTCAATCGAAGTATTTACGAACCTGCGCCAATCAGACGATCCTTACAACAGCGGTAAGTGTAAAATCTTATTTATTTACAAAGATTTTATTTTCTTGTAAAATGACGCTCGAGCACGTTGGACTCTTGCATTCTGTTTTGTATCTTGTTTGTGAAAGGAATTGTGTCTTTTTTGAATACCAAATGTATTATTCTCTATCCGTTTCACTCATGTATTTTATCTAAAAATAAACATCTCCGAAATGTATCCGTATTTTAATCTATATTTTTTTTCTCTGAGATATTTAACTTTACGTAAAATACGAGAAAATTATAAATTGTAAGTGCCTAATTTTGCATATATATGACTGTATATGTATGTATAACACATACAGATATATATACATATATTGTATCTGCTTTACAATTATTGCATATTGTGTCTTCTATAATTTTAATTATTAGGTTGGAGGAAAAGTTCTGCGATATTTTATTAGCTCAAAATTGTATATTGTACGTTTAAAAAATTAGCGATTATACCATTCGATGAAGCAAAGTTTCAGCTTTAAGAATCTGATTCTTTAATTTTGCGGCACGATGATTTTTAACTAAGTTATGAGTAATTAAAATCAAAATATTCTTTTCCAACTTGCGAATATCTCAGAAATAAAAATCATAGAAACATTTAAAAAAAATTAAATTTTTAAGAAAAACTTTAAGCTTTCACGTTAGATAGTCGAAATTTTTCGTAAATTCCTTTTTGGTACATAATAGATACCCATAAAGTAAGAAAAAAACTTCTTTTTTTTCAACTTTTAGTTTTTTATATATAAAAATTATTAAATTTACATGAACTAAAAAATTATAAAAACCTTTTGAAAGTCGAAATTTCAAGCTTTAAAACCTTTTTTTTTATTCAAACTTCGTTTATTTTGAACAATGTCACATGGTTTTAGTTCGATAACATTTCTGAAATTTTATTTTCAAGAAGATTGGTACACCAATCCTTGTGTGCATGATTTCTTAAATTTTATTAAAACACTAAAAAATAATTTTTTTGATGATTTAAGATATACAAGGAATATTTTTAAAAAGTAAACGCTGCAAAGCTCTAAATATCTTTGATATCTAAATATCCAAAAATTAAAAGAGCCAACAATTCGATTTCAAAATCAATTTCAATACACACAAAATGTGAATGAGTTTTGAATATTTTAACACTGTCAAGAAAGAGAATTGATTTATTTGCAATTAGTTTTTTCTTTTTATTGACACACACAGAAGATGAGTTTCAATCCCATGAAATGGAAAACGAGATCTATTTTACACAGCATTTTAGGCGCTTTGCTTCTTTATATACTATTTGTTTATAAGAAGAAACATCAAGTGGTGTTCGAGGGCATCATAAATAAATCGGATCCTAGACTAGTGTGGGAGTTTATGGCTGATTTTAGCAACATGAAAAAATTAAATCCAACAATGTAAGTAGGAATCAGACAACTTTAAAATAAAAGATACCTTAAAATAAAGAGATCAATGTTGTATTAATAGAAAAAAAAGAAAGGAAAAAAGAGTATATTATATTATATAACGAGGATAGACATAAAATCGATATTTTATTATTTATTTATAAATAAATAAGATTTTAATACAAATTTATTTATAATTCGATTTTTTTAAATTTAAATAATAAATATTTATTCCTTTTATTTAATCCAATTCTAATAAGGAATAAAAAATTATTTGATTCACTTCGAATAAAATAAAATAATTTATTTTTATTTATTTTACCAATTCTAAATAATACAGTGTATAAGTTAATAATTCATAATTTTTATTAATATAAAATAAATGCCTTTTACAATATAATTTAAAATAATAAAAGTCATGAAGAAATAAAAAAATTTAAATTATTAAAATAACCATATGTTACGCACAAAAATTATGAGAGAAAAAGAGAGAGAGAGAGAGAGAGAATAATATCATTCATAATTTAATAATGTAGAATCTGATTCATCCATTTGAATTCATGACACAGAGAGGACTTTACCGTGCTCGATGAAGGTGGGAATTACGATCACTGGAAATATTCCGTACGATATACGGAACATCTAAGTCACTTACCGATGATCCGTAATGTAGCGCACGGACACTACGCCGTCAAGCCGGACAATAATGGCTACGTCATCAATTCCAGACATCTAACTTGCTTCTTTCTTGACTTTGGTTGCTGTAAGTGGATACTGCTTGCGATCCTTTTCGCCCCGCCTCATACAAATCAGTCTATGCAATCAATTTCATTTTGTCTTCCTTAAATCATTCGCGCATAAATCGCTAATGCAGCTAAAAAATTGATTAATCATTTCAGGAATTTTATAAAAATATTTAGAACAAGAACAAAAAAGTATAGATATGTATATGAAAATAAATTATAGAGCGCGCTTAGAAAAATATATTATATTTATAATTATAAATATAATATATAATATTATTATGATTATATTTGAAAAGATATTCGTAAACAATATATATATATATATATATAAAGCGAAGTACGTCTAGCCGTACCGTACTTAGTACTAATTTAAATTTTTCTATATTTTGAAAATATCTATTTTTATCATATTTTTTTACTCCATAGTAATATTCAAAATATATAAAAGTATAACAGCTTGTTCTTATGTAAAAAATTCTCAGCTTTTCAATAAAAATAGTCTTAATTGATTCAAATTTTGTGAAAAAGTACTGAAAATCATATATTTCCGAAAAAATGTTTTTCTACATAAGCCTAAGCATTTATATTCAAATAAATATTTTTAGATAGCTGAGAGTTTTACATAAGAAATTACTTTATTTAGATTTTGAGAACCAATTTCGTTCAATTGTAATAAAATAAATTAATAAATGGAAAATAATAAAAAATGATATTAGACCATTGAATCTCTATAAAAAATGAATATATAAATATTTGAATTCGTTTCAATTCATCTAAATCCATGAAAAATAATTATTTGTATTCTTATATGAATAGAAAATGATATACTATATATATTCAAATGAATTATAAATATTCATTTATGAATTAAAATTAAATATTCAAATGAATTAAAATACATTAAAAATGTTCAATCTATTTTAATCCCTCTTTGGATACTAGGTAAGCTTCCAACTTTGTGTTAGGACAGACTGGATATTCTAATTGGGTTGTTTGCTTTTTAGTGGAGTCTATTTCGCAATTTAGATATGAAGTGGATGGCACGGAGGATACGAGATGCATCGAGACCGTACAGTATGAATGCCCAATTGTATTTTCGCTACTGTGTCACAAAGAAGTCATGTATCAACGAAAAGAGATTCTGAAGAGGTTGAAATCAGAGTTTGCTATTAATAATAGGAGAGAAAATTAGAAATATTTTACTTGCACATGATGTATTTCTAGCTTTTATTGCAATTAATTTTTTTCTTTAATAAAATAAAGTTATTTCTAATTACATGACTAAATCATAATATATATACCATATATATATATATATATATATATGTATATATACTCGTCGCATTATATATATCATTCTACTTAAAAGTTTCTTGACATTAATTTTAATGAACTGTTATTTGTGTAAACCATTGAACTTATTCTAACTAGAATAGAAAACTATTCTTTATCAAGACTATGGTTTAATTTTCACTTTTTAAAGTTAGAGAACCAAAGAATTTAGAGAGAGTAAGTTACACATATTTTATTTAAAATATGTTTAATTTAAAAAACAATTTTAGACTTTCCTAATTCTATATTGGACCACCATCTATTACTTACCGTCTTTCTTTCTCTTGTGCATTATCTTTCTCGCCTCGTTATCTCGGGAGCAGTCAATCAGAAGAAAGAATTCTTTGAAAGAATTAATTGACCAATCAAAAAATGCTTCGAAGCATTTGTAGCATCAAATAAAAGTACGTATACGTATATACAAATGCGTAAATTTGAAAATAATTTTTTTATGGCCGTGTTTTGCGTAAAAGTATTGAATCTAGTGACTTTAGAGAAGATGCGTTTTCAGTTTTAGCGCGTTTAAATGTCCTTGCGGGAAAAGTTGGAAGTATTGACTGTCACATGATCGCAACTGTCACAAAAAGAACAGACCTCGGCTATGGTCCATTTGATGCTACGAACGCTTCAAAGTATTTTTTGATTGGTTAGTTAGTAAAATTCTTTCTTCTGATTGGGCAATCGAAAGTATCGAAGCATTTGTAGCGTCAAGTAAACCGTACATACATACCTCTCGTGTTTCGAGCCCAATCTTTTTCACTATTGAGTTTGGTCTCCTTAATTCTTTTTACTTCGTGGTCCGTGGTGCCAACCTACGCAATGGAATAATTACACATTTCCACCATAAGCGTTGGCAATTCTGATGAACCGGAGCTGTCAAAATCTCAAAAATTGGTGCATGGTTACGACGAACGTTTCATTACGAGGTTTGATCTAGGCGAGTTACGAGCGAATAGTGGACCTAACAAGATTTGAACGATGGTACTGAACGATTGCGCGGACCCGGAGAGGGTGGGATGCGGCTTCAGCACATTCAAGGAGGTGGACGAGGTGACCGCTCTCATAGCGGAGTTAAGGCAGCCGAATTTGTTGACGAGTCTTGTAGAACGAAACAGGGATCGTTTCAATTTCATTCTATCTGAGTATCAAGATCAACACCAGCTTTTAGATCCATATCTTGAGAGGATCCTAGAATCTCTGTTGTCGATTATCAAGGACGATGATTGTCCGGAAAACGTCAAGCACAATACGTTCAAGTATCTGTTTATTATCATGTCCGTGAAGACATACAAGAGAATCGTTACTTACCTGCCACACGAAGTAGTGGACCTCTTGCCTGTGTTAAGAATGCTAGAAAAGCAAGACTCAAATGATGTAGAAACATGGGAAACTAGATACGTTTTGCTTGTCTGGTTGTCCATTATCTCAAAGATACCATTTCCCTTATCTCGCCTAGAGACGTCTGAGAATGTAAATCCAGAACAAACTATCATAATCAGGTATCAAACTATGTAATTTGTGCGTATAGTGATCAAACTTGGCAATTTGGTGATGTTTCTTATTAGATTCAACGTATTAAATCATACTGACTTTCATATATGTAATTTCTGTTAGAAGAATAAGCTATATTATTAATATAAATTTTTTTATGTAATTTGTGGATATAAATTTATTAATTATATTGAAGAGGGCCTCAATTTGGATTAAAACATATAGTGATTCAATAAATTTTGATGACAAATTATGTAATATTTAATTGCATTACACAAGAATATCTTGTTACTTGGCTGTTAAAGACTCTTTTCGTTTAGTCATTGATGCTATTAACCATGGAGTAAAATTTTATTAAAAGACGACAAAATATATTGCTTTTACTTTTATATAATGTATGTTCCAGAATTTTAAAAATATGCAAATTATATTGCCTGTTAAAAGATGCATGCGCTGTGGCAGCTGTGTTTTTAATAGCAAATTTCTTAACAAGATCGGATGTTAAAAAGTTATATTTGAAAGAAATGATCATGTGGTGTTTAAAGGTAATATTTCTCTTTAAGGAAGAATATATATATATATATATAGAGTGTTCCAATTTTCTTTTGGCAAAATTGTATCAGTATATTCTAAAAGTAAAAACGAGAAAAAATGTTATATAAAAAAAAAACCGTTATATAAACGTAGGCTCATAAATGCTTTATTGAAAAGTTTTAACAAAAATACAAAATTATGGATTGGTGCTTTGTTAACAGAGCATAGGGACACATCTTAGTATTTATAACTTTTCAATAAAGCATTTATGAGTTTATTTATATATTTTTTCTTGTTTTTATTTATAAAATGTGCAGATAAAGTTTTACTAAAAAAAGAAACTGAGACATCCTATGTATATACAGGATGTTTTTCCCAGAATGACCACTAAATGTTTTGTATGATGGTAGAGCAGACTAAACTGAATTAAAAATCATCTACTATTTTACAATTTTTTCAACAGTTAACAAGATATTAATTACTAAAAATCGTTAAATATTGGATTACAAATTTTTTTTACTCAATTACTATCAACTTTATAGAAAAACATTAAGTGACAAAATTGTTTATTTCCTTCTCATAGAATTCTGAGAATGTTTCTATTACCGAATTTTCTCATATTGGTAAAAATAATTGCCAATAAGATAATGCAGTTCTGAAAAAATTCTTAGAATTCTACGAGAAGAAAATAAACAATTTTTGTCATTTGCTGTTTTTTTTATACAATTAATAAATACTTGAGTAAAAATTAATTGAAGACCAATATTCAGCGATTTTTAGTAATTAATATCTTGTTAACTATTTCGAAAATTGCAAAATGGTAGAAGACATTTCGACTCACAATCAGTTTAGTTCGCTTTATTTGCACACCAAATATTTGATGGTCATTTTGGGACATCTTGTACGACTTATTGGTAGATTAGCTGTATTATTATTTGTTACAGATTTTTTAAGTATTTCTTATATATTTTTTTAGTGTATAGAAGATGATCCATTGAGACATGGACCTCTGGCTGTAATAGCCTCAATATTAAAGCATAGTGCCAGAGAAGATGTTAAACCATACAGCCAAATGCTTCTTGATAATATGTTGAAACTTCGATTGAGTGACAATCCAGCAGATCTGATTAGAAAATTTGGAATTAAAGTTGTCCAGCGTATAGGTATTAAAAGCTCTGAGATATGTTTGACTTCGTATATATATTTTTTATAAATAAAAAAATTGAAAAATATAAAAAATATAAAATTGTTTACGTATTTGATAGGCCTGATATTATTGAGAACAAAGTTAGCATCCTGGCGCTATCAAAAGACGAGTCGACCAATAAATATCATGCCTACTGTTAAAGCGAATAATATTGATAATACTGAAAGTGTTACTTGTATTAAAAAAACTATTTCGAACGACAATGAAGATCAGGAGATTCCCCCAGCCATTGAAGATATAATAGAGCAACTCATACAGGGTTTACGAGATAAAGCAATTACTATTAGGTACATAGATGCTATTTCATGTATTAGTCATTTATTAGAGACAACATTAATTCCTTGAATGTCTCTGACGTCTATAGACGTCATGAACTAAAAAGGGCTTGGCAAAACCAAACTGAAAAGCGACCAAATCTCGCTGAGCCTTGGACTAAGAAGCTCTTATTGTCTATGTCATAGACAATGAGACTCTATATTATTATTGTATATTAAATATTGTAGTTATATATTTAGTAATATAAATAATTATTATATATTTTTTATGATCATTATTAATTAACATTGTATTATAATGTATTATTATACGACATATAGGTGGTCTGCAGCAAAAGGTATTGGCAGGATAACCGCAAGATTGCCGGTAGACTTGGCTGACGATGTTCTTGGTTTTGTATTGAATCTCTTTTCTGGACGTGAATCAGATTCAGCATGGCATGGTGGTTGTTTAGCACTCGCGGAACTTGGTATATTCCTTTTACATTTACAAATGTATTACAATTTTTGTTCTTTCACTTGTATATATTTACTATGTATATTTCAGGAAGGCGTGGCCTATTGTTACCTCATCGTCTAAGCGATGTTATTCCCGTGGTTCTGCAAGCCTTAGTCTTTGACGAACCTAGAGCTTATGGATCGATCGGTTATTTGATCAGAGATGCTGCCTGCTATATATGTTGGTCTTTTCCAAGAGCCTACGATCCGCATGTTTTTGAACGTTATGTCAAAGAAATTGCAGCAATGTTGTTAGTTGTAACATGTTTTGATAGAGAGGTACAATTTGTGTATTGTATAAACATATATACGTAATTTCTATTTGCATTGCATTTTTAATTCATGTAATATGTTGTGCATTGATAGATAAATTGTAGGAGAGCGGCGTCTGCTGCGTTTCAAGAAAACGTTGGCAGACAAGGCAACTTTCCACATGGTATAGATATACTGACTGTTGCTGACTATTTTGAAGTTGGCGTAAGGAGTCATACATATCTCAAAATCAGGTAAAGAATTCGACAAATATTTCGATATTTCTTATTACTTGGTTGATTTTTATAATACTATCCGTTAGCGTACAAATCGCGCAATATGAAGAATATAAGAAGCCCTTAATAGATCATTTAGTAGCAAAGAAGGTTACACATTGGGATACTGCAATCAGGGAGCTTTCAGCTAGAGTAAGTTCGAGTTTCGATAGTAATATTAATTAACCCGGTGTCATAGAAGCTAGATCATAATGACCCGAAAAGTTTTAATCTATCATTTATTTCTTGTTATATATTTGTTTTATAATATAAATAAAAATACTTTATAATATAAGGTGTCCCAGAATTATCGTCAAATATTTCATGTGCTGGTAGAACGGACTAAACTGAATCGAAAAATTCTTTGCCATTTTGCAATTTTCGCAATAGTTAACAAGATAATTTAATTATTAAAAATTGCTGAATATTGGTTTTCAATAATTTTTTACTTATTTACTATCAACTTTACAAAAAAAAAAAACAAAAACTATAAAGTTGATAGTTAAGTAAAAAATTATTGAAAACCAATATTCGGCAATTTTTAATAATTAAATTATCTTGTTAACTATTGCGAAAGTTGCAAAATGATAGAGAACTTTTCTATCCAATCTGCTCTATCAGCACACGAAATATTTAGCGGTCATTCTGTAACACCCTGTATATTCTTAGTGGTTTTTATCTAATAATTTTATCAAATATTATCTAAAATACTACCATTTCGTAAAAACTATTAGCTCTTTAAAATCATCTGCGTAATATTTTAACACCTTAATCACGCTGGGTTAAACATTTATGATGTCGAAATTTATAAATTTTCAGTTCTGACATTAATAATTTGTTACAGTCACTTTTTAACCTGACGGTGACTGATGCACGTTACATGATAAATACAGTACTACCGACTTTGTTAGATATGTTGAATTCTATTGACTTGAATGTTAGACATGGTGCAGTACTAGCCACTGCAGAAATTCTTGAAGCTTTATACAATTACTTTAATGATGAAATTGGATGTATTATCGGTAAGAATATGTAAAACCCATAGACTTATATATAATAAATAGACTGCCGACTTCTCGCCTCCATGTTTGAAAACAGCGCTGAGCAGCATCGTATTTGTGTTTACTCACTCTTACATGTATAATCACACGGATAATAACGTAGGGTTTTTACATAAATTTATGCGATATTCACGGACAGGACGCATATGTGAACAAAAACAAGGATAGCTCGGGATATATATCAGGTTCATCTCTTTCTATCATATTGAGTCCACAGTCTAATCTAAATATATAAGTCTATGGTAAAATTATATACAGAGAGATCAGCTTTTATTTTTCTGTAAATATCTATTATAGATTATAGCAAGATTGACTTTTTTATTTAGGAGCCATGGCTGTAACTGATATACAGGATATAGTGCGCACTATTAGAAATAGAGGACAATTTAAAGGTCTTGGGGGAGAGCTAATGAAACAAGCTTGTTCCATATTAATAAAGAAATGTTCCATTGTTCACTTTCCCGTTCATTTTATGGATATTGTAGGTATGTATGAATAATTAAAATAAGTTTCACTTGTTAGAAAATTGCTTTTGCTCTATTGTTTATGTATAATATCTATTAATAATACAGATGACTGGCAGAAATTACTAGAAGAATGCTTAAGCCACGAAGTGTTGACAGTTAAATTAAAAGCAGCCGAAGCACATACAAACTTTTTTCTAGAATATTATGTGAATATCGATTACAATGCTCGAAGTGTTATAGTTAATCGTTACTTGGAATCTTTACAATCGAGTAATCAGTCCATTAGAATAGGATTTGCACAAGCGATAGGTAAGTCCAAGGATACATTCTATTTATGTGTGCGAAGATATTTCTATTTATTTCATTAATTTTACTTTTTGCTTGTTTATATCTATAAAAACAATTGATTAAGAAGATAAATCAAAATTGAGTATAAAAAAGAAATCATATAAACAAATTCAAATATATGGACCATATATTTGAATTTGTTGAAATATACAATCACTTTTTTTATAAATTAATATTTTAACAAATGTTTATGATTTCTTTTTTATGTTTAATTTTAACCTATCTTCTTAATCAATTAATTTTATTTTCACAGGACATTTCCCATTATTCATAATTCGCGAAAGGGTGAAAGATATCATAAATTCATTAATCACATGTACTCATATATCTCAAAATACGTTGAAATGGGCGGAGAGTAGAAAAGAAGCTTTGCACTCTTTAACAATGATACTGCAAACATTAGGAATTGATGAAGCTGGTGAATCTTTATTATTCAAATATTATATGTATAGATAATTAACACTTTGCTATATGGCGAATAAATTTTTTCAGACAAATGGCAATCGTTTGCCACAGATATATACGATTGTTATTTATTGGCTCTTAAAGAATATACAATAGATAGTCGTGGTGATATAGGCGCTTGGGTGAGAGAAGCAGCAATGATTGGACTACACGTACGTATTCCATTGCAGAAAATTGTTTTATTATCAATACGCATCACAGAACTGATTGCGATTAAAATTTTTACGTTAATCAGGTAATGACGAATCTAGTATCGCAAGCAAAACTATTCTCTGTATTGAATGAGGATTTAATGACTGCTATTATTGGTGGTATCGCACAACAAGCTGTCGAGAGGATAGATGGAATTCGAGCTCAGGCTGGAACTGTATTCAGTGCCCTTATACATAGGTAAAAATATGTTGTCTTTACTGGAATTTTTTTCATCAATTTTTTTATTCATATAAACGCAAGAAATGAAACACGAAGTATTTTAATATTGGCAAGATTTTTTAATAATTGTGATTAACTGATTCTTTTTTTTTTTATAGTGACCCGCAACTTGTAAATATACCATATCATAACGAGTTGAAAGCTATATTTCCTTATAATGAATGTAAGGAAACTATCGAATGGAGAATGGAATCTGCAACATTTCCACGATTTATTAAGATGTTGAATTTTCCACCGTATAAAATGAATTTGTTACGCGGAATTATATTTAGCGTCGGTGGCTTAAGCGAGTCATTGGTAAATCTAATATTTATTAAAAATTATAGAAATTTCTTTCTCTCTCTCTCTCTCTCTCTCTCTCTCTCTCTCTCTCTCTCTCTCATATATCTTATTTTAATATTATTCAAACATATTTATGTGCATGAGCTAATTTAATTGATAAAAAAAAGATTATTAATTGATTTTTTTAAATAGGATTTATAATTTTATTAATTATATAATCAATTTTCTATTTATGACTAACTATCTCTTATTTTTTATCTATTGTCAGGTAAAATATTCCAGTGTTTCTTTATTTACTTATCTACAAGAGATCAACGAGACAGGTTTAAAAGATTTGTGTGAAAAAATATTAGACATATTTGAAGAAAATCATAAAAATGAAAGAATGATAACATCGATGTTGGCTTTCTTGGACCGATTGTTGAGTTCAGGTTGCATTCAGTCTGTCTTAGACGATGAAAACAATACAATTGCAGAGCGTACATTGACACTATTAAAACAGGAAATTAAATATTCTAACAATATAAAACTACTCATTAGTAGTATAAATGTTTTCTGCGAGTTACTACAGGTAAAAATTGATGAGAAACATGATATGACATTATGCCGGAAACAAAATTTTATCGTTTTCATATTGTTTCTAAAGGCGTACATACATATTTTTTTACTAATTTAGGTACACTGAACATGAATGTAATCTTAAAAATATTAAATTAGTTTTGATTTTTTAAACAAATGAAGTTAAAAATGCAAAAAAACATATTCTTAAAAACAAAAATTCTCTCTCACATACACACGTCAAAATTCATAATAATTTAAATATTTTTAATTGTTTCATTGAACGTTATATTAATCAAATCTTATTGAATATTATGAATTGCATATTTTTAGGTACGAGGGCCTGTTGCAAAGAGAGCATTTTGTCAATTAAGTATATTTTTGTGTCACAAATATACGAGCTTAAGAAAGACAACGGCTATACGTACTTATGAAACATTGACTCTTTATGGAGAGGAGATGGATATAGCAGAAGAAGATTTAGCAAATATACTTATAAAATTGAACGCGACAGATTGGGAACAACCAATCGCAGATTTACGTCCAATTAGAAATAATTTGTGTGAGCTAATGAGGGTACCTGCTCCAGTTTTGCAAATAAAATCAGCTAATTGAGAAAGACTAACTTAAAGTATGAAAAATTTAGCTTTTTTGTATCTAAAATTGTATTTTATTTGTACGCTTAAATGGCATAAAGTGAAACAAAATTTGGTAACTACGATAAACAATTAAAGTAGAGATTACAATTCTCACAGTCAAATAAGATTTTAATACTAAACTCTAATACTGTCTACCATTTAAGAATAATGTATATACAGAGTGAAGTTTAATGAATGTCAACGTTCTACCATAGGAGATATTATCAACTATAAAATATAAGAGAAAGTGAAATTCATGTATAAGAGAGAATGAAATATTTCACTTCCTAAGTAAAACGTTGAGACATTCATTAAAAATCATAAAGTCATCACACACGAAATAACATAAGTTGCATAGTCATAACTTAATAGGCTTTCCACAATAAGCTATTACTTAAGTTAAGTCTTACGTCGTAAAAGAAACTGATCAATCAGATTTTCGCGGACATTGCATCATTATTTTTCGACTTTGCCTAATTGAAAACGTCTTGGATACTTCTTCTTCTTCTCCAGGTTCCGGTAAAGCCGGATTATCGTGGCCAGTCGTACCAAAAGGAAATTATATGCGTCAAAAAATAAGTGTGAAAACAAAGTGGGTGATGCAATGCCCGCGAAAACGGCGTTGCTCGAACGGCCTCTGGACGCCTGCGTCTACGGCGTCGTCACACCGCAATAACACGCGTCATAAGAGTCCTAGTCGTCAAAAAGTGCAAGATGACGAACAATCGAAAAGAGCCCATCCGCGGACACACATCAATGTAATACAATGCACAGTCGAAGTCGACAACACTTTCAAAAATATACAATAGAAAGCACCCGATCCGAAACGCGTCCGTCACGGTCGAGTGGTTCTTCGGAACTCGCGTCTTGGATACGACTGACCATGTTTATCTAAACATAGAAGAAGATTATAAACTTAAGATTTAAAGCTTATAAATAAAGGTTTATTGTAGAAAGCCCACAAGATTGAATCTATGTATGCATGAGAATCATTTCCATCATGCAGACTTATATATTTTGTAAAATGCATTTAATTATTTCTATTGCATCATTTTATACAAAATGAATATGTAAAAATTATTTCTAATACCAAAATAGAAACGCTTGTAACATTTACTCATATTTATAAAAATTATCCTTTTCTCTGGTTGGTCCAAGGCATCTATCATGAAACAAGTCGGAATGGATTATGTTTTCTGGGAAAAATGAAATAATTGCGAACGCAGGGAATCCACATATTCGATTTGTTTCATGATAGATGCCTTAGATTTCTTTCCTAATGTTCCTTCTTATGCCTTCTTCGAATACATGTAACTTCAGATAGCTAGACATTTATGTATATGCAAAGCTTAAGTTTTATGCCTTTAAAATTTCATTGATTGCATACAGCAGACTCAACTGTTGCGGAGCAGGGGGTCTATTCTTGAAAAGAAACGTATACGAAAAATTAGGAAAATACTATAGTATACGTAACGTATACTATAGCATTTCGTATATGTTTCTTTTCAAGAATAGAGACCCAGATCTGTGAGCGATCACTGCTATTGGCTGATCTAAAAGAATAACAGTGAGCGCTCACGGATCCACTCCGTAACAGTTGAGTCTGCTGAACGCAACTATTATAGACGTTTTATTGCACCGTGTGCATCGGTTCAGAGATTGCATGAATAAAAAATAGACCTTTTAACCAAAATTGTTTCAAACTTTCTTTTCATATGTTTCAGCATTCATTATTGTCGTACATACTCATCTTTTGTTCGTCAAAATGTTTTATATTAATACTGATATTGTTAGTTATGTAATGGGATAACAACTTAGCTCCACATTTCTCGATACTCCACTGCTCAGTCCACCAATTGTGCTTATTGATTTCGCCTGTTATTGGATCTCTTGGCAGAGAACAATTGTACTGTCTTTTTGTTACTATGCTCTCTTGTAATTTTCTATTCTTTTGTATTCGTTTACAAATGAAGCATTCGAATTCTTCCATGTAATTCCCAAAATCATTAGGAATTCCCGTCTGTCTTCTTTCGAGCGCACTTAGTAATTTGCTATTCGTAATGCGATTTTCGCGTTCGTTTAATTTATGAGACAAGTACTCTTCATATGCAGAATTATTTTTTAAAAGATTATACAAAAAGTTGGCGAGTTCTATTGGACTGGTAAAGTCTAATATTGAAATAGCGGATTTATTATTTGGTAACCAATCCTATAAAATAAAAAATTTAGATAACGCAGGTTTAATTCTAAGAGATTTAAGTTACAATTTAAAAAAATACCTTAAAGGATGGTGATCCATAATATATTGGTACAGAGCCGACAATAAGTGGTCTCCACAGTTTTTCTGTGATATAATCGTCACAAATTGCATTTTCAAACGCTATAGTAAACTTGTATTTGGCCACAAACAATAAAAATTCACGGTCGCTTAAAATGTCGAGATAGTTGTTTTTCAATCTGAATAGGCATATTTTATCTGTTAATAATTATTAATTTTGACAATATAAAAATATTTTGTTTTAAGATTTTAAGTGAAGTTAGCATCCCCATCACTGAAAATTGAAATAAAATAACAAAATTAAGTGCTAATTAAGTGTTAATTTAATGCTCTATTCCTGATTACAGTGATAAGTTACTTTTCAAAAGTAACCTGTCCAATCTTAGTATTATTATTTAGTTAGTTATCATCATACAAAATTGTAACGTCCCTTATTGCCAAATTGTTATTATAGAAAATAACAGTAAAAATAATGGTTCCCCATGCTGCAGTACTTTTAAAAGAATGACTTATAGAGGATCAATGTTAAAATTATTTTCTGATTTTCATGCTATTTTAAGTTTATTTTACTTAAAATTAAACTTAATGCATATAAAATATTGTAGCTATGATGTGTTACCGCTTTTTTTATGTTAACATATTATATTCTTTTGTTTTACATTGTAAACATTATATTATATAATATTATAAATTGTATGATATTGCACACACCACAAAACAATTTATAGCCAAGCACAACATAATTCTTACTTAACATTTATTGTTTAAAAATTTTTAAAGAATTTATTTGTTAAATAAACAATGGAAAACAAAACTTTTCTGAAATATTCTTTTCTCGTAAACTAGAAAATTTTCAGCATACATTAAAAAAATGAAGTCAGTTAGCATTATTAGCAACAAAATTATTATCAAATGATGCAACACTCGGATCGAGACACGTCCGCCTCAATCGAGTGATTTCTTGAGACTGTATTTTTCTCGTGTTGTTGCTTATTTCTTACAATATCTTATTCCAATTTTCAGAATAGGAGTGCTAACTTCACAGAGATTGTTTTAAATATACCTATTGTCAAGTTGAGCATTATTCATACATGCTCCATAGGAATCGATCCGAATATGTTTCATTAATTCTGACACATAACTATCCCTGTCACTAACAGTATCACAGTCAGATTGAATGTATAATATTGGTGCTAAATTTTCTACATGTATCAATGCAGATTTCTCTTTGGTAGATATGTAATACGAAGTTGCTGCAAACATTTTATTTTTATATTTTTTATGCACACATGAGGCTTACCCATAAAGTGGTACATAGATGGTCAATATTATTGATGTCCCCTCTAAACAATTTAGTATAATTCTTAATATAACTTTCAGTCAAATCGTGCAATTTGTTAATTTTTTAATTTGTGTTATATTAATTTAATGTCTTACTTTGATCTTGTCTATAATAATTATTAGTGACATCATTTTGAGAATTTCAAAAATTTTAATACCAAAGTGTCGAAGCTGCAGTAGTTTTTAATAGCAAAATGTCGATGCTACAATAATTTTAAAGGTTTAATATAAATCAATTAATCCATGGCTGTTAGCCAAAAAAAATTCCCTGATTTTTCTGGTCATTTTTTGAAAAAATTCCTTGACTGAAACTTGAAAGATTCTTTGAATAAAAACAAAAAAAAAAAATTAAAATATTTTATTTCACAAACAGTGCAACAAAATATAAATAGAAAATAAAATTAAGTAAAAAATGAAACAAAATAAACTTTTTTAACAAAAATTTCGATATTGTACTTTTAAAAGAAGAATATAATAAAATTTTAAAACCATTTTAAAAATATTTTTAACAAATATCTTAATTTTGTACTTGAACATTTATCTTTTTCTCCGTCTATTTCTCCATTTTATAAATTCTTTTTAACAATGTCTGTTAATGGATTGTTGCAAATTGCATACTACAAAATTAAAAATTATAAAAAATATTTGCTTTATTTCTTTGAAAAAATCTAAACATTTTATTTCATAATTTTTAAAGTAAAGTTTAAACTAGAATTTAATAGTAATTTAATTTTTGTTTAACTAAATATTATCTTAGGTTAAGAAATTCCTTGATAATAATTTCCATCTGATTTTTACTGGTTTTCTCTGACTATGTTTTAATATTACTGACTTTTTCCAATTTTCCATAATTTCTCTAACTGCTAACAATCATGCGATCTGTCAAAAATTTGCATTCAAGCATGACATACCATATTATATAATAATCTAAGAAGGTTTTCAAGCATCAACTCCATTCTTTTTCATTCTTCTAAACACATCATTCCTGAACGTAGAAAATTTGCGCGAAAAGACAGTTTTAATTAGTTAATTTTAAAAACCACTGTAAAGTCACTTCATTTACTATTACCCATACAACGCACCAATTGTTGCGTGATTTATTGACGTGTCTGTGAACAGATCACAAAACTTTTAATAAACTTTAAGTACTTAATAGACTTTAATTACTTCAGAAATGATATTTAAATATATATGTTCACAATCGATACTTAAACAATACTTAAATTTATTATTTTTGTCGACATAATAAATTCAAATATTATTGAAAAGAGGGAGGAAGAAAAGAGAAGGAAGGAAGAGGGAAGTAGAGAGAATTAAATATATATTTAAATATCATTTTTTTAAGTACTAGAAATAGTTGAAACCTTTTCGATAATTATTTCAAAAAGATTGCAGATTCTTTTTGTAAAATTTTAGACAATCTTTCAACAAGATTTCACGTGCAAGAGTCATAGACTTTTGCTATTCCAGAACTGTCTTAGAATATTGTAAACATAATTAACAACTTTTATGAAATGTTTCACTTTTCAATTGAAATATTTCAGGGATATCTCTAAAAACCTTCAATGCTATATAAGAGGTAGAATTTACAACTTTCTCAAAATGATCTCAAGAATCTGAAATTAATAAACATTACAGTAAGTCTAGAATACACTTGTTTTGTCCTGTATACTTTTGTTTATATTTACCTACTAGTTCTTCTAGACCAGGTAAATCAAGAAGCATGAGTGGTACATTACTTAATCTGCTAAATGTCGAAGAGTAATTAAAAAGATTAAGAGCTTCTTCGTGAACAAGTATAGGATTATTCCTAGGGGACTCTTCATGTAGTAAGCCCCACGATATGGCACTGCTTCTCCAATTAGGCAAATCATGAATATGGAGATTACTTCCGTAAAACAGAATACTCTATAAAAGTCAATAACATATGTGTACAAGATATTCGAATTAATTGAAAGTAATAAAAATGTAAAAGGATCATACTTTTAAGCGTACATCATTCTCAAATGTTCTATTGTGCGTAAAATAACATTTGGCATTTCCACAGGTTTTTACTCGATTATTATTACCAAACGGCGTCCACCATAGTATCACAGGTATGTGGTCATCTACAGAAATTATAAAATATGTCAATCTTTATTGAAAGAAGCATCGATATGGCACATTAACAAATTACCTGAGAAATACAATTTTCTGTGATGGAGGATCATTAAACTTACCTAAAAAAAATTATGAAAATAAATTAGTGGAAATATAAAAAAATGCGGGCATATCAGTTTGATTGATATCAAATTTATTACATATACCTGATACATCACGAGACATGCACCCAATGCTGTCACAATTCCAAACATTACGCGTATTTTCCGCGGCATTACAGTTTCAAACGCACATTTATAAACAGTATAATAAAAAAGAAAATATCATCTTTCTTAAAACGCTATTTGACTATTTTGACAGATTTTGACTAACAAGCAGTGCTGCCACTATCGGCAAAAGCTTTGAACCAACTGACTAGCAAAAAATGTACCAGATCGAGCAAAAATTACTTTTTTGAAAAAAAAAAAACAGATAGCAATTGATGACGTAACGAAATGAAAGATAACGTATTTATTACCTTTCAAAGTGAACGCTAAAGTCACGTTATCTTTTCCTTCACAACTAATTAAGAAAAGGATAACGTGACTTTAGCGTTCACCGTATCTGGGATAAACGATATTGCAAAAACTTCCTATTTCTTTCGTTGTGGCTATACCCTTATATACACAAAAATACATCCCAGAGTTGGCGGTCTTTTAATAGTATCTTATCAGTGGCTCCTGTCACACCCATACCACAGAAAGCCCTCCTACACATGAGACGACCGCGTCGCCACCTATCGACGCACAAGTTGAGTTATAGTCATCTTAAATAGGCGCTCATTCGCTCATTGTTCCTCATTATTCATAGTATTCATAACGCTATACGTTCGTGTGGGTCGCGTATGAATCGCATATGGAGGAAAAATATCCTTTATCCTTGATCGGCTTCGTAAGTGCATGTGCGTCACGGGGCTCGAGTTGTTATTTTTTACTGTGAATGCTGTGTGATCATCACCGCGCTCCTCGTCAACTCTCGTGTGCCCTCGGGCCGAAAATCAAAAGCAAGTCATCCAGCCGACCAATCAGCCGCTGGAGTTGATCGCGCGCCTCCGATCACGTATCTCCGTCACGCTCTAACCTCACTCGTATCTCTACGTCCCTCACGCTTCCTCTTCTCTTTAACGCCCTGCCCCTCCATCCTTTCGACGCGCTCCTCTTTCTCCTCCTCCTCATCATCTTCCTCCTCTTCCTCCTCCGTCGCTGCCTTCTTCCTGTCGCGTACGTCCAGCGCTGTTTGTCTCTTCCTCTCCCGCCCTCTCTCTTTCTTTCTCTCTCTCTCCCTCCCTCCCTCCCTTCCTTCCGTTAGAATCGACTTAGTGCAAATTTACGTGTGTACTACGGACAACAGCATCGGACATCCAGGATGCAGGCCATCAAGTGCGTGGTCGTCGGCGACGGGTACGTAATACGCAGGGAGTCAGGCATTCGGGCTCAGGCGTGACGAGGACGCGACGGGGATGACGTTTACTCGCGGGATGCGGAGTCCACGACTCTCACACCTCTATCGACCTTCTTCCCGTTTTCCTGGAGCGCGAGCGTGATGACCTCGTCTCGCCAGCGATGCTCTCTACCACGCCCGTATGCGAGGCTCGACGTTGACGTTTTCGCGAGGACGTGACGTTCTTCTCTGTGCCAGAGTTGATGACTGATGACGAAAGACAACGCGCGACAGACCGATTTGTTAGCTCAGTCTAGAGGAAAAGATCCGTTCCGATTGTTGCGATTAAAAATTCTACGCAATGATTCATCTAGCAGGACATAATTTCCTGAGAAATAAACTCGTTTTTAAACTCGTATTTATATCAGTCAGCGGAGATAATAATATATATATTAATTGCTGTATTTCTGTTCTCTAGTGCGGTAGGTAAAACGTGCTTACTGATAAGCTACACCACTAATGCGTTTCCCGGAGAGTATATTCCAACGGTGTTCGACAACTATTCTGCGAATGTGATGGTCGACGGAAAGCCGATTAATCTCGGCCTATGGGACACAGCCGGACAAGAGGATTACGACAGATTACGGCCGTTGTCTTACCCACAAACCGATGTCTTTCTCATCTGCTTCTCGTTGGTAAACCCGGCAAGTTTTGAAAATGTGCGTGCCAAATGGTATCCGGAAGTACGTCATCACTGTCCTGCTACTCCAATTATTCTAGTTGGCACTAAGCTAGATCTGCGTGAAGACAAGGAGACCATCGAGCGTTTGAAAGACAAAAAACTAGCTCCCATTACTTATCCTCAGGTTTGTTTCGATTATTTTCATGATACAAAGTTTAAAGCAGTCAAAAAGTATACATTTGAGTTAAAATTATGTGTGTATATTATAGAGAAAATGTAGAGAAAAAGAAAGAAAGAAAGAATGAGAAATTATATTTTGGCTGTGTAGCAAGTACATTGCGAGTTAATATAAGTTATATAACATTGCACAAATAGTAGTTTCAATTGATATAGCCTGTAATTGTTATGAATATTTAGAGAATGTTTTTTAGAAACCGTATTATTTCAAAATGTATTTCATTCATGACAGGGTTTAGCAATGGCAAAGGAGATTGGTGCTGTTAAATATTTGGAATGCTCTGCTTTGACACAGAAAGGCTTGAAGACTGTGTTCGACGAAGCGATACGCGCTGTACTGTGCCCGGTTCTGCAAGTGAAGCCAAAGCGCAGATGTTTCCTTCTATAATATTAAATGTACCCCTCTTTGCACGTTGGTACTGGAACATGTTTGAAAGTGTCTTGTCTCATCTCCAGTGTACCAAGCACTAATCGAATTAATCGGGTGAATTATCGGGTGATTTACCCGATCCAAATTATCATTTGGAACCTCAGTTGTACCAGCCTACGTCAGCTTAGAGGCTGCAAACATCTATCAACATAAGCGCACAAATGTCAGTTCGGTATAAATTTCCAGCGAGCAAAACAAAAGAGGGTTCACAAAGGAGAATCGTGAATTTGAGATATAAATTCATTTTTGTGTGGCCTCCACCACATCTGAAATGAAAGAATAAATTAATTACTGAAGTTTTCTGCTATCTATATGAGCCACAAACTTCCAGTCTAGACAGTCTAATCACATTATAGGGCTATAAATGCGAATTGACTGGATGTTTAAGCAAAAGGAGTGTAAAAGAAGCCAAAATAACTGAACTAACTACTGTACAGTATACTAGAAGTACGTTATTAATATTACAATTAATAATTATATAATGAATGGGTAAAAGAAGAAAGCAAATATTACTATATGATTGTCCAAACATTGACTGTATACTGATCAGTTTAATCAAAGAGGAAAACCATTTTATGCTATTTGCCATTGTACATTTTAGATAGGACATAGTTAATGTATTTAAAATGGAGGAAAAAAAAAGAGAAAAAAACATGGTAGTTTTCCTTATTCTAAAAGATATTCAATATTCATCAAGATATAAATTCAGAGAGAAAGAGAAGAGAGAATATTTTTTAGAGATATGTGTGTAGAATACATGGCAAACCTCTTTGGAAGATATTCATATAGATGTTCATTATAAATGTGAATAACGGTAATGCCACGCATATATACATTTCTTCAAGTACTTAGAGCAACTATAAGTATTTTTTTTTTATTCAACGCAACATGTTATCGAAAGCTTTGACAGAGCCGCGTACAGTCTCTTTCGTATAGAGAATTTATTAATCTTTGAAAAACACTAATCTGTTACGTTCGTAAGGGTTTATTTGAGAAATTGTATATCTTAGACTTATTTGAGAAATTGTATATAAAAAAAATCTAATTGAAGGTGTTAGATGCGTAATCGAATGCCATTCATTGTTCACTGTGCACGTCCTATATTTAATTCTGTTCATGCGCAATAGTTAAATAACAATTTTGCTTCAAATTCGTAACAAATCCGAAATGAGATAATTAACCGATAGATATGCGAAAAATGAAAACACTAACTATATTTTCCGAGTGGAATCGGTAGCGCAGCGGCCGCATAATATGGCTTCCTTCTTCCACTAAATTGGATAACATTAAATGTTACATACCGTAATTTAAGAGAAAAAAAAAAATAGCTGACTGTACAAGAGTTTTAGATGTATGTGATATAAGTATAAATGTCAAATTTGCAAGTTCAACGGTTTCTCTGCTTCGCGTTGTTTCACTTGCGAGTGATGATTTCCTGGCGCGATGATGATAATCTGTGATTAGTGCGCACAATTCGTCAAATTCTTTCTCATAGGAATTACTGTGTGGTCATCATGTCGTGATCATCTGGTCGAAACTGAAAGGAGTGTAACACTGCATTTGAAGGAATAGAATACAATTACCGAAGCAGAGGATGCGCGAGTATTTCATGTATGCGAGAAAGCGAGATTGCTGTATGGAAGAAAGAACGAATACGAGAAGTATGAATGTGTAAGTATATAATGAGAGAAAATCTGCTATATGAGAAACATAACAATTGTGTACATAAATGCTGAACTTCAAATGTATTCTTCCTTATTATCACGTATAATGTATAATTTTAAACATTGTAAGTGGTAATATGAACCATATACATATATACATATATATATATAAATAAATATATATATATACATATATAAGTCGCTGATCGAATCTAAATCGTTACTTGTTTTTTATATATATATTATAAATATATATAAAACAAAACGCGGGGGGAGGGGGGAAGCTGGACCAAGACCTAACTAAACTCTCAATCGTCGCAGATCTATATTAATCTCAGTGCAATTTGTTAGAGGAAGAAATAAAGATTCGGTCCGCATCGGAAAAGAATCACTAAAAACTATTGTAACTAAATATGCTTTATTAAATGGGTGTTTATTAAATACTCTACTAATTTTTTTTGTCAAAAGAAACATTTTGCGATGCGATGCGCATATATGTTATTATGCAGCGGTGTCAAAAAACGTGTTGATCAGCGTCGATATCTGATCGGGCGTGTACTTGATGTATTTTGTCGGATTCTTCGAGAATGACGTGCCGCGATACTTGTTGTGGAACGCGGTGTACAGTGGTACAATCGCCTCGTGCAGTTCCTTTCTTAACTCTTCGCGCAAACATCTGTCAGGTACCGAGTAAGAACGCTGACACTTGGTCACTTCCTCGAGTTCTCGTGCGAAACCCAAGAACTTCTCCTTTAACGTTTTAGCAGCGAGATCTATATGAAGGAAAAACGCATGCGGACATTAATGCAATTAATAAGTCTAAAACCTTTGGAATGGATTCTAACTCTAAAGAGTGAAATCTTACTCATAAAACTTGACGATTAAACCACTCTTTCAATACAGGTTCAATTGTCATTTTTTGTTACTCTGTAGAATTAAGATTCCACTCCAGAAATTTTAGAGTGGAGATTCGCCAAGTGTTGAACACTTTTCGATTGTTTCAGAAAGTAGACACATATGTTTGTTTCTATTTATTTCTGTGACTCGAGAGAATTTTGTTTAAAACTTGATTGAAATGAAGGCACAAACCTGGTTCGTCTGTGAGATATGATCGGGCCTTACTGAATGTTGTGGTAACGTAATTGTTTTTGTCTTTAAGAAGCAGATCGTTATACGTTTGTTCTGCACTTGGCTCGGCCAGTAAGAGTAGTTCCATAAGAGAACTTCGACGAAGAGCGTTAACTACGTAATTATGATTATTCAACCGAAATAAAGCTCGTAAAGCAAGATCGGAGTACGACGCGTCGCTTTTACTCACTAGCGCCAGATTCAATTGAGCAAGAACTTTTTCTGTAAGAGGACAAAACAATTCTCATCGAATTAACGATATTTTCATTTCAGTTGGTTTACATTTAATCATGAAGAATAAACAGTATGAGCATAGACTTACTGATGTATACACCGAGGACCATTTTATGTACATTTTCCGGTTCTTTCGAATATAACGCAGACTGGTCTGTGAAAAGATTACGTCGAAGAACAGTACCAGCCATATCCGCATATTCGGCCAGTTGCTCCAGAAAAATCAAGACATTACTAGTTCCTTCCGCCACAGTACCGTCCTTTGGCAAACCCGCGCCAGATTCATTTCTCACACTTTCCGCGAACTCTTCCAAAGCTTTAGCTCCCTGCAAAATTCAATAGTTTTTTTCATTATGTTGGTTATACATGTTTTCTTAACAGAAACAGGAAGTTTGTATAGTTAAATGGAGGAATTTGTATTTCAAGTAAAGGAATAAATGGACTCCGTTTAAATGTCATAAGTTTTGTATTGTAAATTAATTTTTCTACTTCAATGATTTTGCTAAAGAGATCTTACTGAATACGAATCTGAAAATAATTTTGTTAGATGATTAAAATAATTGTGTTGAAAACTTATATTGGAATATTGGATTTTTTGCACATTGCTCATCATTTATTTAATTTCCAATGTAATCATTCTGATGTTTTAATAAAAAATATTTTAGATTTTTCCCAGCAAAATCGTTCTTTCCATGTAGTCCTTCATATATTCTAAATGTTATATATAATACATATATAAAATTATAAATATAATTATTAAATTTTTTCAATATTTCAAATACAGACTGAATAACATCTAAACGGAGAACTGTCCATTTAATCTCTTCTCTGAAATAAATTCGCAAGGAATCTTGCCCTTTTCGAACTCCCTGCATACAGTAATTAATTGCATACCGTTAGATAGAATGATAACCTACTGAATATCTGATCCATTGAAATAAAGTTGGTCAAATCAACGAATGAATTTTTCAAGATGACATATATAAAAGTCATTTTGTAAGTCCAATTTTAAATGATTTTTTGTTTACATAATATGAATCCTCTTAATTATTCTGTTAAAGAAACCATTATACTTGATTTAAAAATAATATATAATTGCATATTGTGCAATTTTTTTGGAAAGCTATGTTTTCTTTCATTATATGTTGCTATTATATGTCAATAGCATTTCTTAAAAGTGAATAATCTAATTTAACATATTGAAGTATAATCTCTTTTGATATAAACATATATTAAAATGTCATGCATAGAACGATGTTGGAAATTTCTCTTCTTATATACTCTCCGATTCATTTAATGAGCATATATCTATCACAACCTCTGTTTATATCAACCGGAAGATATTGACATGATAATAAGATACATTATCGATATATTTTCCAAAGAGTACTGATTAGAGAGAAATGGCATAATTTCAGATTCTTTATGATATTAATAAATAGGATAAAAGATCCAATTACTGACAGTGTCCCAAATACTAGCAATTTGATTTTAAATGTTTTTTTGTATACATAAATTATATTATAATTTTACTTATAAAAAAAAAGTAGACATTTTCAAAATTTAAGTAAAATTAAATACAATTACTTATCAGATTGTCAGTATTTGGGATACTGTCAGTAATTGGGTCTTTTACCCAATTAATTTGGAAACATTTTTATTATAAATATTAATTTAATATTTAAAGGTTATTTTATTTTATCTATTAATTTTATAAATTATAAGGTAATTACTAATTACCATACCTAAATATATTTAAAATAAAAATTCGGATTATACAGTCATTTAAATACAAGAAAAAGATGAAACATACGGTTGAGTGTAATGTATCGAGTACAGATGCGAACTTGGAACGGAGCGCGTAATCGCAACCTTCGACCGTCCTCTCAAAATCGGGTTTCAGTTCGCCGAGGTGCTTCAAAATCGGGAAGACCACGAGAACGGCGGAAAAGTCGCGTCTCGTGATACAACGTTTGGCTCGCGTGGCTATACTGTCTCCGTCATGCGCGACCAAGTCCATCGCGTCGCGTACGGTGGCCTCAAGCACTTGCGCGTGCAAGGAAGTCGACAGAATCTTGGCAACCAATGCACGCTCGGCTTGAATGAGTTTGTGTAAGCCAGCCGCTAACAAAAGATAATTCTCCATCTCTTGTTCATCAGGTGCCGCGTCCTCCATCGAGTACGGGATAAGCTGCGTCGGTTTCCTGGACACTGAATTCAGGGCCAGGTTCAGCCTAGTTGTTTGTGACGCTTTCAACAACATTCTGTTCGCCTTATCCAATGCGTGCTGCAGCCGTCGCGACGCTTTACGCCCCGCATTCTCTTGACCATCTAGAGAATGTCGATTGGCAAATTTTGCTCGCTGTAGATAATATATGTATTTTAGGATGGTTCTTATTTACTCTTGATAAAAATTTTTTTCGAATCTTTTGTGGCACCTCTTTAAATGGTTTCAATTGAGGAAAAAAAATTTGTGTAAAATTACAGTCCAATCGGATAAGAGGAGAACATGCTCTTTATATATGTAAATATCTTCTAAGTTATTGAATATATCAAAAATAGTTTCAAACAAAAATTGTAAATATGAATAAGGAGAATCTTATATATATATATATATATATACAGGGTGTCCCATTTTAAAACTTCCACGTGATTATTTCAGAAAGAAGGCGTTTATTGAAAAAATGAGGAATAGAAAGTAATTGTTAATAATCTTTTTAATTGACTAGAACACATCTTTAATATACTGAGAATCCATAAAAAAATTTATTTATTATGAAAAATATTACTTCGGCTGAAAATCGAATACGAATCTTTAGCATTCCGTGTAAGATGATTTTATAAGACTATAAGTTCTATAATAAAAATCTATATATACAAAATGTGTTAATTAGTAATTACCTTAATTTATAAAATTAATAGATAAAATAAAATATTGTTTTTAAACAAATTATCTGTTAATTACAATATTTTATATCAATGATTTCTATTATTTTTTTTACTTTTTTAAAATTATACTAAAAATTTACAAAATAATCCTTTAAGGTTAAAAAATATATATATTTTGTGTCTCCTTTATAAAAATATTCAAGTCAATAAAGATCACTAACAATTTTCCGAGCCATTTTTAATCTATTTCCTACTTCCTTGGATTTTTTCGAAAACTGTTTGTCATACAAAAAAATGAATAGAATATAAAAGATGCTCCTTATTCATATTTACAACTCTAGTTTAAAACTTTTTAAAATATATTTAATAACTTAGAAAATATTTAACCAAAATTATAGATTTTTTTCTTGAATTAAAAGCGTTTCGAGAGGTGCTGTAAAAAATATTTGGAAGTCAAAAATAAAAGCTACCCTAATGTATATAATAGATAATATCTAAAAAAAACATCACATATTTTTATGAAGACACACACATATATATAAATATTTACAGGCATAGGGCTTCCACCATGGGTGCTACCACCACTGGCGCTTCTCTGATGTTCTTTAAGCAATAACAGAGATCTCAAGACGATGCCGGAACGTACGGAAGCATACATCTTCGTATGTCTACGGTGACCCCTTTCCTCGAGCCATCCCGCAATCTTGAGCAAGTCACTCATAACACTCTCAGGCAACTGGCACAAGGATTGTGGCGCATCCTCGCCGTTAGTGTCCTCATCGGAGCCAATTAGATCCAGGAGCACAATAGGAAGGATTGGTCGACTTTGGCGATTAAGAATATCATGGAACTCAGCATAAAGAGATTCTAGGCCAATTGAGAAGAGACCTGTAATGTTTTGTAATTCGACAGAGCTAGGATTGTTTTTCTGGAAGTATCGCTGGGCATTGTACAGCCGATTCATAGCCTCGAGAAAGCCATCTAAACCACTAGGCCCGCTTGGCTCAGCACGTACCACAGCTTCTACTTCTTGGCATACACCATAATATCCAATAGCATGATCCAACATGCTTAAAGTCTTCTCTATATCTGTAACATAAGAACAAGAAAGAAATGTTGTAAAAATTGTTAAGATAGAATTTGAGAAGTAATAATAAAATTAATATTTTTACTATGTTGTTGTGCTTGCAGATTTTCAGTTTCATTGTAAACTGGAAGTATTGTACGGCGGAGCGTAGCTAAGCGGTCTTCTAAAGAAGAAAGTATTCCTACTACTCCACTCGTCAATCGTCGGCTGCGTTCCTCTGCCTCCTTCAGTGCTTCTAGAGCAGCAATCTCGGACTCCAGTTTACACTGTATTTCGAATCGCCTCTCAGAGGTGTTAGTGCATGTTGCATGCATATTTCTTTGTTGTTTAATTCTATTGAAGATGAAATTAACAGTTATCAAACAAAAATCCGTATTAAGAAACTATCCTGAAAAATCAAAATTTCTTGAGAATTGAAATAGATACAAATGGATTCATGTAGTTATTGCTGAGTCCAAATTTGGATACTGGATATGAATGACTGTGATTAATATTATCTTTAGAGTCTAATGTACGGTACAAAGTTATCCAGTTACCTGCAACATATCAAATGTGCAAAAAAGAGATGAGTTACATTTCTTCTAACTTCAAACTACTATTTTTTTTTAATTATAACCACTCACATTAGGCCTGTTCTGTAAGAGTGCCTTCCATTTAATCACACAAAAGATACAAATTGACATGAATCCCTTTTAAATCAAACACTTGGTATGTATACACATATGCACTTCTAAATTACCTTAATCTCAAGCTTAACAATGTATTTAGGGATTGCTGGAGGAACTTGATCGAGGTCGATAGTACAGACTTATCTTAATATCAAATTCGATAAGAGTGACATTTTTCAATCATTTCTCATATGAGGTGTTATATATCGTCCACGGAGTATTAAGGAGTAAAATCTCCATAGCCTGATCGCCTGAAAAGTGTCCCCGTTTCGATTGTCAATATGGCGTTCTGACGGACCCCACTTTCCGGTTTGTGACGTCAGCGTCTGCGTATTACTCGCCTTGCATCAAAAGTTGTAGAAAATGGGAAAACGCGTTTGTACAGTTCTTAATTGCCGAAATGGGCTGGAAAGTACCAAAAAACGAAACAAAGAATTGGGAATTAAGAATAAAAGTCTTTTTAAAGCACCTACGTAAGAAAATACTGATTACATTTTGTAAGGTTATGTGCAACATTTATGGTTATTCTTTTTTATTATCAGGACAAAAATTTGTTGGATCGGTGGACTGCAATTTTAGGTCAGTTGAAAAGGCCACTTACTGAATATTGTTTCGTTTGTGAGGAACATTTCAGCATCGATGATGTTTTTCATTCAAACGATATTTTACTAAATGATGGTACAGTACATCATACTAAAAAAATAGTATTGAAATTGAGACCAAATGCTATTCCGATAGTTGCCGAGAATTTGACCGGTGACGATTGTGATGATATAAATATAGAAGTACCGTCCTTGTTTGATAACGTTACTCCTCAAAGAAACGACAATTGTGAACAAGCTGTAGAATCATCCACCGCAGAAGATATCAACCAAACTCCTGAAAAATTAAATTTTGAAATGTTAATATCAACGTACTCGAACATATTGCTTCCAAGTTGTTCATGGGGTGCAATCAAAAGTGAAAATGAAAAATCTATCACATTTTTAACAGTTGACAAAAATGAAGTGTTACGACGTCTTAAAATTTATGATGATCTAAGTGTACAAGTGCTTCTGGACGATATTCCGATTAGAATAAAATGTGTACCGAGTTCTGTAGAGTTACAGAAAGATATTGTCAACATACTTCATCTTATTCAAAATATGGAAGTATGCAAGAATTTTAAAGATGCAAAAAGGTTATTGAAAGAATAATTAATCTAATTATATATAAACTTGTACATATAAACTTTTGTATCATAAATTAATTATTTAACGTGTAATAAATTAATTATTAAACATTATTAAATTAATTATTTAACATTGTGATACAAATTTGGGATTTGTTACTAATAGTTCATTTTTATTTACATAACTCGTACTATTCAGTTATATAACGTAATGTTAGAAAAAAAACACACATTTATACGCGTTATTACGCGTTTTATTATTTTCTACAATTTCTCGATCTTAAAATTGTCGTCTGCTACAAGGCGAGCAATGCGCAGACGCTGACGTCACAAACCGGAAAGTGGGGTCCGTCGAACGCCATATTGACAATCGAAACGGGGACACTTTTAGAAGCGGAGATTTTACTCCTTAATACTCCGTGATATCGGCGTGTCTCTCATGACACGATACATATATGCACTGACATAGTTCTAGTGCTGCCCTGACACGGTGCGAGTACAAAACTACACTGGATTGATTTGACGATTTGACCTGTTTTGATGCGGCATGCGCCTGGCTCCTGATTGGTCACCGCATGCGTTTGCCGCTGCTCACCGCATACGTGGGGTGCGATCCACTTCACGCTGCAAATGCTTTGAAGCATTCCTTGATTGGTCAATTTGTAAAATTCTTTCTTCTGGTTGGTCAACGAAGCATTTGCAGCGATTGCCTAGTTCACACTGGATGCGATGGGCGATGAACGACGAGCGATATCCAATAAAAGCTTTGCTTTAGCTCACACGACGATGTAAAGCAGAGTTCTTATTGGTTATCGTTCATCGCGCCTAGGCAATAGGTGCATCCAGAAGTACGACCGCTCACTAAGCGCTCAATGAGCTTTTTTATCTGATTGGCATATTTTATTAGATCTAAATATGTAAACCAAACAGGTATAAGAGTTCACTGAGCGCTCAATGAGCGGTCGTGCTTCTGGATGCACCCAATAGTCGCACACATATGCATAAAGAAAATTATCCAATGGACGCATTCAGCGGACTCAACAGCTGAGTGAGCGCTCGCTGTTATTGGGCGAGTTCAAGACGGCAAAGCGGCTAGGTATGCTTGCCGAGCGATTGAATATAATTGGTTATTACTTATAGATCCAACCAAACATACTCGACAAGCTCGGCAAGCGTACCTAGCCGCTATGTCGTCTTGAATTCGCCCATTGATGCATTCTTCTAGAGGTAAAATTCTGATTGGATGATCTAAAAGAATACACCAATAACAGCGAGCATTCACTCACTGTTGAGTTCGTTGAACGCATCCAATCACATTTTACATGCATCCTTATAAGAGAAATACGACTGGATAATTTTTTTATGCATACATTTATGCAGCTATGCACACGTAAACACGTTTGTATGGATATATCTTTGCCCAAAAGGTAGTTTTTGAAATAATCCGAAAACATAAAAGAGAATGACTATGCGATCCGTGTATTAAAATGATCAATAAAAATTAAGAGAGAGGGACCGTGAAAGACAGCCAATCTCTGTCTCTCTTCATTCAACGATCTCACTCATTCACTCGCTTACTCATTCTTATTGTTGATCACATTTGAATACTACTTTAGACACGTATCGCGCAGTCTATTTATGATTGCATTTGAAGAAATCAAACAGTTGTTTTCAATGATCGCAACTACAAAGAAGAAGAATGATCGCAACTGAATAACCGTGATTATCGGGCGATTAAACAGTGACTGACATGTGCTAAATGGACAGATGTGGGAGTAGTAATCTAATCAAGTTTATGGATACGACGTAATCGCCTCGTCAGAAGCGTGTGAGGTGACGAAGTTTGATCAATTGTTTATCGCGAGGTATGTAACGTATTTTTTTGTATGTATACTTTTGCTTGGTTCTGCGTTATATATACTCGTATAAATTTACCTGAATAAAAACAGTGGTCTTTTTTTTCTAAATTATGTTCTAAACTCTGTATAAACCAATTATGTATAATCACGTTTCTCTTGCTTTTTCGCAATTGTGAAATGCGCAGTTCTCGTCTGCTCAAAGTTTGGAAATTGACAAGTTCAGAAATTAACAAATTCATAATTGATAAAGTCAGTTCTTTCTAGGTGTATATCTCACCAATTATTCCTCGAGAGTCTCGGCATCTTTGTTTTACAGCTACCAACAATCGTCGAACAATGGAAAAACCAATTTCGTCTGACATTGTCATCATTGCGGGCAATTCCCACCCTGAACTGGCGAATCTGATCGCGAAGTGAGTGACAAACAAATGAATGCGAAATGTAAACATGGAAGTCAACCTGTTTTCTACAGTGATATTTGATGCATTGGGTTACTTCTAAATGAGACACTTGATTCAGCTGAACCTGTACAGGTGACATTGTTATGATATATATTGATTATTTATGAAGATTCTATCTTGAGTTAGTTTTTGTTTAAATGATAAAAAATAAAAAAAAAGAATATTATGACTGAAATTAATTCTGTACATGCATATTGAAATTTTTGCTGATCTTTTCAGACTTATTTGTGCCTGTTAAAGGTTATTTATTATATTGAAATATAACTATTTACTTTTGTATTAAGTCTATATAATTATATTTTTTTAATGAATTATAATATAAATCGTATTAAACCAATTAATTATACATACGTACTCTGATATGCGATAATACATGAAAAAGATAGTTACTTAGAGTAATATAGTCACATACAAATATAATCACATCAATAATTAAAACAATTTATAAGTATAATCAATATTTACAAATATGATTATCTACATAGTTTTATTTTGTAAAGCTGAAATGAATAAAATTTTTTATTTACCATTTTACTTCTGCATATTAATGTTTTATCTTAAATTTATCTGATTACATATAATTGCAAGGCCTTATAATACATCCAGCACCATGATCCACTAGGAAAAGGGCAAAGGCAAAAATGATGTTCACCTATCTAGAGAATGACCATCTAGAATTAATGCCAGTAATATCTTTTAATTTGTCATCTATTTTAATATTAGTTTGATATAATTATCTAAAATTATCATAATCCAACAATACTAAGTAGTTAATATACATAGTAATCAGTAACTTCCTATCAAATTATCTTAATTTTGATGATGCATGTAAACATATATATAGTATGATTATTTAATTAATCATATATATTTGCATTCATAGTCAGACCTAATATTCAAGGTTTTCTTAAATTATCTTTCACATTTATCTATAGATACTCTATAAATTATTTTATTGGCTGTTGAGCATCTAAAGATAAATTTAAGGAAGCTTTAAATACAATGTCTGTGACTATAAATATGAACCATAGATGCATATTGTACTAGCTTATTACCTTCCTAGACAGCAAAAAGTATCTGATCACATCATAAGACGTTTTTTGCATCTAAAAGAAAAGAATCTTAAAGACGTTTTATGTTATAATTTTAGATTTTGTGTTGTTTAGATATATAAAAGAGTATGATGATACAAATATCAAAAAACTAGTATTTTACGAGGTATTTTAGACTTTATTCTAAGAAACATACGTTTATATAATAAATTATTAAATATCTTGTAACCCCTTTCAATTTTTTGATAATTGTACCTTTATACTTTTATGAATAGAAACGAATAGAATGATGAGACAAATCAATTGGTGTAAAGAAAACACAATTATTTAAAAAATTATCCATTTTGTCTACATTTTCTTTTTGAAGGCGTAAAACATGACCAAAACACGTTCCCTCGAAACCATCGACACATAGAATGGACCGCTGATGGTAGTGGTGGGGGTAGAAAGACGAGTAGAATGAGAGGCAGAATAATATGATCGTTCTTTCTCTGTTTACTGAAGTCTGATTGGTTGTTGGATTAACAGTGACCAATAGTAATCAGTAGTTATCAGTAAACAGAGAAAGAACGATCATATTATTTCTGCCTCTCACTCTACTTGTCTTTCTACTCCCACCACTACCATCAACGGTCCATTCTATATGTCGATGCTCGAAACCCATTTCGTTTTTATTTGAAATATTTTTTGTATCATGAAAAACAGATGAGTTATTCAGATGGCCTGTTTTAAATGCCTCACCCTTTATAGAATTATTTCAGTCACAATTTTTCTCTTTTTTAATTTTTATCTCATTCAAGCGATAGAAAAATTCTGTAGATAGGATCTTTATAAGTAATCATAAATCATACCAATAATATCTCTAAAGTTTTAGCTCAATCAGAGGAATGTCCCATTTGGAAGAACTTTACAATTGTTTTGTAAGATTATTTGTATCAATAATAGAGCTGTTTTTTTAAGAAGCTTGGCATTAGGTTATGAATAAAAATATTCAGAAATTATGAAAAAAAATAAAATATGATTTTATAACTAATGCAATTTTTTTTATGATTTCTTGTGATGTTATACATTAACTCTAGTTTCCACCAATGCAGATTAACTTTAATCTCGGTTTAATTTACTGTTAATCTTTTTCTAATTTTTAGAATTAGAAAAAGATGAAGAGCAAATTGAACCAAGATTAAAATTAATCTGCATTGGTGGAAATGGGCATAAGTGTTTTTAGTTATTTCTAAATATAATAATATAATATTGTTTATGTATTTCATTAACAATTATTTAAAAGTTTATCTATTAAAATTTAATTATGATAATTAATATTGAATTTTTTAAAATGTCTATCTTAGTATTAGTGCATTATTCTTGTTTTATGGTTGATAAAGAAAGAATAAAAACTTTTTATTTATATATAATTTTCAAGGAACAGTCAGGCATGGTCAACATAAAGAAGAGTATAAGATTACCTAATTTTTAAAAAATTTACATTTTCTTAATAATATAAATATCAAAATATAAAAATACTTATATATACAGATACTAAAAATCAGTTTTTTTTGTTATATAAGAAATATATCTTTGTTATTTCATAAGATTTACAAATTTTTAATTTATCTGATGATCTATATTACAATTGTTTTGTTATTTAAAGTAATTTGATTTAAAAAAATTTCTGATTTAATAAATGCAATGATTTTCAAAATTAATTTTTTATTTAATGTAACTTTTACTGAATCAATTTTTTATGCAACTTTTAATAACTTATTCAACCTTGCAAATAAATATATAGATTTTAATATAACTTGCTTATCATTAATTATAACTAAAATTAGTACAGTTAAATTAATTTACTACAGAAAGAAAATGCAAAAAATATTTGATACAATGTTTTTTTTTATGTTTAAAGTCGCTTGGGTGTGAAACCTGGTGGCTGCGCTGTGTATCACAAGTCAAATCGTGAGACAATGGTGGAGATAGGGGATTCTGTACGTGGTAAAGACCTGTATCTAATCCAAACTGGTACAAAAGATGTAAACAATAACATAATGGAGCTTCTCATTATGGCCTATGCATGTAAAACATCATCGGCCAAAAATATTGTCGGAGTGATTCCATATTTACCTTATTCCAAGCAGTGCAAAATGCGTAAACGCGGTTGCATAGTGTCCAAGCTTTTGGCAAAGATGTTATGCACGAGCGGCCTAACTCATATTATCACCATGGACCTCCACCAGAAAGAAATCCAAGGATTCTTTGATGTTCCAGTGGATAATTTGAGAGCTAGCCCATTCCTTTTGCAGTATATTCAAGAATCCGTATGTAGTAAGATTTTAATACAACTATTGTTGTAAATTATTAATGATAATTATGTTTTAAAGCATTTTGGATTATTATAACTTTATTTTAAGAGAGACTAGTATCTTAAATTGAAAATACAGATACGATATATTTTTTTTTTTTTATAACATAAAATTATATCTTTACTTTAAGATATTCAAAATTTACTCCACATGTGTCTGTGTTATTTTGTATACTATTTTTATATGAATTGTATCTTCTCTTTGTCAGATTCCTGACTATCATAATTCTGTGATCGTTGCAAGAAATCCAGGTAGTGCGAAGAAAGCAACCAGCTACGCTGAAAGGCTGCGCCTGGGAATTGCAGTGATTCATGGAGAACAGAGAGAAGCTGAATCTGACATGAATGATGGTCGCTATTCGCCACCTGCATTAGCATTAGCCGCGCGCACGATGGAGGTCGGCGTTGGTGTACCTTTGCATCCAGCGAAGGAAAAGCCGCCTATAAGTGTTGTTGGAGATGTCGGAGGACGTATCGCTATTATGGTGGTGGGTAAAATGTCATGTCACATTTATATATGTTGTATAATCAGGTCTACGATTTGACGAGAGAAATAAATTTGCAGGATGACATGATAGATGATGTACAGTCGTACGTAGCAGCTGCCGAGGTACTTAAAGAGAGAGGAGCTTACAAAATATATGTCTTAGCTACGCATGGTTTGCTCAGCTCAGACGCTCCTAGACTCATCGAAGAGTCTCCGATTGACGAGGTAATAACATTAAAACAATACATTACATTCAATCGTTACTTTTTCATTTTTTACTTTTTTCTTGACACTAATCGAATATTATGTGCAGATTTTTTGATAAATGTAAAAAAGATATCAAAATTTTATTTTTTAATAGAGGAATAGAGCTAAAAAAAAATATATATATACATGTAGTATATATAATTATATACATACAGTATATAATATTATATATATATATATATGTATATATACATACACATGCATATAAATCTCTATGGTATATTTAATTTCTTAGAATATAAAAATTACAAAAATAGAATATATCGTATGATACATCATTTTATCCTTGTTGTTCACTAAATTGTTTAGCTGTGTTACCATGAACGTTATTCCGAAGCAAATGTAATGACGTTACGTATTCGTTACCGAAAAAAGTAACTTGAAACGGTAACGACGTTAAGATTACGCGTTACTTGCCACCTCTGGTATTTTGTATTCAAAACTAAAAAATTGAAAGTTTCGTATATTTCGTAATTTATATAATAAGATTAATTAATCAATCTTAGTATTTGAAATACAAAGTACTTTCAATCTTTCGTTATTAATACTGAGATACAAAATACAAGATACAATTATTTTACAAATTTCGCTTTTTAAATATAAAAATATTTTAAATACATGCCTAGTCCTAATTAGTTTACACTAATACAAGGAAAACGTTTTTCAATGAAATATTTCCAGGTCGTTGTAACCAACACGATTCCTCATGACGTGCAGAAGATGCAATGTCCGAAAATCAAGACTGTCGACATCAGTATTCTTTTAGCAGAGGCAATTCGACGTATACATAACAAGGAGTCGATGTCGTATCTGTTTAAGAATGTAACTTTGGAAGATTAGAAACTAGATGATTGCACATGAAAAGTTACACATTTTAATCATGAATAAATGACGATTGAAAGTCATGTAAGATTTAATGCCGGGGACCATGTCCAAAATACATATCCGTCTCTTAATTTTCTACACTATTTTTATATTTCTCCAACTTATGAAATATCAGTGAACGTATAAATCTTGTACGTATAGTCCCTTGCGTTCAGAAAGAAACTAATCAGCTAAATGTCTTAATATATATTTCCTTTTTTTTTTGTAGTTATTTTTTCTCCATAGTACATATTAGATTGATATAAAATAATCAATTATGAGCGTATTTGAATACGAGATATAGTTGCATATAATAAAAATTGTACAATTTTAGAGAATTTTAGAAATTCTGTAAAGTCATTATAGACGTGCATTCTGTGCTTATCAGTGATCTAGTTCTAATTTTATTGTATAATTAAAAATGTATTTTAGATCAAGACATAATAAATATATTTCAAGATAAAGATTTTCTACAAATATTTTATCGAATAAACAAAAATGTTGTAATAGGTATTTATAGAATACATGAATTTATAATGTTGATAATTGTATCCAAAAAAGACTACAGATTACGTAAGAAAAAGAATCGCGTCTATCAATAACCGGAATGAGTTTGTTGTCATGGAGATATACATGGTGGATCGATATGTTTTCTTCTATATTCCGTAAAGTTTATGTAGAGCATTTGTTGTTATAACGTCTTGATTCTAAGAGAAAGAAATCCATTTCAGATAATATGGCGTTGGATCTTGAATTAAGTAAGATTATCGTTTCGTTGCAAGCAGACGAAAAGAATCGTCGCAAACAAGCGTTAGAGAAAGTACTGAAAAATATATCTCAGGAGAAACTATCGGGCAGACTGGATGACTTTGTTAAAATATGGGATAGTATACATAGATTTCTAGTTAGAATCATGAATGATAATGTGGAGGTGTGCCGAGATCTAACTGTAGGAATACTGAAAATATTTTTGGAAGCTCTGCCTCCCGATGACAAGCATATAATGTACGTTATACCTATAATGTCCAGACGTTTAGGCATGCAAGAATTGATCGAGTCATCGGAAGAAGTACGACTGAAATGCGTTTCTCTTTTACGAATGATTATTGGGAAGTACAAGGATTTATTAGCGTCGCATATTCAAGATATAACGAGAATACTGGCACGCACCGTTACAGATAATTATCCAAATGTTAAAAAGGAGAGCTGCAGATGCATATCGGATTACGCAAAGATTCTATCGAGGCATTTCTATTCACAATCGGAATACTTAATTAAACCTATCCTGACCAATTTTATGCATCAACACTACAGAGTTCGACTCGCCGCCGTTGAAACGATAGGCGATGTGATTCAGTATGGCAATAGCAAGTCGATGGAAGAAGTAGCAACTCCTTTGGCACAGAGACTTTTTGACCAAAGTGGGATTGTCAGGAAGGGTATGTTTCATATAGTAAACGTTTATACAGTGTCGCAAAATGAACATCAAATATTTTGTTTGATAGAGCGGACTTGGGTTAAAAAGTTCTCTACCATTCTGCAATAGTTAATAAAATATTAATTACTAAAAATCATCGAATATTGATTTTTAATAATTTTTTACTCAAGTACTATCAACTTTACAGAAAAACAACAAGAGACAAAAATTGTTTATTTTTAATAAAGTTACGGCTGCTATTAATAGTAATACAAAAACCGGATATTTTATAATTAATGATTTAATATAATTATATTAAAACTGCTCGTATAAAGTATTTTATTATAATTGCATCAAATCTTAGCTGTAATTGAAGTTTCTGGCCGCTGGTTGATAAAGCTACCTGACAGATATAGTTGGTGGCACAAACTCCTTCCCCTAGTCATGACAGGATTGCACGATGAACTTGCGGAGATTCGCGTAAAAACAGCTGAGATGTGGGATGCCGCAGGAAAATTGTATATAGAGGAAAACGAAAACGACGAAAAGTTGAAGGATAAAATGGACTATCTTACAGAAGATCCAGAGCATTATCCTTTAGAGAGTAAATTAGTTTTAAAATCTTATTAGTGTATTAAATTAAAAAATAAAATTGGAAATTATATAAGATTGTTTTTAGTTTCTAGGCCGAATTTAGGATGTCGTGTGATTGCGCAACAGAATTTTTGCAAACTCATTAATGGTATCAGTGCCGAACTTGGAGATTGGTTACCAGATATACGTATGCGTTCTGCACAATTACTCAGTACACTGATATTAAATGTTGAAGAAGACGTTACGCAACATATTGAAAAGCTTTTGCCGCCTATGTATCGGTAGGATTTACTTTTAATTATTCACTAGAAGTTAAAATTCAGATACAGAAATAATACGTTTAAAAAATTTTTAATTAAATGTAAAAGTAATTATAATTTTTATAAATGTAGAAATAACTAAAATTTTTATAATTACTTTAAACAATTAAAATAATGTAATCATGTATTAGACTAATGTTTTAAACGCTTAGGAAAAAAAATATTGTGTCGTACAACAAAGTTTTTAAGTCTGCTGATTAGTTGTAGGGTAGAGAGATCCAAGAATCTCTCCGTCCTGCCGTCAATCAAAAGACTTGAAAAACTTTGTCGTACAACACATGAAATATCGACCTAAGAATGTATGTTACAAATAACGCTGTCCGACGCGGATTTTAAATCACGAACAGAACAAAGTAATTTTTACGGACTTTTTTTTTGTCACTGAAAATATAAATCCATAAATAAAAGTTCTCCGTCACATTATATTTTTGAGAAAATTAAACTTAAAGGTGCTAAAAAAGAGTACTTTTAAAGTATCCCAAAAATGTGACGTAATAGAGCAATTTCATTTATGGATTCATTTTTAGTGACAAAATATATAAACATTACTTTGTTCCGTTGTGGCCTAGAAATAAAGTTTAAATTTGTCAGATAGTATAATTATTGAATTTTAATAGAAGTTGTTTCACAATTTTTATTGCTTAAATATCTTCTTTTTAAATCGTTAGAAGTTAGTAAAATTTTATTTTCTATTCACAACCAACTATTCTACACACAAACAAATAGTCATTAAAATGATGTGCGTGAAGTTAGCACCGTCATTTTGAAAAAAAAATAAAATAAAATTTGTGCTGAATTGTGCTAGATTTGTGCTACATTGTGCCGCAAGAATTAATGACATAACTCAAAAAACAAAGCGTTAAATTGAAGAAAACGTTTTTTTCGCCAGCACCGCCATTTTGTTTAATCGGCAAAATAAACATTGTGCTGAGTTGTGCTCGATTTGTGCTACATTGTGCCGCAAAGATTTCAGCCGTTCTTTCATAACACCAAAAGTTATGACTAAAAATAGTTTTTCCCTCCGTGTTCGGTTTTTTGCCGCCCATAAATCGGGTTTGTAATGCTTCTATGTGATCGATACAGTATATCTGAGTTGTGCTAGCGTAGCACAACTCAGCACAATCATTATATTCGCCGGCACAGCGATATTAAGGGTACTTTACTTTTGAATGCGACCCTTCGCGCAAGGCTTTTTTGTTCAAAATTCGGGTTTGTAGTGCATCCATGTGATCCTTAATATCGATGTTCCAGTGAATATAATGGTTGTGCTGAATTATGCTACGCTAGCACAACTCAGATATACAGTATCGATCGCATGGATGCACTACAAACCCGATTATGGCAAAAATTTATGGGCAAAAAACCGAACACGGAGGGAAAAACTATTTTTAGTCATAACTTTTGGTGTTATGAAAGAACGGCTGAAATCTTTGCGGCACAATGTAGCACAAATCGAGCACAACTCAGCACAATGTTTATTTTGCCGATTAAACAAAATGGCGGTGCTGGCGAAAAACACGTTTTTTTTTCAATTTAACGCTTTGTTTTTTGAGTTATGTCATTAATTCTTGCGGCACAATGTAGCACAAATCTAGCACAATTCAGCACAAATTTTATTTTATTTTTTTTTCAAAATGGCGGTGCTAACTTCACGCACATGTTAAAATGTAATGATAACCACGAAAATCAATTATCAAAATTTTTAAAAGATTGACGCTTTTAAAAAGGCAAAAAAATTTTTTTAATTAATAAATTTAAAAAAATTAGAAAAATTAAAAAATTAATATTTGAAAAAATAGCATTAAATTATTAATTTTTAACTGCTAATTTTTTAAATAGTCACTATATTACTCTGGAAAATTATGTCAAAATAATATCATGACAAAACTTATGGAGAAATCTAATTACGGCAATTCTTATTACAGCGCTTGCAATGACGAGGATAAGAGAGTCGTTTGTTGTGTGGAAACTGCGGCGCGATATCTGGGCTACTTCGTACAACCCAAAATTTATTGTCAGTTGGTGCTTCCCACTCTAGACGAATCTCCGACAACCGGACACTTGCATGTTTTTGCAGCGATCCTTAGTGGTAGCGAACGGAGGGCTCTATCGCAACAATTGGACAAGATAATGAGCTTTCTGCAACAGCCGAATATTTGTCAGAGTAAAAAGAGCAACTATCAACGTCAGATACTTTCCTGCTGTAATTCTCTTCTTGTAGTTTGTAAGGAGGTTCGTATACAATTCTTTCTTCATTATGCATACATTATCTATTACAGTTATTCGTTTCCTTTAACCCGGTGTCCAGTGATTCTAAATATTTTTGGATCCTAGAATTATAGTAGAATTTTATGTATACTGGAAAATTCCTGGAAAACCTCTAAAATTTCAAAGTTGGCCTAGAATTTGTTACTTTTTTATTCTAAAATATCAGCGTGAAAAAAAAGAAAGAAATAATAAAAAGGAAAGTTAGTTTGGGTCTACTTCTAAAGATGCAATAAGTTACTAATAGAAAACGTGGATTTAATATCTAAAATAGAACATAGTAGAAAAATCGTTTGTGTTGACAGAATTTATTCGGTACTATTTATAAAACAATAAATAGTATTGTTTCAAATTTGTTAACATTTTAATTCATTTGTATAGGAACTCGAATAAAAAGCATATAATATTGTGTGAATTAATGACAATTAAATAGTTAAAGTTAATATTAATATAATAAGTCCTGGAAAAACCCAAATTTTTGCGTGGAATGTTTTGGAATTATGGTTGAATTGATTAGCCAGATTTCGCTAGAAATCACCACGTTTAAAACTTCTTTCTTGCTTAATTCTTAGATCTAGCAATGTGTTTTA